ATGAAATCGTTCCAGAAATGAGGATATCCTATCTTTTCCCGATCCCCTCAGCGAAAGCTTTCGACTTTATTTCTTCCTATAGGGTTACCTCTGAGTGACAAGAAGTCAAACCATTTCAAGGGTCTTTTAAATAACTTCAAACATACTTCCAATACCCTCAAAACATCTTCGAAATCGACGAATCTTCATTGCTGATCAGCGAAGGTATATCTTCATTTGATTGAATAAAATTTCGCAAAATTCTCGCTGATAGTATATTAGTTGTTCAAATCATTGTCGTCAAACCGTCTAACTGCTTGGCCATTCAATGGCAATGGTGTGATTACAATTACTGTATAAAATCCAACAACTCAGCCAACTTAGAATTCTAACTAAACCGATAATTAAGCATGCCGAAATTTGTTTCTATAGACTAACAATTAATGGATTGAGTCGTTAAATATTTCTCAGACTCGTGACTATAAATTGTATCGATCAGGTCCAATGAACAAATTATAATTTTCGGCAAAAACCTATTCTCGCTTAAATTCAGTCTAGGATTTAGGGGTAAATGCGGGGTTAGTGATCGATTAATTTGATGCTGCTGACTACAACAATGTTCAGAATCTCAGACTATAGATTTATCGTAAAGTATAATATATATCTATAGTCAGCATATTGGTAATGCTTTTCATTGAGCACTATCGAACAGTACGTGTCATTTTGGATGGAAATGCAAATTCTAGTAGTGTAGTTAGGGAAAGGAATCAGATAACTTGATGAAATTACCACTTGCAAGGTCTTTCCAGGCGAAAATGAAATGAAATGAAACATTCATACCTAAAGTTTATGAGTAAAGCAACTCTATGTTACCTCTACCCACCACAGCTCTTACTTTTCAACCGAGCACAGACCATCATCGTGAAGACTCGTCCTTTAAGGATTCATCTAATCATGATTATAAGTCAAGTATCTTACTTCTGAGCGCTGGCACTTCTGAGCGCTGGCGCTTCAAGTGGAAAAAGATGAACTTCCATCTGAATATATTGATGATACTATATCAGAGATTGATTATCGTTGAAACTGAATCATTTATAACTCTTCAACTGATTAAACGAAATTTTACAAGTTATTCTTATAATAGTTTATTTATAAATTTATTAGATCCTAAATAAAAGATTGTTATATTATTTTAAAAAAAATTTGCTTTAGTTACTCAAAATTTGAAAAATATTAAAGTATTTGTTAAAAGATTGATTTTAAAATGTTTTAAAAGATATTTTTACTTTATATTATAAGTTTATTTTTATTAAAAAATCTTTTTAAAATAGTTTTTAAATTTAATTTTGATTAATTTTTATATTAAAAATAAAAATTTTTATTTATTAGAAATTTTACAATAAATTTTTAATATAAATTTATTATTTATAAAATATTTATAATTAAATTCTAAAAATGTTCAAATTCTTATAAAAATCTTATATAAATTAAAAATCATAATTTCAATTTTTAATATCTCGATTAATAAAATTATTAAAAATCTAAAAGTTTTAAAATTTATTTTAATATAAATAATTAATTTATATTTAAAATTTTAAAAAATTATATTTACAAATATAAAATTTTAAATACTATTATAGGTTTATAATCTGTTTTGATTAATTTATATAAGTTAACAACTTTTGTATTTTATATAATTAATGTATTTTTTAATATATTTTTTTCTTTTTTATAAAAATTATTGAATGTTACGATCACAGTATAACGATCTGGTCGAGGCAGCGGCTGCCTGAGGTTTCATATAATTGGTAGTTGTGGGTTAAGATTATTAATTATTAATTATTCATTTGAAAGTGAATTTGTTATTAGATTAATTGAAATATAGATAAATTAATTGATAATTAAGTTGAGTATGAAGCTTTTAAATTATGAAATTATTCTGATTATATATTAATAAATAAAAAGGAGTTTTGTAAAGTTTAAAAGTTTCAAAAAGCTTTTGAAGTTTTAAAAGCTTTTCAAACTTCTAAGGCTCTTTATTATATGATTGATTCTAAGGTCTTTCCTTTTCTGAAATATTTGTCCCAGGAGCTTTCCTTTAGGAATTATAGTTTTAGGATATAATATCTTTTAAAATGATTATCCTATTACAATCAATTAACTAGAACATTTGTTTTATTCTAATATAATTATTTAGGATACTTATCCTAGAAATCCTGGGGTTCTATTTATAGATGACTAGGCCCTTTGAAAGCAACGGTTAAATCACACCTCTTCTGTAGTCGGTGTACAAATCACCGACATCAATAATACTACTATAATCTAATCCGTGAATTGTGATACACAGATCTTATAATAACCAGTTGTGTATTTATAAGATATAATTTGATCGATTTGATATAAGATTAAAATAGTATAAAGATTTAATAAATATAAGATTTATTATTATTGAATTCATTATAATAATATAATAAAATTAGATAATATTATTCTTATTAATTTTATTAAATTAAATCAATAAAAGCAATGAGAAAAATTCTTATTGATTCTATTGATTTTATTTAATAAAAACAATGAGATATAAAATATGAAAAATTATATAATTAAATAATTAGATAGGATTCTTTATTATAAAGCTTTATATTTAAAATCAATTATTTAATATATTTTATTATTAATTATTAATTATAATTATTGATATTTTTTTAAAACTCTTATTTAATATTATAAAAAAGTTGAAATTATAAATCAAATATATAAAGGTTTTTAATTAATCAATCATATGACCTTTTGTAATTAGATATAAAAGAAGAGCTTTTATTTCTTCTTTTGAGAATAATTAATTTTTTATATATATATATTTTGAACTTATATAATATCAATTTCAAAACTATTATAAATCCTGTTTTCTTCATAAGTGATATATTATAATATAATCTAATTTAATTTTCTCTTTTAATTCCCTTTTTATAATATACTATCAGGATATATATTGTAAAAGTGGTAGGTCGAGATATGTACATCCCGATAATATATTGTAAGAAGGGAATTGAAAGAGAAAACTGAATTAGATTATATTGTAATATATCATTTATAGGTAAAACAGGATTCATAATGGTTTTGGGGTTGATGTTATATAGATTCAAATGTATATATATAAAAGGTTAATTATTGTAAAAAAAAGAAACAAAAGGCTTTTCTTTTATATTTAACTATAGAAGGTTATATGATTGATTAATTAAAATCTTTATGTATTTGATTTATAATTCCAACTTTCTTATAATATATCTCGATCTATTACTTTTATAATATCTAATCAGAAACCCTTTGAGGATCCAGTTTACTTTTATGTGATCTAGATCACAACTCTTGTAATATTATATTATCTTAAAGATTTATTCTCTTATAATAATAAAAAATAACTCAAATTAATAATAATTTAAAAATTAAATACTAAACTTAATTTTTGATAGAAAAAAAGAATCAAAATATAAAATAAATAATATAGTTTTATTTTTAAACTAAATCAAGATATAAATTTGAAATAAAATTATCATTTTAGTTAAATATATAATTAATTTATTTCTCAATTTTATAATCATTTAAATATATATATTTCCAAAAAAATTTAAATTTAAATTTAAATTTAAATCAACTACTCTGATTTTGAAATTAATGATTTATTATTAATATTTTTAATAAATTCTTTCCATCTCTTCTCTTCTCTATCTTCACTTTTTATCTTATATTCTATTTTAATCTCACTCTCTGTCTACCACTCATCTTTCATCTCAAAAACCCCTCATTCAAACTCCCCCATCTCACTCATCTAAACTAAGCCAACCCAAACCCCCATCACTTATCACCACACTATCTATCACCTCACCATACCAAAACAATTAATTTCTATGAGATTCTTTAATAAGTTATTAAATCACTTAGTAATATTAGCGGAACCAATGATTGGATGATTATATAATATATTGATAATATTTTTATATATTATTAAATTTTATTATTATATGAAAATTGAATTATAATTCATATAAGATTGATTTATAAAAGAGTAAAATAAAATAAAAGTATATAGAATTTTTTACTTATCAAATTGAATATTATTAACTATTATTTCTTTTTATTATATAAAATAATTCTATAAGATTCTATTCAAATTGATACTATTATTAATCATAGAATATACTAGAATTTTATTAAATATTATAAATATAAAGGTTTTCTTCAAACAATCCTTTGATTATCAAAATAGAAAAAACAATAAAAACTCTACTCTAATATTCTGACTTCAATTTATAATTATATTCGATTTTACCCTATTAAACTTAAATATAATTAAGTCTTTCACTATCATTATAAATAATAATAATATTATTATAATAATTATTATTCATTATCGATTGATCTCCTTCAAGAATTTCATTACACCACACACCAGCACACTAAAACCAAACTCTACTTTTTAATATTAAAACATTTAACCGAATCCGTTTATTAATTCGTTTATTAATTCAATTAATTCTCATATTAACCCCATAGGTCCATAGTTACATCCCCGTCTTATCCCCGCTCTATCCCCGCTCTATCACTATCTAATTGATCCAGTCGATCTATCTGGTTTAATTTTGTTAAATTTTAAATATAAAAGATTATATTATATTTAATTATTTATCTATCTAATCGGTTCTTGTTTTTGATTCTTTGATATATATACATATATATATACATTTATAATATATAAATTATTGATTATAGTATATATACAAATTATAACAATTCCAATTACAAACTATACTATTTAATTACATACACCTTCAATTACACACATCTCCACTCACACACACCTCTACTCGCTTCACTTCACTTAAAATTATCTCTAACTCTTCTTGTATCTTCTAAACCTTATATCTTATATCTTCTATCTTCTATCTTCTATCTCTCCCACATCCATCCCCATCCCCATCCACCCATCTATCTATCCATCCACCCATCTATCAATCTATCTAATTCATCCCCCTCCTCCTCACTGCTCTCCCCCAACCACTCATCACAATCCCCACAAACCAACTCTATCTTTCTCTCCACCATCCATCATCCACTCCTCCCCACGAAAATCCAATCCAATCCCAAGATTCGACTTGACTCGACTTGACTGACTCTATGAACCCAAGAAACGCCATTACCCAAGCAACCAAGCAAGCAACCATGCAATCATACCACCAATCCATCCATTCCATGCACACATACATACATCCGATCTGAGGGGGGAAAAAGGACGCTAATACTTCATGTAAAGCTGAAGCAATTTAAAAAAAGACAAGAACACCTCCCAATATCTATCATTTCATTTCATTTCATTTCATTTCACTTTCATATCCTGTTATACACCCTTCTGCTCTTTGCTCTTCTCGTTTAATCTATGCTCCTCACATCTTATTCCTAGTCCTCCTCGAACGGAAATAATCATAATCCATCGGATCATGATCAACACTCCCCCTTCCATCCAAATCCTCCTGCGGTATGTTACCATAACCCTGATGTCCACCGCCCAAGAAACCCGGCGCTCGTTCCTGAACTCCAGGCACAGCACTCGCAGGCATATCTTGCGCACCATGTACTAAGCTCATCGTTTCTCCCGAACTACCTTTCCTTTCTCCGAAATATCTCATGCCCATTCCTCCACTCATTCCTACATCTCCTCTCACACTATCTGGCGTTCCTGGTCCAGGACTTGACATGAAATTTGGTATTGTTGGTGTTCCCATACCACCTGAATGAGTCGGTGTACCCGGCCTTGAATCTGGACCCCACCGCGAGCTACCAGGTGTATCCGTTCTGATAATATCTTCCGCTCTTCCAAAAATTCCACCTGAACCACCATGTTCCTCTGCAAATTCCGCTCTACCTTTATAATATGAGAAATCTAAACGATTTTCCGGTACCATTTCAAAACCAGGCACAACACCTTTTGCGGACCGACCTGGTTGTCCAACACGCATAGGATCCATGGCAAACGTATCTGAATATCCGGAAACCGACATATTATCCCCAGAACCTGGATTGTTAGATTCTGTAAGACGACCGCCATAGACAGAAGCTAAGATATTTTGAGCTCGGGCATGAACCATAGGTGTGATGAGTGGTTTGTAAAGTGCTGGATGACCGAAGCGAGAAGCGAGACGATCACCTTTACTACCAGCCATTTTAGAACGAGAAGCTTCCGGATCTTTGAGCATGTTGCGTATACTGTAATAGTGAATCTTGTCGTCGAATGCACGCGCGCAATACCATTTGAAGCCAATCATGAAGAACGGAAGAGGAATTACGGCGTAAGCTTCCATGTGTGAACCATCTCCATGAACCCAAGTTGCGAGAAAGACGACAAGGTTGGCCAGGATTGAAGCGAAAACTATTCGATTAAAGAGCATACGCCAGAACATACCACCAGATTCTGTCTTGGTAATGAAAATATAGAGCAAGAGGTATTTCTTCAAGAAAACATCCAGAGAGAAATAAATGGCAGCTGCCGGGATGACCAAAGGTTGAATACATCCAAAGCACAAAGTAACCGTGGTATAGAACAAGAAATAATTATAATAACTTGCGTAATCGAATGCAGGTGGCGCAGTAAGTTCAATCATCTCACGAGGCGTTGGACTTGAGAATTTTCTTGCACAGAAACTCCATACCAAAGTCCAGATCTGAGCCAAGTCAACAGCTGCTCCCAAATTTCGTTGAAGTAGCCAAGTGACCCAGAAAGGTGAGATATCACAAAGTGAAATGAAGACCAATAATCCTAAATCAGTATCGTAAATAGCTTTCCAAGTTGTAGTTCCATCATTAGTTTTGTTGATGACAGTGGAAACAAAAGTCCAGACAGTACTGAAAATCGAAAATACAATTAAATAGTTGAAAACGAAGAAAGTATATAACTTTCCAGTGACATGTCGTTCTCTGGCAGTTTTCGTACGATCTCCGGCTCTAACCAACATTCGACGGAAAATGATTGGCAGCACTAGATAAACTAATGAGGTAATAGCTGGTGAAGCAACACCTTGAACAATAGACCACCAAACAGTGTGTTGTGCCAATGATGTTTGAAATGCAGGCCAAACACTACCCAAGTTCGGTAAACTGACCAAGAAAATAGAAATCAAAGCATTTGGCGCCATCCATACGATCGTGAGTAGAGTAACCCAAATGTTGTTCATAATTCTCCGCGTCCTTCTCGTCTGCCTGCTCAGGGGCATATTTTTCCAAATAATATCATTGGGTCGAGGAGCAAGCACAATCGTAGTTCCTTTGGGATGCTTTTTACGTGCTGCAAACGCAATACCATGTGCTTCATCGATAGCTTCGTAACTTGCAAATCCATACGGCAAAGGGTTTCGATTGTCCACGGATAAACGTACTTCTTTGACCTCCAATTCCAGTTCCTTTATACGAGCAGTGAGATATTCAATAGCATCGAGCTTTTGACCTCGGACATAGGATCCAAAATTGGGATCATCTTTATAAGGAGTACATTCTGGTCGTTTTGCGGGTAAAGTCGCAGGATCCCTGAGATATCTAGCCAAATACCCCTCTAAATCACGAACGGTTTGATTATGTTGCTCGATAAGTTCCGGAAGTTCTTTCACATTTCTCGAGACCACTGTTCTAGAGAATGAAGATTGCGGCGCAACCACATCAATCACCCTGCCAATACCCTCATCCGTTCGAAGCGTCTCCGGAATATCATTAATCATCAACGTCCGCGCATGTAAACTGGCTTGGTAATCCGAACTCTCGAAATAAGTTCTCCTCAAATTGAGCACCGCCCTGTAATTCCACCACAAGAAGAAAATGATGATGAGATCGAACAACCACGCGCAGATACTCATACCCCAATTACTCGCCCCCCAAACATTGATCGGTGTAATCCTGGTTACGAAATCCGTCGTTGATCCGAATTTCCCCTTAATCATATTAATCGGGATCAGTATTCCACAACCCACGACCGTTATGCAAAGAAAAATATTCCGGCACATCCTCAACACTCTCAAAAATACTGTAGCATCCAACCCTATCAGATTAACCAACTCAGATTCTGTCGTCTTAAGCACCGGTCCCAACCAAGCCAAAGGACCCTTTCCCATCGGCGGCGGTGCATGTTTATCATCTGCGATCTTGAGTTTCGGTGCATACACGACAGAATTATAAGGACGAAGAAGAGAGAAACCAATCGCGAGTAATAGAGTAAATCCTATCGATGTGCCGAAACTTGCATAAACGGAATTTTGTGATAACTATCCAACATTAGAGATCCATGTACCAAAAAGTATCGCGAGAACAAACCTGAGCTCGAAAAGGATTTGCCAACAAATCTAACAGTTTCTGTGCATCGGATTCTCTCTTGGAGAGCACTTTCATAGCACTTCCCACTTCCATTTTGTTTTCTTATGTAAGTTTTAAATAAAGCGAGCGGCAATGACAGGCCAAAGGCCGAACGAAGAAGAGTTGGTGTGCGTATGCGCGAAGGACGTATTATGCTTCGATGTAGAGTTAAGAGAGGTGTATGCTTCTCTTCTTCTTGAAGAGTGGTTTAGTTGATCCTCCAAACGAGCGTGTGAGGATTGAATGGTTGAGGATCTCGGGGTGTAAAAGAGAGCAAGTTGAGTTCAGAATTGGTACGCCGTTCCTTGAATATCCCTTGATAGCGATACGGGGCCTGTATGTAACCTCTCAAAAATGTAACCTCTCGAAATGTCACCCCTGTTCAACCAAGCTGCGCTGAATGCAATGTGTAATTTGAAACTACCGGGATTTTTTATGAGAATGACGCTCTCTGGGTAGGTAGTATTTGTAGATCAGGTCTTGCGAAAATATTGCAGTAGAGGACTTTTGAGAAATCCAAGTAGAGCAAGCCACACTGGAAGTACCGATTGATAACCGATGGATTCTATAAGTTTGAAGCGTACGAAGAACTGATCGAACAAGCAAACGATAGAATAATCTCGAAATTCTTATCAGTAATCTATATGAGAATAAGGATGAGAAAGAGAAAAAGACGTGAAGAGGAAATATCCAGAATCAATCACAAACAATCGAGTTTACAACAAAATCAATCAAAGGGATCCAACCAAGGTCATTCATTCATTCATTTATTCACCAACAACACAACAAGAAAGATAACAATAATAATACCTACCTAGTAGTTAGTAGTTAGTAGTTTACTTTTGTTTTTAAATATTAACCACGCCAAGCCAAATCCAAATCCAAATCCAAATACCTACAAAGAGCCACCAACCATCGAGGGCCTCACATTCACCTCCATCTCTAACCTCACTTACGGAGTACCTAGTACTAAACTGATGAGTAACCAACCTCTGGACGGATGGAAGCCAATCCCGTGATAGGTACCTGGTACATACCATCTGGCTAGTAACCTTAGATAGACCTTCTCAACGTACGCAGCACCAGAATACTCAAACTCATCTCGGTATTCGTCATCACCCAACCAATCCAGGAAACAGATCAACAAACCCCAAGAAACCACTCCTCGGTACAAAGAAAGCCCAGAGAAACTCCAATTTCAACTATGAATTCGCCATTTTCATTCTTTCGATTGGCCCGGTAAACGGTAAAACCTCCCTCCTTGGCACTTGGATGAATGATTTTTGGGGAATTATGCTATTTATAGAATTGGTGAATTTCTGTGCCCGTACTTGTTTGTGTAAGGTTACACATAATTACTAGGTAAGATACATTCACTGTTTACCTCAGCTGTCCACATCGTTTGTCTCGAGAATATCAATATCAATATCACACCGACACGACAAGGCCAGCAAGAAAAGAAATCTAGTCATTCATTCATTGTGCATTGGAAGTCCTATTCCTCTATACCTAAAACCTAACTAACACTTTACTCTACAACGGTACAACCTAGCTACCAAAATAATGGCACTGGTTGGATCGACCCAACATACCATACATCTCACATCCTCTCCTCAGCCCAAAACCATCCATCCATCTAGACTCATCTCGATTCTACCTTCTCACCTTCCCACCTTCCCACCTTCCCACCTTCCCACCAGTTGGGCATCGGGGTATATCCATGTGCCTGTGTTGTGCAGCCTATGCTGCATAACTCTTGCCCATCGGCACTAACAGAACGCATGATGACGATTTTTCATTAATCTCTCCCGTCGTCTCGTATTTACGACGTTTTTGATTTGCCATAATACTGCGATCGAAATATACTATGAGGATTGGGATAAACCTTACCACGAGACGTTATTATCTGTTTTTATTTATTTTGTGTTGGGGTAAGGTTATGAGATCAAGTACAGTCTTGTCTTAAATATCGTGATTCAATTGAACATGATCATATCACGTTGGACCTGTCTCACCATACCTGTCAGAAAGATCATAAAGACAAAGATGAAGATGAAGACAAATAACATTTGATATCATTCATTTTCGCATTTCCTTTCGTTTCCCATTCATTGCTCCGCCGATTCATTCCCATTCACATAATCTCCTCTGAAGCCTGATCAATAAGCCTGTAAACTGCTACTTTTCGTTCCGAAATAGCACCACCTATGTACAAGGCGATAATAAAATGCAAATAACCACCCAACCCTACCACTATGTCTCTCCGTAGAGTCCAAACGTTTGGTTGATTATCCGAAAAAAGCATCCAAATACCAAATCATATGGCCTTGCCCTCAAAATCAAATCCTTCACTCGTCCGGAGGTATCCAATGTCTGTAATGCTATCGACAATTGAAAAGTCTCCCAAGTCTTTAGGTGGAGATAATATCACTCCCCTTGTACGACCTAAACAGATTCCTTGCGCGCTTGACTTCTCGTCTGTCGTTGCGCTCTACCAACAGCAGGAACTTTCTTTTCTCTCTTTGCTGGTGTGCCATTGGATGCAGAAGCACCCTTTGGTCTACCAGGCTTCTTCTTTGGGATAGTATCGTTGGCAGTGCCGTTAGATGTAGCATCGGTTTTTGTCTCTTTATCATTCACCTCTGCTTTCTCTTCCTCGTCTTCCAACTCGTCTGCTTTGCGCTTATTTCCGTTTTGGGTTTGATCTCGATTGATCTTCTTTATTGCTCTTTCTTCTCATCCTCCTTACCATCCTTTTCCTCAGGTTTCTTCTCTCGGTCTGATCCTCAATGTCCTTCATCTCAACATCCTCCTCTTTGTCTTCTTCCTCCAGTTTTCATCTTGAACATTGGCCTCAACCTTCACCTCGACCTTGATTCACCGTTATTTCACCTTTCTCCTTTATTATTCTCTTTCCATTATTCTTCCTCTTCCTTCCCCTCTCTCCTTCTCCTCTCCTCCTTCCTTTCTTTCTCCTTCTTCCACTCCTCCTTCACCCTTTCTCACTTTCCACCACCTCATTTCCACTCCTCAATATGCACCGCGGGATCCGTCTCATCCCCGGTCTTCTTAATTTCATTTCCGCGCTGGCTCGTAACCGTAACCTCACCAGCCTTTACTTCTCCCACCGTCCCCTCTGGATTTGCGCCGCGCCAATTCCAGGAAACTATGCGCAGTGAATGTATTAGTTTTGTTTGTAGTAGTGAGATATTGAGATATTAATGATTGAGATTGAAATTGAATATCGCCATTATAGTTTCTAGATTATGCGCAAGGAGATAGAAAGAGAAAGAGGTGGAGTTTGGATGAAGAAAACTCCACGCGCGTTATGCGCAAGAGGTTGCGAAAATGGAAATGGAGATGCGACATGCGACATGCGACAGTGAGGTATGTGAAAGCAATACACATTCATCCATCGATCCCCAATTCTCATCCTCAGTAGATATGACAAATAAACAGGAAGCAAAAAGATGAAGTTTAACATCTAGGTCAACATACCTTTATCACCCTCTTCAACCTTATTATCCGCCATATTTGGAATTTTTTTATGTTTTTTTTTTTTCAAATCTCCAAAAGCTTGCTTGCTTGCAACTTAATTACGAAGAAAGAAATACGCAAATATCGATCAAAATCCTCCTTTCCTCTTAAAAGGCCCTTGCGATTCAATCCTAATAATTTGAAAAAAGGAATATATCGTATCAATTCTTCAATTCGCGACAAGATACTCAGGTAAATTTCAAATTTCAAAAAGTAGATAGTTGAAGAGATGAGAGATGTCGTTGAAAATGAAAGGTACTACCTAGGCTAGATAAAATATGTATGTAAAGGTTATGACGCGATTTTACTAACTAGGGTATTTTTGTCCCTCAAAGCTTCCAAGTTGCAAGGCAAGCTCCTCTTCTCGGGTAAGCAACCTGCCTACACTCATTACGGTAGCAAGCAAGCAAGCACCCAGCTTTCCCAAAACCGAATTTTCAAGGAAAGTTCCGCTAAGCATCTGCCAGTTACTTGCATATCAGAAATACAAAATACCAATAAAAACCCATCAAGTAATTTTCTTTTCCATTTTCTTTTTCCTCCCCTCTCTTTTTCCTTTTCTTTATAAATAATACCACAGGAGATATTACAGTAAATATTCACGCTTATCAAATCAAAAAACTTCCAATTACAAATTTCTCTACTCTCTGTACTGTACAGAATCTTCTAGGTGCTTGAATGATCGGATCGATCTGAAATTGCGGGGAAATGGCCGGGGTTACATTCCGATCATTAGCCTACCGGACACACACATCAAATGCTCTGCACTCTGTAGTGATAATAATAATAATATTTCTCTGTCTTAGGTATTTCAATTAAAATAAAGATACTACATAATAATAACAAATCATAACATAACCAAACAATAAAAAAAGAACCAAAAAGAACCCAATACTCTCAAGAAACTCATTAACTATACTCTTATACATACCTGTACCTAAATACCTATCTAGGTACTATACTCCTTTTCTTTTCCAATAACACAAGTCCAAGTTCAAGTTCAAGTTCAAGTTCATCAGACTACTCGGACACAACGAACAATTTTATTCATTTTATCCACTTTATCCATTTTCATTCAATCCAGTTTATCCAGTCCGTCCTCCAGTCCTGTACCTGACTGAGCCGTAGACCTGCAAGGGGGGACAAGACTAATGCATTGTGTTGGTATTTGGATCCATATATTCACGTGATAATTCAAAGTACGGAATAGATCACTCGAAGTACAAGAATGAGTAAATGGTGTAATGGTAACGTCGTATTTGTATTTTTATTTGCATGCTTACGGAGTACTAGTATTTGTATTCTAGAGGTACGTACGGAGGACTGCAACGGAATTTTTGCTTATCGAATTTTTTGTTCTTGAAGGGAAGGGATAATGGGGGAGAACACAATTCCTTTGCAGATTTGAGATTATAGTAGGAATCTGTTATGATAATGGCATTCTTCAAGCTTCAGCGCCGGTAATAATTTTAGTCCTGCATTACCGTAATACGTACCGCAACATTGCACAGCAAGCGATCAAAAAGATTAAAATAAGTCATTCATAAACTTGGATTGGGTCTGATGCTATACATAACCATGAGATATCGTTAACAAAATCCACTTCCTACCAATCCAACCACCCATAGGTCCATTTTCCCCATAAGTCCATGGGAATAAACCCCCCAATAACGCCAAACGCAATATAGTTACAATGGTATAATCATTCAAGTTATGCTGAAAGATTCCAGTATTTGAATGCTTGATGCCTCGTCAACTTCTCCCTTTCGTTCCTGGATATCTGCTTCAATTCCTAATAGCTTGGGATAATTCGTGCGCAGTCGTTCCATAATCCACGTTGCATCATTGACCCGATTTTGCTCAAGTAGGATTTTCGCTGCCATGAGAGATATTGAGACCATCTTCTTCGCTTCATTATGTTCAAAACGTCTTCCGGGATCCTCAGTCTCCGATTTCATTGAAGAGGGTCGTTGTCGAAGGAATTCTAAGAAGTGATTTGCAGATCGATGGTATGGAGAATAAATGTCTAAAGTATGCAGCTCAACATCATGGATGCTGAATACTGGTAAAATTTGTTGGAATGTCTTGAAAGATTCTATTGAAGTAGCTTCTCGCACTTGTCGAGAGGACTCTAAAATCATGTGAAATATATGTTGGCCAGGACTTATGAGAAGGTCATGGATTTGTTGCAAAGGCAGGTCTTTCGACATGTCTGTTATTCGATGTAGAATAGAAATAGAATCGTTGAAAGATGCTTCTAGCTTGGCAGTGAGTTTAACGATTTTAGAAAGGAGCTGAGCAAGACCACGGAATTCGGCTTTCGTAGCGCTGGGAGCATGAATGGCTTTATTTATCCACTCCCAGAAAACTTCTTCGTAACCTTCTGCACGCATGAACTCAAAAAGCAGAACCCCGAATTTTCGGTCCTGCAACAAGAACTCGGTGTTCTGATTCAGACCACTTGAAGTCAACCACTTTAGAATTTTGAGACCGGCACCCGATTTCTTCATACTTTCTTCTAATGTTTCATGTGAGGACTGAAGTTGTCTCTTTTTGGCTATCAAGATTGCTTTTGCAGAGTTTACAGTCATCATTCCGCGTCCGACAGCTCTATCAAATGTGTCCATGGGATCTTGCGTGGATCCAGGCTCACTCTTTGACGTTCCTTGCTTGAAAAGGGGATTTGTAAGAATGGATTTAATATGTCGATCCGTGTACCTGTAGCCAGAATCTGAACGGCGCCTAGGTCTGCCATTTTCATGCTGTTGATGGGATTCAATTGCTCCGACTTTGGTACTCGCGTTTGATGGTCCATGCTCGGAGTCAAGTTGTTGTCGGAATGATGTTGTGAGAAGTTCGAGCAATTGTGTAGACTCCCGTTGGGTCAAAGGCATAGGTTGATGAAGCCTAAACTTAAGGAGAGCGGGCAGTTGACGAAAGAAGCTTGGTGGAGTTGTTCGAAACATCATGAAGATGTCTAGTGAGACAGTGACGAATTGGTTAAGGGGTAGCCGAAAAAGTAGTATGATCTATGCTTGTTCGTATTCAATGTAGGACGTCGACGCAATGCACTTGTCTGATTGTTCAATCCCCAATAAGATAATTGTCTGATGGGATAGGCGGAGGAAGGTGGGGGCGGCGGTATATGGTGTAGGACTCTTTTCAGATGTCAGTACGGTGTGCAAAAGGTGTACAGTTCATCTGTCATATTTGAGGTAGTGGGGAAGGACGAGATGGATAGTGTGAATAGAGGATATACTTAAGTCAGACGATAGGGTTTGAGGTATGCCAGCAGCAATGGCTGATACTCCGCAGATTCCAATGATGTTGTTCAAGCAAGCAAGGTCATGTTCTTGTCTCCACACAGCCACACCCTGGACGAGGTAGAGCGAATGCCTGAGAACAACATCACTTTTTAAAATCCTCTATCAAATGGACTAATCATTATTTTCAAAGTAATATTTTGGTCAAAAAAAATACATCTCAATAATCTTTTAAATAACAAGATTTGATTTTGATTTTTCACTAGTATCAGGATTGTTATATGGTATCAAAGTATCAATAAGAACTTACAATCAATCCATCCATTCAATTATTTTGTTGTGCCACTTCTCTCCTACCTAGCCACTTTTGCCTTGCTTGCATACTGATAAGTGCATTTCGTCTGCCGTGGTCCATTGTGGTTTGCTCCCAGTCTTGCGTCTACCGCCTGCGCGATTAAACCAATCGTATCAGTTTTATGGTGTGGGGTGATGCACTATATTATATAATTTCACGTGACTTTGCGCTAAAGATTGGAGCGGGCGAAGCTTTTGAACATTCAATTATAAGAAAGAATTAAAGGAATTTCTAAAAAATAAAGTAAGAAATCAATCATGTCTTACTATCTGGCGGTCATTTGAATAACTTCAAATAATTATCTATTCTCTTATTTACCAAGTTATTTGTGTAACAAAATCTTTTTTGTTTTCGCCTACCGAGATAATTTGTTACTCTAAAAAGTAACCTCGTGGAAATCCCACCTGCACAACTTGAACAAAACTGACGCGACAAGTCGTTTCTCAGGAGAGCTTAAATCTGTGCCCTGTGCCTTTTTTAACCTGCCTCACCTAAAATCCCACACCCAAAGCGTCATCCCTCCTCTCCAACATCACAACGAAAAAAAACCCTCCAAAACCAAAACAACTTTCTACAGTTTCTCATTTCTTCTTCAAAGGTACTTTGTATTTTCTTGCTTACACAATTACACATAACCTCACAAGATGTCTGAGGTACAATCAAGACCAGCGCCTCGTGGCAGAGGCTCAGCTCGAGGTGGTCGTGGAGGTTTTGCACCAAGAGCTGGTCGCGGCGGAAGAGGTCAGGCAGCCAACGGCGAGAACACATCTACTACTGCATCAATTGAGCAAGATAATGCTGAAGTCGTCCAATTAAAGAAGAAGCATGGTAGCAAAGTCAGCACTATTCAAGAATTGTTTCCAGGCTGGACAGACGAGGATGTTGTTATGGCTCTTGAAGAAACAGACGGAGATCTAGAAAGTACTGTCGAGCGCATTTCGGAGGGTAAGGATTTCATGCATAATTTTACAATCCATATCAAGCCCATATCCTTCATAGTACATGTACTAGTCTAACACAATCAAAGGTACCATCTCACAATGGGGAGAGGTTTCGAATAAGAAAGATCGATCTAAGTCCAAAGCCCACGAATCAGCTCCATCTACTGCTCTTAATGAAATTAGCAACTCTGGAAGAGCCTCCCGAGGTGGTAGAGGTGGATTCGATGGTAGCAGAGGACGCGGTCGCGGTAATGACAGAGGTCGAGGTGGTAGAGCTCGTGGAGCTTCAATTGCGCATACAAATGGTACACGTAACGAAACTGCCGAAGTCTCTGTTCCTACAACCGAATCTAGCGCTTGGGATACTACTGCCACTACTGAAGACACCGCTAAAGATACCAATGCCGATTCTCGGGAATCTACCAAACCTACCGAGGGCGATAATACCTGGAGTGCCGCAGCAACCAGTGCGGCTGTCACAACTGCCACCGCCGCTTCAACTGCAGCTTCAAGCATTATTCCCGATGGAGTCAAGAAGAGCTGGGCAAGCATGTTTGCTCCTGCACCTAAGCCCAAGAAGGCCCCAGAGCCGCCCGTGGAAAAGCCTGCAGAACTCCCTAAGCCAGAAGAACCGGTCGAAGCCCCAGTTGTTTCAGAGCCAGAGCCCTCCATTCCTGAACCAGAGCCCGTCGAAACCCCGGAACCTGCTGCCCCAGTCGAGCCACCTGTCGAACTTGAAGCTAATGTTAATCTTACCCCATCAAAGGACGAATTGACGGAGACGAACCTCGAACAAGTTCCAGATGAATCAGTTCCACCGCCAAGTGCGACTGCTGCAAGCACAGCTGCAAGCTCATGGGATCCAAGAAATGCTACTGGAAATTCTACACCTTATTCAGCATTGCAAACTCAAACTTCAGCTACTGCCCGTGCTCCAACCAGTGGTTTCCAAGCTTCGGCACTAAAGGCTACTGGGTCGTCGGGTCGTACACCAAGCTTTCAACGCCGCGTCCTCGATCAGGAAGAAGCTGTTCGCATGCCAGGTAATCGCGAGGTGGATAGGGCCGCTGTACAATTTGGCGCATTTAACCTCAGTGGTACAGGTGAAGACGATGTTGATGGTGATCGTGAAGAGCCTGAGACTAGAGCTCAACCGCCACAACATTCGCCAGTAGCCCCGAGAGCTACTCTACCCCCTGCTCCGCAACAAGCTGCACCAGTTTCCGAGACCTTGCCAACCCCAAAGCAAGCTCCTGGATTGCCCGCAGCTACTCACCCAACAGCTGCCCCTGGACTTCCTTCCCCACAAACTCACTCTACTTCTCAAAGTAAGTTAATTTTCACGTATTCACTTGGCATTACTAATTCTCGTACAGCTGCATCTCAACAAGGACCTCAAAATGGTTCTCAATTAGGTCAGTACGGTCGATATGGACAACCGGGATCCCAGGAACAGTCTTCTTTGCCACAGAAGCCTTACGACGCTTTCAGCCAACAGGCGCCAAGCTCGCAAAGCCCATTCGAAGGTTATCCAAGTCAGGCTCAGTCTCAGCCACAACAACAATCCGGCACGTTTTCTTCCGCACCAAACGATTACTCTTCATACTATACCTCTGATCCGCAAAGACAAAATTACAACAGTTACTATCAACAGCAATATGGCTTGCAACAAGGCAGCCAAGGTCAACAAGATGTTTCAGCATCTCAAAGATCCTATAGTGGGTACAATGGACCACAAAGTGAAACTTCCGGCCAACAATCCCAATCCCGTTATGCGACTGCAGGAGAAGGTCAGAATAGTGGGCACACTACTCCTAACCCAGTAGCTCAAAGCCAACAACAAACCGGCGCTGCTGCTCAAACAACCCAGCCTCAACCAGGCCATTCACAACAACCCCAAGGAGGTTATCCATATGGACATCCTTACTATTCTACCCCATACTATGCTACTTACATGAACCAGTACCAACAATCAGGCGGCTACGGTGGTTATGGTGGTTCTCCATATGGCGGTGGAAAAGGTGGTATCCATGGTCAACCATACCAAGGTTACATGTCACCTGGTGCACCATATGATCACACTTCTTCTCCTGCTGCTGGTGGATTTGCTGGATCTTCTCTTCATGGCCGTGACTCCGCAGTTGGAGGAGGCTTGGGTGATTATGGCCGAGCTGGATCATCCCAATCATCCCAGACTCCACAAGCGTTAGGTGGAAGTGGCGCATTCGGCGCTGGCTCCCATGATGCATTCAGCCGTGGTGCTTATCCTTCAGGTCAGCACTACAATGCACCACAAGGCAGCCAACCTGGCGCTAGTGATGATTTGAAACCATTTGGTGACTCGAAGACTGCCAATGGACCAAGCCCATCTTTGTCTCAAGCTGGAAGACCTGGTTCTGCTACCAATGCTACCCCTGGGTCAGTTTTGCCACCCCCACAATCGCAACAAGGTGGATATGGTGGATACCCAAGCCATCTTCAAGGTCATGGACTTCACGGCAGCCAAGCTGGTAGTCAATATGGCGGCCTTGGTGGTGTTGGAGGTCATCAAGCTGCTGGTCAAGGGCACCAGAGTAGTGGATATGGAGGCTACCAAGGTTACGGAGGTTACCAGGGGTTCGGTAATAGCCAACAACGTGGTGGATGGGGTGGCAACTATGGACATTAATTCATCCAGCCAATAGTAAATTGCACATACCTTTGGTACTCGTCGTTGACCTTCCTTGAGAAGAAGCATACGATCGTTCATACTAAAAATTAATTGTGTTACTACCACCAAGAATTCATTTTCCTGCTTTTACTACTTTCTTTATTTTCAATGTCTAACGACACGTTGCACAATCAACAAATCTGGATTTCATATCAACATTATGGCTGGCTGGATTTGTTCTTACCTTTCCAAAAGGATACAATTTCACTGTTTTCAAATAGTTATCTTCACGAATCATATGATGGTTGGGGTGGGATGGAATGGAATGGGTTGATACGGATGCATTGCATGATTGTGTATGAGACTGGAGGGATGCATGGATTGATTTTGAGAGATATGACAGGTGGATAATGAAGCCATTGGGGAGAATAGTTGGTCATAAAAAAAGTAACTGGATGATGGATAGTGATGAACATATCAATTCGAAGGTTTATGGCTACTTAATTTTTTCTTGTTTATTTGTATACATGTGCCGATTGATATTGATGAATCTTATAATGTGTAAGAATTAAATTCTTCGTAGTAATATATATTGAGACATTCTTTGAATCATTTTATATTTACTATTCTAAACTTGGTTTTATTACTGTATAAATTTTGGTATAAGAGATGTCCAACGTCTATACGCCCGAAATAGAAGAATCAATATACTAGTGATTGATTTGATAATTTTAGATTATTTTATACTCAGATTGATAACAAACGAAATAAAGAACATCATTTCTACTCGGGCTAGTCTTTGAAGAGGGCCGGGGGGTTAGCGAAGCACATTTTCACACCAAAAATTATGTATTTCAAAAATTTCTATAAATTCAATAAATAATTATATATACTTCAAATTTTAAAAATGTAATAGATAGTTATCAAATGTTAGATTAAAATACTGAAAAATTAAATTAATATATATTTTTTAAAAGATTAACTTTTTAATAATAAAAATTTAAAAATTTAAACCCGGTGTTACGGACACTCCCAGGTTACAGTCTGAAAACCTGTGGCTATTACAAGTCACAACTCTACTTATATAATCTCGATGTTCTATTAGTGAAATGTTGGATTATTAGTTTGTAAAGTGTTATATAAATCTTTTATTAATGTTTATATATCGGATTGTATTCGATCTGAAATTAGCTTTGCTTTTATATATAAAAGAATTGGTTTTCTAATTTAAAAAGAATAATGAAAAGCTTTCAAACTGTTTTAAGACTAGTTGATTGTTTGCTATATGTGACTTTAACACCCGGCCCTTATCAAAGACTAGCCCGAGTACTATTAAGAATATTATTATTTTATTTCGATATATAATCTTTGAGTATCTTTTATATATAAGTTTTTTATATTATTATAAAATTAATATTAATTTATAAATCTTATATTTTATTTTTAAATTATAATTTATTTTAAATATTTTTGTATTAAAATTATAACTTTTATTTATTAATAATTTTGATTATATATATATATATAAATAGATTTAATTAATATATTAACTTTAATAATAAGTTATATTATAAATTTTATAAATATATTAAAGATTAAAAATTAAAAGTTTTAAAAAGAAATATATATATATAAATTATATATTTATAAAAAATTTTTAATAATAATAATAATTTAATAAATTATGTATAATTTATTTAATAAAAGGCTTTAAAATATCTTTTTAAAAAAATGAACCTCTTTCTGTTTATATTTTAATATAAATTTAAATTTAAATATAATAATAAAAAAATAAAATTTGAATTTTTATTATACTTTCTCAAAAAGCCAGGGGTCTGAGGGGTGTAGGCCTTTAATAGGTTTGAAATTAAAGTTATATAAATTCAAATATAAAAATATAAAATATTAATTGATTATTGAAAGAAAAACCTAAAAAAATTATACAAGATTATAAAAGATTATATAATTAAATAATTAAAAGTCTTTATATATATAATTTACATGTTTAATTTTTTATTATAATAATATTATATATAAAAAGTTCAATATTTATCAATTTAAAGTTATATAACTAAAATAAACATTATAATTTTTATTATAGATATTAAATTAAAAATAAAAAAACACTCGAGTAACTAAAAAGTTTATTTAATAGATATATTAAAAAAAGACAAATTTTAAACTATATATAACAATAAAATACAAGGAGATGAAAATACAAACGGTCTATTTCATCGACTCGTGAACGAAGTTATTTCAAGATGACATGAATACGAAAGCTCGATTCTGTCATCATACCTTTCTTTCAAACCTATAGAGTACAATCCTTCATAATCTTTTGAACCAGGACCGCTTGATCTTCAACCGTAACACCCATGGAGGCAACATCTTCGCCCTTCATCTCTCTCCGCAACGCAGCGACTTTGCTCAAGCCTTCAGCATCCCTCGATGCCGCTGCCACTCCGCCAAGACCAAATAACAGACCCAGGGCCGACATTGGTCCGCTAGAAGGGTCTTCCACTATGGTATAGATAGTGAAAGCCGTGTTTGCCACTTCACCAGCTATGGCAATAGTTCGTGCAATAGCGGCGAGTCCAGCGAGTGTGGCACCGACCTCTCCAACAAAAGGGACAACGCCTAGCACGGCGGTCAGAACAAGCGAGATTAGCCGCTTCTTTTCCTCCTCTTTTTCAGTTTTACCCAATACTTTGACCTCAGCCATCGATTGAATGGCTTGCGAGACCAAGGCTACAGGCATGGCAAAGGATTGAACGGCGTCTGATGTGGAGCCATTCCATTGTCCTAGTATCACATCAAGTCTAGTGGCTGCAATTTGTAATGGTAGTGCGGCCATCGCGGGTCCCGCATCAGTAAATAGATCTTTGGGATTTGATACGTTAACATGGGAGGCCATCTGTGGGTAGCCGTGCCATATTTCGTGATGTGGTATGCATGGGACGGTCAGTGGGTCATCACTAACACAGCTTGACTGGTCCACATCGGTCAAGGTGACCCAATCTGCTTCTATGCCGTAGTTTATTTGCAAATCTGCGTAGAACCCTGTTGAATTGATGAGTGTCCAGTATATCTCGAAATTATCACCACCTCGTGGCCCTGGACATGGCTGAGTTGTGAGATTTTTCTTTGTATGAACATCATAATATGTGCAGTCAAAATACTTGGTACCCGGCGCCGTTGCACTAAATTCCTGGCTTATGTTCCAGCCCATAAAGGATATCAGTATCGATGGGATCTCATCTTTGATGTAGGTCTGGTAATATCCAAAAAGGCCGTCGTAGCCTGCGTTTTCTTGGTTGTATTCGGCCAGCTCAGCTGTAACATTGCTGTATAGGACATCTAGCAGATATATCGAGTTGCAATATGTGGAATAGTTGCCAGATGCGTCAGATAATGCACTCATACTTGTGAAATTGAGGCTAAGATCGCAGGGCAGAGTACCAGTACCGATTTCGCAGGGACAATATCCTCCGGTACCACAAGCCCAATCACAGAGGGCACTTTGATCGCGGTCATCCGGATTAGATGTGAATGTCACAATATCAGGGGCGTCGATGTCATCTGCTGAGACTAAGGCTCCCTCAGACGTGCATGAGCAGAGATGAATAGGACAGTATCCAAGGCTGCAGGTAAAAGCGCAGAGCTCGTCTAATCCATCCAGTGCCACGGCCCGTTCTCCTGCCGTGCACGCCTTGGGTAAAAAGGGCGAAGAAGTCGGTACAGAGGTTACTTGCTTGGTGGTAGAGCAGTGGTTAGGGAATGTAAATCCATATTGATACTGCACAAGTCCCAGAATTAATAAGCATCATTACCACATGTGACGGGATATGTAAAGCAGAGAAAAGGTTCATTCAAGTCGTGCCATAGATCGAAACAAGGTTAGGAAATAAAAGTGCTTACCGTCCATGCGCACAGACCATTGTAATCAGGGTCGCTAGTAGCAAATCCGGTGTCTCCTGTGTAGACAGGGTAATCTTTTTGCAATCCTATAGCCGTGCAATAACATGCTGTTCAGATTAGTAATTGTAGGTGCAAGAGAGGCCAATGATGTTGGTGGCTGACTTACCACCAATAGGACAGTATCCGTATTCACAAACAACACTACACATTTCTGCAAAGCCTGGGGCACCTGACCCTTCTACACAAACAAGATCCGAAAGTTCATAAGGGGTTTCGACAGATATCTTCCCTGGGACAAAATCGCCGCCGACCCAAGGATTGAAATTAGCGTACCCGTCCTCACCGCAACCACCAATGGACTCTCCCGTGATGGTAAGAATGGTAACTCCATCCCGAACCAAGTCGGCCGAAACTGTTCCGGTGCCTGTTACCAACAAAGATCCGTGATAAACACCAACATCGCCAGCCGGGACCGTTTGCCAGCTTGCAGCTGAGACCTGGTCGCCTACATGAATCGTCACATTGGCCATAGAGCCAAGCGTGGCGGTAAAACCAATATACTTGTACGTCATTATGTCTGCGGGAAGTGACTCAATTTGATACTGACTAGCTGTGTTTACTGTGGTATTGCCGTCATTGCAGTCATTAGGAGAGTGAAGCACTGTCCACATTATAATTAGCAGATGTCTGAAAAAATATTGGCCGCTACTGACTATACTCAAGTATAAGACTCTCCTCTGTTACAGTGGCCTTTCCAGTTTTGTATTGCTCTGCCCATATTGCTAGTGGGTAAGTCCAAGCATCATGATCTATGCCAGTTACATAGTCGAATGTGTCGTCCCCATCCAAGAAAGGAGGAGACGGGCTAGACTGACTAATGTAATGTGACTATACAGGTGTTATTAGCAGCCTTTCAAGAGATTACCGCAACACATGAATGTGGCAAGCTAAATACCTCGCCGTAATCGTTCCAACTGATGATCTCAACATAATCCGGCTTTTGCAATAGAATTTCGGTCCAGCGGTCACTCCACAAGCTCATAGAGATATCTGGCCATACCCAATTTTTGTCGAACCCTGGGAGGTTTGTGTAGAACCACGGAGATGCTGGCATCATGTACGGCTTTTTCCCTTACGAGAAATGATATATCAGCAACTAAGTCAACTTAATTGGGGGGATTGATTATTACCGAGATATTGTAGATATGACGCATCTATGTAAGTATTCATCCTTTCACCGTTCTGAGACCAGGCTGCCCAATTGAACAATCCATCTGCAACACCACCCTCTAGTTCAAGAGCCGCGTTGGCGCCGAGGGATGACCAATCGGGGATAAAGAAGCAACCCGTTGATGCCTTGATTTCAATCCAATCGGCAGCCGATGCAGGCCCTTCAAAAGTCGAAACTAGAGGCTGTGACGTGTCGGTTGTGTGGAAGTAAGCAGCATTGGAAGTGTATTGCTGGAGCAGTGCTGTAACGACTGCTTTATCCCATGCACCTTCACTAGCGTAGTCGAAAGAGAAAAAAAGTTTGAAATCAGCGGAAGAGGCGGCGGCAAACGCATTGGAAATTTGCTCGTCGTTAAAAAGTCTTCCAGATGCAATATTGAGTGCGAAGGCATCTATATTGGCCGTGATGGCCAGTTGCATCTCGATTAACCATTTTTGCTGGGTAAACTCTCCGGTATTATCGACCTAGTGGAATGTTGTTAGAGTTACTCTCACACCTGAAGGACCACAAACTCACCATGAAATGAGCAAAGACTGCCCTTGCGGAAGCAAGATTGCTGAAGTTGAGGAGCGCAAATACGGAGGACAAGATGAAATGCATTGGCGCAGTTGCTTTGGAATTTCATTCCAATTTAAATGATGTGAAAATGTGAGATGAACTTTAGTTGAAGGAGGTGATTATCCTCACTTTAAATACTCTAATATTTCCTTAACAGCTTGTTCGGCGCCCGCACAGCTATGCTTGATTTCTGCCCCCATTCCTAGTAGTATTCACAACTGTAATTTTGATCTGGTCATAATTTAATTTCAGCGGAAATCTCGGCCACGAAGCCGCAAGTGAAAATTTGCTCTGGATGATTTTCATGTAGAGAGCAGCACTGGCGCACCTTCGGTGCAGTTCGTGAGTAGAGCTCTAGATCCTGCAGTTTCCAGACTTGTTGCAAACTTGTTGGCATCCACTGTGTCTATTTTCAACATATAAAATTTTCTTTGCAATTTCTTCATCAGCTCCTGCCTTGTGCGCCAAGCTTCCTAAACATTCATGCCTTTGCGGCACAGCAACGACAATCAGCGGATTTTTGAGGTTCAAGCTACGCTCGTCCATGATATCGTAACACTTCCTGTCTCTTTAGATTTGGGTACATGGCTCTCCTGCTGGTATGCATGTCAGAACATTGTGATATCGAAATACCTCAACCTTACCACTGAAGAGAACTCAGTTGCATTAACCTAGAGAAGCAAACGAGCGGCTCATTGTGAAATCCAACCAATAATTACATGGCGTTAATTCAATCATTATCCGAAGGTGGATAACCACTTAGTAAATCTGGTTGAGCTGCGGTAAATCTTCATCTGCGTGATTCGTGGAATTGAGGAAACTCTTTTCTCAAGGTAGGTAGGTTATTGAGAGTAAACTCTCATAAGGGACTGAACTGACCCGACAGTTTGGTAAATGAGTCGATGAGTCAAATTATGTGAGCTAGGACCATTTAGAGGGGTAGCCCGTTCAACCCCCTGCAAGCGTATCGGGTAATCTCCCCGACAGCGGTCCGGACCGAGAAAATGAAGTATTTTGCAGAGAAAAGGAAATGAAACAGAGACAGAACAACTGTTGGAACAAGCTCTATGTTGAGCTCGTGCAATCCCTGTGACTCAGAACACGAACTTTCTCCCATGTCACCACTGCACTAGGCTCAGGGACGACAGTGCAAGCGTTTATCAGAGTATGTCTTGAATAAATACATCTTATTTTTCAATTCAAGCCTGGTTGACATGAACAAGGTTAGTTAACTTGACATGAATACAGTTTTGAGCCAATATCAACATCATGAAAAGTGCTAGTAGAGGAACATCCTTTAGTACCGCAAGCTTCGATTAGCAAACCATTAGTATAGTGTAGCTTTATTCATTAGACCTATTTGACTTTTTAAACAGTATATTCTATAAATGGCCAATATTTGACCGCATTATTAATGAAGAGCTAGGGGGCTGGGCAGATGTTGCAAAATGTCCGTTAAGAGACTCGAGGTTGAGTGCTCCACTCACTTCCTTCATTTTGTGCTAGCCAACCGGATATTGTCTTCGCCCTGGTATGTGACATTATTTCTCGGAGTGTAAAAATTGATCACTGGGGTGGGCGGCGGAGGGCCGGCATCCTCCACCTTTTCTGCTTGTGGTAAGAGAAGGGGAAAAGGGCGAGGGCAAATATTAGATATCCGGTCCCGGATGGAAGAAGCAGCTTGAACAAATATGAGGTATTTATATAGCTCTGCCTCTCCTTTCACTATATAATCAGCTCTACAAATCTATTCATCAAGTTTCAGCTATTAGTCTTGTATAACTTCTTTTCAACACGACTAAGCGCCAAATTCTGAGGCTCAATCGCTGATATGTGGCCCCATGCAATTATAATTCTTGCATTAGGCATTCTCACGCAAGTCTCGGCATTGCCAGCTGCTGGTCCATGGCAAATTGTCGCCTTTTGGTACGCTTACCGAATCAACATTGAAGCGTTCGGCTTGGACAAAAATCCAATCGCCCCAGGCTGTCGGGGAAGTCTTTTAGATGGTAGCTGCACCTTGGCCGAGTTCGCAGAATACACGAGGTGGAAAACCAAGAACGGAATACCGTTTCCAACAGGGCTACTAGGAGCTGACCTAACGCCAAATCCCTTGGGCGCTGTCCAGGCGATCCAAAATTCGGGATACAAAACAGGTCAGATCATGGACATTTACACGGTCCTCCCGGGCGACTACCCAAATCGAGACATGGGCAGAATGCCAAACTTGGCAGATCCGATAAAATTACTCAACGAATACGTGTACAAAGCTCGCGTTTACATGGGCAATACCCTGGGGTTTACACAAGAGTCTTTTGACAGCTTGCCCGAATTCCAGAATCTGAAAATTGCAGTTCGCGGAGTTTCAGAGGCGCGCAGGGCAGATTTCAACTCCAGAAATCTGTCCACACTTATGGATAAGCTGCGGGGAGATCAAATTACTCCGGTCCTCAAGACAGTCATCGCAGTCGACTCCACAACGTTCGACGAACTCGACACAGCTTTGACCATAAGTGGAGCCGACCCTAACATTGACGCTGAAACCATTGTAAATAAGATTGTTGCCGTAGTAATGGGGGCTCAATCGCTTGATCCCGGGACTGTAAAACATTTCAATGTTATCGCTCAGCTGGACAAATGGACAAGCGATCTTAGCTTAGCCGTCAAGTGTTGATATTTTTATGTGGTTAGTGAAGTGGTTAGTGAAGTGGCAGCATATAATACTGAGTGTAATATACAAATATTTTAGATGATATTTGTGTTTATAATCTATTTGTTCAATTTAAAATTTCAAAGTTTTTGTATAAACTTTTTCCTTTTTCTAAATTTAAAATAAAAATTTAAAAATTATTTATTACTTATTATATAAAATTATATCAAAATCAATAATATTTTTTTGATTTTAATTATTTATCTAAAAGATTAAAATATTTTATATTTTTACAATTCTTTCAAAGCTAGTTCATTAAAGTTTTAAAAGAATCTAAAAAAAATTACTATTATATTTTAAATTATTTATTATAAAAAAAGATCATTTAATAAAACTTTTAAATTTTTCAAATTTGAATTAATAAAACATTTGAGATTAAAATTATAAAAATTAATATATATATATATAAATTTATATAAATTTTGAGTTTAGTTTGTTTAAAAGTTAAAGTTAATTATAAATTTATTTTATTTATTGCAATTTTCTTTTATACTTTTTAAGATTTATTATTGACTTGCCGATATCAAAACCTTGTTGTATATATAACATATTGTAATTTACTCGATGTAAATTATAGAAAATAAAAAACTTTTTTAAGTGAATCGTGATCTTGATAATCTAATTAGTCTAAAATACCCCGGTAAATAATCTAATAAAAAGTTTGATATAAGCCTTATAATCTCAGACAAATCTGATTTGGAGCTTTTTTCAACTCAACTCAATTGAAATCATTCAACTCAATTCACAATTCAATTGAAATCATTTAACTCTAAAATCATTCAATTCAACTTTATTCATTCAATTAATCTCATTCAAATAATAATAATAATAATAATAATAATAATAATAATAATAATAATAATAATAATAATAATAATAATAATAATAATAATAATAATAATAATAATAATAATAATAATAATATTTAATAATATTATAAATATTATAATTATTATTTTAAATAAAAATTTTAATTTTCAATTATCAAAAACAAATCGATATTCTACCTGTCTGTACTCTAATATTTATTCAATATTTAAATTTATTATAAACTTTTTAAAACTTAAATTTTCATTAGACTTTCTCGAAAAGCCAGGGCTCCAGGGGGCGCAGGCCCTTGGTTATTATTATTATTATTTTGAGTTAAATAAAATGAATTAAATAAATATAATTGAATTAAATAATTTTAATAGAGTTGAAAAAAGTTCTAAATTAGATTTGTTAGAGGTTGTAAGGTTTATTTATATCAAGTTTTTTGTTAGATTATTTATCGGGGTATTTTAGACCAATCATATTGTTAAGATCGCAACTTATTGAAACGAATTTTTCATTTTCTACAACCTACACTAGGTAAATTGTAATACACTATACATATAAAAAGATTTTGATATTGGTAAATCGATAATTAATATTACTTCAAATCTTTATTTGATATTTAATTATAAACTATTTGAGGACCCAGGTCACTTCTATATGATCTATATGTCATGATTTACAGTTTAGATTATAATAGTATTATTGATATTAGTGATTTATATGTTTATTATAAGAGGGGTGTGATTTAATCATTGCTTTCAAGAGGCCTAGTGTAACAATCTGATCAAGGCAGCGGCTGCCTGAGGTTTTGTATAATTGATAATTATAGATTAAGATTATTAATTATTGATTATCTATTTGAAAATGAATTTGTTATTAGATCAATTGAAATATAGATAAATTAATTAATAATTAAATTGAATATAAAGTTTTTAAATTATAAAATTCTTTTGATTATATATTAATGAATAAAAAAGAGTTTTATAAAAATTTAAAACTTTAAAAAGCTTTTAAAGTTTTAAAAACTTTTCAAGTTTCTAAAACTTTTTATTATATAATTGATTCTGAAATCTTTCTTTTCCTGAAATATTTATTTTAGAAACTTTTCTTTAAGATGATTTATTCTACTACAATTATTTAATTAAGACATTTGTTCTATTCTAATATAATTATTTAGGATATTTATCCTATGAATCCTGAGTTCCTATTCGTAAACGATTAGGCCCCTTAAAAACAACGATTAAATCACACCCCCTTTATAATCGGTATATAGATCATCGACATTAATAATACTATTATAATCTAATCCGTGAATCGTGACACCTAGTCATTTACAAATAGAACCCCAGGATTCCTAGAATAAGTATCCTAAGTAACCATATTAGAATAAAACAAATGTTCTAGTTAATCGATTATAATAAAATAATCATCTTAGAGGATATTATATCCTAGAATTATAATTTCTAAAGGAAAACTTTTAAAACAAATATTTTAGAAAAGAAAAGATTTTAAGATCAATTATATAATAAGAAATTTTAGAAATTTAGAAAGCTTTTAAAACTTCAAAAGTTTTTTGAAATTCTTAAATTTTATAAAACTCTTTTTTATTTATTAATATATAATCAAAATAATTTTATAATTTAAAAACTTTATATTCAATTCAATTATTAATTAATTTATTTATATTTCAAATAAATAATCAATAATTAATAATCTTAATCTATAATTATCAATTATACAAAACCTCAGGCAGCCGCTATCTCGACCAGATCGTTACACTATATCACAACCCTCGTAATAAGATAAAATATTTCAAAAAAAGAAAAAATTTATTATATTTTTTAACTTATTAAAAATAATCAGAATTGTTCTTAAACTTTTCAATTTTCGATTTCAATCTCTGATTTCAAAACCTTTAATTGATTATTATTTCTTAATCAAATGCCTGAACGCCCATTGGAAAAAAAAAAATCTACCCAGTTACACTAAAATCAAGCGTCCCTGCTTAGCCCCGTAGAACTTATCAAATCCGTATAGGCTGTTAATCTTATTATAAATCTTACATCGCTTCCGAGCAAGTTATTTAAGAGCGAAGCTCCCCCGGCAACATGCATAATCCCAAGATTCTGAATTCCATTATCTTCCCACAACCTTCAACTTCCGAGCCCATCGCCACATGACTTATTATCTCACCCCTGTCACATTTCTTTAATTTATTTACAATGGCGACCGATTTCCCCAAGTTTCCTCTTTTACCAATAGAACTGCGTCGCAAAATCTGGAGCTTCTGTATCCCAGACGGCCGTGTCTTCGAATTCGATATGCCCCATCGAATGGTGGTGGGGACAATATGCTCTACGCCCCTGACGTCAATTGCGAATGCGAAACCACCAATCTTTAGCCAGGTATGCCGTGAGTCGCATGATGTGGCTTTCACGGAGGGTGGATTTCTAGAGGAACTGACAGATGGACGAAAAGCGAAGGGGCTCGAAGAGCTACCAGAATTCGACGATATTAACACGATTAACGGAATTGACAATCCGTGGTTTTGCCCCAAAACTGATACTGTCCATCTTAACTGGGTGCCGAGTTACGATCCGTTATTTGACTCGGACCACGATCCCATTCCAGCGCTTGTCGCTCATGCTGGCATTTCCCACGGTGGCTCGATCATGGCGGAAGTTGTAATGGCGTTCCGGAAAGAGTATCCGTTTTTATTGGGCCATCCCACACGCCTACACTTTCATACAGGCAAAAATGGCTTCCCAATTGAAAGTTTGAATGGATTCAAGGTCTGCCTCTTGACTATCAACATTCATAGCACCGATACTCGGGTCGTTGCGTCAGGACTTTTTGGAAGCCTAGCCGCCCCCATTCAGCTCGTTGATGCTATGGACCGAGGGACCATTCGTCGTATGTACGAGCTTTGGCGGACTACTTTTGATAGCGATTCTGATTTAAAGGATTCTGAGCCCGCAAAAATATTTGAGGAGATGATTCTCGCGCCCGACGATTTCGAGTCACGTGTTAACCTGTGGCATGAAACTGTTGAGCGATATTGGCTCTGGGAACGGTGGGCAAAAAAGTTTCATGAGGGAACGCTGAATACTATCTCATCGCCCGAGGATGTTTTCACAGGACCTAAATTTGATCAAAAAGGAAATGCAGTGACAGGTCTTAATCCGTTCTATATACGTATGCCGGAGCACGATTTCAACAAGGCACATCCGTGGGTGCGGGAAGCACTTGACGTTATGCCTTGTTTCCATTCAGTCATCATGTTCAGGTATTGTAACGCGAAGTGTTACACGCTGGGACGGCCAAAGCCACCCAAGAACTGGGGTTCTTGATATCGATATGAACTAGTTTTTTGTTATAATTGATGCATGTTAGTCATGGCTCGCAATCTCATCTCTATCACCACGACTTTTGTGCTTTTCTAGAACTAGGAATTTCTTGCTGGCTGTAGCAAATTTCTCTATGGACCCAAAGATGCTTGAACGGGATGTTTCCACGCCATATATGCAATATAAGTTTGGAATGCAGCCAGTACTAAACCCAACAACCCCAAGAAGATAGCAAGCATAACTCCAGCCAGTGTAGCCATCATCACAAATCTGGGGCTACTCCTCCTTTCGAACCATTTTTCGAATCCTCTGGGGCTTGGGTTCATTAGTTCGTAGTGAAGATCGACCAATCGTTTTCCAAAATAATGATATTGCACATTGTTCTCCTCTGGTCTACGAATTGACAAACTTTCATACCTGAGCATATCGATGTTGAAGTTGCAATTTGATATCGATGTGAAAGATAGTAGAAGCCCTCTGGATTTAATATCTGCGAGAGGAAAAAGAACCTTCTGGACAGATTCTAGCGCCTCGAGGGCGATTGCCTGAGGTAGTATTCCCCTAGATTTAACGAATGTTAGCATCGAGACCTGTTTATTCTCCCTTTAAACCAGCATTAAAGAGATAATCGATCTCGTTGCTCTCAATTCGAAGCTTTTCTGTACTTACTGTAGGATAAGATCAGGCGCAGACATTTATGGCGGGATTTCTTTCGAAAACCGCAGTTGCTCTTTCAGAAAAGCAGCATGATGGAAGATTTCGACAACCCCAGCCTTTTGATCAAGTTTCAAATGATTCTCAAATCATTCGTTGGTTGAAACCTGAGTCCTGCATGTTTCTTCAATTTCGTCGCTCGAATTTTGTCCTTAATCTCATCAATGTTTGGATGGGCTGTTCTTGGGAACATGTCGTGGAGAAATTAACTATAGCAATCCTCGTTATGCCAATGTGCTTGTTGATTTCCGTACTCTAACAGGAGGGAAGATTGGCGCAATGTAGAGCAATTAATCATCATGAACATCTGAGCTGCAAGATCAAGAGCACGCTCCTGATCGGGCCGCACGGGTCGATCAGTAAAGAGTGCTTCCAACAACTCTGTTTTTGTATATTCGGGGTACGATTTCAAGGCTTCTATAATCTTGAATCCTCGTAGGATGCAAGCCCTGGAGTCTGACCAGGGGCTAGATAGCACGTATAATTGTATGTGGAAATTTTGAAGAACTCGAAATATGGACCGAGGACTGTTGATCTAGACCATGAGCAATTGGTTGTCGTGCAAGGCTTTTTCATTTCGCAGTCTGCGCATATATGCCATGACCATAAAGCTTTAGTGAGCGCCTGCAAATGGGCATTAGTCACTGTTCCAAGAGGAGAACTCGACTTCATCTTTGTTGAAGCATGGCCAGCACAATTATGTATTTGTTTTGACAGTCTCAAGACAGCTCAAAAATGATTTTCACTTGAATCAACAAGGCTTTAGCGTGGTCCGTCATCGGGCGGAGGCTGTGCTAGTTTATCATTGTATCTAGATGATGTTCCATGCATTATCCGAGCTGGCAATTGGGCTATGTTGTATCGTATACCATCAAAAAATGGCGGATGATTCGAAAAGCGGAGTGGGTCAATGTAACACTCAACGACCAATTGAGACAATCAGGCTATTTACAGTAGGCATTATGTTCTAAGCCACAGATTCAAATTTTCGTGCTCATATATATATTTATGTATTTGTCAAAATCACCTTCTCTTCCATTTGCACAGTTCCTTTCACCACAGAGTTACTCTCTCATTGTTGAATATGTTATAAGCATTTGCAGCAACATCCAAGCTTTTTTTGCGCAATCAATCATGGGGAGTAATCAGTCTACTATTCGCAAGGCTCCTAATGCAGTGAATGCACATAAGTCTAGTACCCTACTTTCGGACCACCACTAATATAGACCACCTTTTTACACTAAAAATCGTGATTTTCAGCTATTAATAACTTTACAACCAATCAATAGAATTTGATAAAACTTGAATCGTAGATTCATTATATAGTTATAACTCAATTCTGAAACTTTTAGATTTTTGAAAATTAATTCATTGAGATCTATAACCTTAAATTTCATGATTTTTGATTTGTATAGGATTTACATACAAATTTACAAAATCTTTAAAATCTTGAATAACTTTTCAACAAAAATAATGAAAAATAAATTATAAATTTTTTTCAAATATTCATATTATAAATGATCAGATATATCACTTTATTTTAAAAAATATTTTACAAAAATCCTTTTAATCAAAATATTATGATTTTTAATCCCTGCAAAATCTAAAAATATCAATAAAGGTTTATTTATATTATTTAAAATTCAAAACATTAATCTATTATATAATATTTAGTCTAAAAATCCCCCCAAAAAATTTATAGTTTATTTTTAGCAATTTTTATGGAAAAGTTATTCAAGATTTTCAAGATTTTCAAATTTGTATGTAAATCCAATACAAATTGAAAATCGTAATTTCAACTTTCAATTTCTCAATCAACAAAATCATGAAAAATCTGAAAATTTCAGAATCTATCAATAATTATATAGTAAAAATGCTCTAAATTAGGGATGATATCTGATGCATCTGATACTACTCTTGGGGATGAACGAAACCTTGACTGGACGTTGATCGCGGTTTCTGACGAGGCTTATTCTGAATTACTAAACTTATGCGAACAAAAATACATAGTCGGAATTGGGGACGGCACGTTTAATACACAAGGGGCCTCTGTCATCTTGCTATCTACCCGCGGACCTCTAAGTGGATATATGTCCAGTTCATTCTCATACATAATGCTGCCGCCGGGTAAAATTTTGATTAGAACACACATCGTAACATTTAACCTCGAAATTGCGAGGATCGTAAGCCTTCCCCCAAACGACCATAAACTATGGAGTTTGTAGAATCAATTACCCAAGCTCCGCTATCACCGTACTTAAGGACTACTATTAGTTTAGTATGATATCGCGAAATGGTTATCTCGTTGCTTCCGACGTATTCGGCCGCGGCTACGTTGTTCCCATAGCCAATTCGTTTGACAACATCAAAAAGCAGCTTTCTGCTCTTTCTGTATCTCTCTTTATGGGATATTCTTCTATTGCAAAACGCCCCCGTGTGGACCTTTCTGCTCCTGATATATCCCTCCCTATGGGGTTTTCTGTTAGGTCGGTACCGTTCCCTATAGGCGCCTGCGAGCCTTACAATGATGATGTTATGGATTCCGCATATTGTTCCATGGAACCTAGCCAGGCGGTCGTCGCCCGGGGCGGTAATCATGAAGATAAATTCGAACTGAGACCTGTAGAGATCTAACAAGAGTCCAAGAAGGAACCGAATGTTACGGAGACGTGATAACTATTACATGAAAAAATTTCATTAGTCCGACATGTGAGCTACGGCAGCAGGTTAAAGAGGAAAGTTATAGGGCATGGTGATTCATCAGGCAGGCTTAAGCCAATTTGGTGCCATCCCTGTTTCAATTCTTAACTTTCCAATTAACTATACTGTATATCAACTCCGTAGCCTTGGACAAAATAAACTTCCATAGGATAAATTTGCAAATTTTAGAATCCTCGATTCTTTAGTTTCTAACATCCTCCAGAACAACCATGACCGGCCAATAGGCCGAATTAGTAGAACAATAACAAATCTATTATTCTAATTTCATTATCAGGCAGAATTCCTTGCTTCCGCCGGATACTCAGTGTAAATTTAGTGGCACCCACTTGGAGCCTTAAATCCAAACTAATAGTCGGATGTTGTATTAAGCTGTCAACTGTGACAAGTATGACACCTTGAACTTGAGATATCGAAGCCAGTCTCCAGATGTCCATCAACCGCTGACTGGTGACTTTCGAGCCTTAAGGAGTTTAAACAATTACACACCTGGATCAATACATATCGAAAACCACTAGGGCAAAACTAAGACTATATTATTTTTGATATCCCCAGAAGCTCCATAACATTCATAAAATCGTAATCACAGTAATACACACAATAAAATGCCCACCACCAAAATTAATGATGCCCACCAATGCTATCAGACTCAGAACTCCCGAATCCAGTCCATCCATTAAAATCATCTGCAAATGTGGCTGCCATGGACAGATACCTCTCATGTACATCTCCCCAAGTAAAAGCTGCTTCCCTGATTGCTCGTATTGCTTTCACATAATGTGGGTCAGTTGACCATACACCATTGATAGCTTTATCTTCCACATATTTCCATCCTTGCCCTGGTTTCTGCTCAATGTCCTCGCTTATTTTCGGTCTCATCTGTGCACAGTATACAGCGATTGTGAATAACCACCACTGACGTATCAAACCTACTTGAAATTTTGCTGGGACGAAAGGAAGAAGAATTCGAACGGCATGGCTAGTGGTGAGAATGTGTACCACAAAGAAGTCGTATGCGTGAGTACCAGGTTTAACAGTCTGCACAAGTAAATTCACAGCAGCTTCTTGCGAATCACGAAACTGTTTTTCGGGATCGGTAATGCTCCATGCGTTCCAATGCTCTAGTATGAAGTCCTCATGTTTCTCGAAAAGCTTGGTTATGTTGGAGGGCGATGGTTCATCTAAAAACCCATCTAACCGAGAGTCGGCGTGTATTTTGTGGAGAATTTCTAAGGGCGAGGTTGTGCTACAGGTAGAGGCTTTGGTATAGGATGGATCATCGAGGTACTTATGCATGAAATTGTAGCAGGTCGATGTGAGGGAGAGGGCTTCGATGGCTAATTCACGGCTATTCAATTCGACTGCGTAACCGAGATGAATAAGGGGGTGGCCGACTAAAATAATTGTTAAAATCAGTGGGACAGAATAGATGATACACATACGTCCTGAAGTCAGACCATTGACAAGAGGAGCTTTGCCACTGTAAAGATACTCCTCCACCAAAGCCTTCCAATCATAACTAAATTTCAAAGCAAGCTCATCCTCAAAGAAATCAACATATGCCCTCTGGTACACCTTCTCCCCTAAGAAATCCCTCCAATCCGCATCCGTAATCTCCCCAGGAGAATCCTGCCATTCCTCAAGAACTTTTGATTCTTCAGCATAAACTCTTTGTAACTGGTCATAATCTGCTCCTAAAAGATATGCGGATCCAAGATGATGTGGTAAATGGTTGTGAAATCGATTATGGTTGTAAAGGATAGAATGGTTAATATGATTCGATTTTAAAAGATGCTTCAAAGTTCTTGGTCTTTTCTCGGGAGCTGTTTCAATGTCATGAATCTCAACTGATGGAAGAGTTATTGATTGTGTTGATGAACCAATAGTAGTATTGGCGACATATTTATAAATTCTGTTCACAATAGGAACCCAATTTATCATAGGAGCCGACATGATTGCTGTTGTGTTGAAAGTCCATGAACTGACTGACAGAACAAAAGTGTGGGGAAGCTTGAGCTATATATTGGCAGAATGGTTTGGTTGGCGGTTGATTAGAAGCGGTGACGCAAGCTTTGTGGCTTACGTATGTGGCTTAAGCGTAGCAATGGACACGGCATCGGAAAATCTCTCGTGCCGATTAACATAGTAGTAACCAACCAGCTTGATATATTTTTACAACGCGTCGCGATAAATCAACATAATCAACCATGAAATTCAACCTCATGAAGTTATCAGCTTCTATCAAGCAATGCCTCCTGTTAAGCCATTGATATATGCAGAGCTTCTGTCAAATATTCGTCAGATATCCATCCTCGCATTCTTAGATACACCATCAGATTCTTCTACAAAAGTTGAATTATTGGCCGACGGAACAATATTGAGATTGTATCATGCCGAAGAGAATATTCAATTAACGCTTCCAGGTCAAGTGGTATCAAATTTAGAATTACGAAAGTTTCCTATTGGTAGCGTTGAGCTATCATGGCGCCTTCCGTTGGTAGGAGATTTTCAACGGGCTGATGCAGATATTTCACAAACTATCGAGGCACCATGGTCTGCAAAAGATATGGCTAATGGTGCACAAATTTTCGAGTGCCGTAAGTGCTTTGCAACTATTGTGGCAGCAGGTCGCATAAAAGAATGGAAAGATCTTCCAAGTGAAGGTTGGGCAGAAATGATGGACTTCTGGCATTGCCACAAGCCTTGGGATCATGCTGGCCATAATCATGGAGAAGAGAATTTGGCTTCTACGAAAGGTTATGGGGCGAATGCAAAGTTCACTGCACAAGCTGGAATTGGATTCGTGGATCATTCAACTTTTCTTTTGGCAGAAAATGATTGTAATATTCCTGTTGGAGGTAAAGAGGTAATTATGATTCCTACCTTCTTTCACTTGCGACCCCGATTTTTATGGGTACCAAGAAGGCGGCCAGACCCTTCTCTATAGGCTGGTCACCGATACAAATACCCAAGATAAAACACTTGTTGTCGCTCTGCTCCGGCAGCAACCAATTCTATTTACCCTCTTCTTCGGATTATGGGTTTATGATTTGATTGAAGGCTTTCAAACCTTGGCATTTAAATTCACCGTATCTTCTTCGAGATTTTGGAAGTCACGGGATTAGAACAAGAGACATTTGTCCAGTAACGAATGCACCGACAGACGATCAAGTCACGTTCTGGATAGTATGCCTTATTAACAATTGTTTTGCTTACAGGTAAAGCGTCCTATTCATTGTGAAAATGGACGGTGCCTCGCTACGATTGGATATAGTGATCCTCAAAATGAAGGCGTAAGGGTTTTCAAGTGGAGTTTGCGAATGGGAACTTTCGAAGAATCTCCGTCATCCAGTCTTTCGAATATGGTTCTTGAGCCATCAATGGCTAAAATTATTTCGGCTCAATTCTTAGGAATTATGAACTCATCTTGTGTTTCCCGTTTACTTTTATTGCCATCAACGACATCGGAGAACGGGCCAGTTTACCCAGGCCTTAGTATTTGGGTCTTTAATCCCTCGATTAGATTTACTGCTCTAAATTTTCACTTTTCTAGGAAAATGCATATATCGGAGACAGCTGGTAGACCTGGAATCTTAGCCATGAAAATTCTCTGGAAACCCTGTGCCCCTATTAGAGATCCATCATCGGAAAATGAATCTGTGGAGGAACTGGAATTACCCGGAGATATGTTACATGGATTTCGGCATCACTTGGAGGATGTCACAAAAAGATACCTTCCACCAAGCGCACGGAAGTTACAAGATTGGAATGTATCGCTTTTGGAAAGGTACGAAGCAGCGGTAAAAGAGGAGTGAGTGATGTCGAGATAATCACTGGAATTTTCAAATATTTTTCGCATTGGCTTTCACAGCTTTCAAGCTTATAGCAATCATATATCCGCTGGGATCGAATACACTAAAAAATGAACCATGGATCATACTTCCTTTTAATCTTGCAAAATCCCCTCCGGAGATTTCTAAACTCTTTCCGTTCCATCAGCCAAATCAACATTCGCAAGATTCCCACCACATCCACGCACTTTTACTGATTCTTTAACCTTTTCCACCACGCTCTTCATTTCCTGTCTCACGATCGTGTGGGGAACCTTGTAACTATCATATAGTGTCTTTATAACCACGGTTAGGGCTTTTCGCCACGCCGCCGGAGCAGTTGCTGATAAGGACATCGAGGCAGAACTCTTATAGTAGTGTATATTCGACTGAGGCTTTGAAGTCATTTTGGGAAATTGTATTTCTGTAAAATTTGAAAGAGATGATAGGAATTAATATATAAAAGTAAATAAAATTATATTAATTATATAAATTTTATATAAAATTGTTTTTTGTTTTTTGAATGGTAAGAATTTTAAAATTTATTTATTATATTTATTATTAAAATTTATGATAAAAACTTTTATAAATAATTTCTTCTTTTATATAAAATTAAATATTTTTGATAATAAATAAAAATTATTTAATTAATTTTTTCCAAAAATTATATTAAATTAAAAAAAAATATTTATTACATTTTAACTGATTGCTTTTATATAGATTTAAAATTTAATAAATTACTTTGAATTTATAAATTAATAAAAATAAAAAAAAAGTTATTGATTTTGTTATGATTTTGCTTAGTGGACCGTGAGTAGTCTTTTAAAACTTCTATTATAAATATTGAAGATTATAATATAGACTTCAAATTTCAGATTATAGAATTGTATATGTAACAAACTTTTATTTTTATCTATCATCCTATCAAACCATCAAACCATCAAATCATCAATCACCCATCCTACAAAAGCCAAGACACATTTCCACCATTCTATCAATCCACCCACCCTTCCCTCCCTCGCCTTCCTCCCTCCCTCAATCCCCTTACCCCACCAAAACAATAAACACAAAACACTAAATCTTCTCCTCAACCCACAAATGTCCCCCCGCCTCCTCCAAAACCTTAACATGTTCATCAGCGCCCGCCTTCCTCGCCAAAAACAATGGTGTATTTCCCGCTTTATTACGTGCGTGAACACTTGCACCTCTTTTTAACAACTATTTTTGTTTGGAGATTGTGTTAGTGAGGGTTTTTTCAAACTCAAAATTTTTCTTCTGGAGTTAAAAGTTTTCTTTTCTTTGAGGGATGCTGAGGTAATGAGGTGATGAGGTGATGAGACGAGCTCCTGAAAGGGAAGACACGAGAGGAAGGCTATTCTGGCGTGTCTCGTTTTCCGGACTAGCGGAGTTGTATGTTGAGGATTTTGATTGAAAATCTTTCGATTGATTTGGTGAGTTTTGAAAGATTTGAATCTTCCAAAGGTTTTCAATGTACATATATATATATATATGTATAATCATATGAAAAGAATCAAAGTCCTTTCATCAACGACTGCAATCCAAATTATTGAAAAGCTGGAAAAGTCACAGGAGAAAAAGAGAAATATTAAGCAGAGGCACTACCTACTTCTCTTAAAACACCCACTGAAGGACCCACTGCTCCCAAATGTAATGCGGTATTTCCAACATAATCCGTTGCTTGAAGAAGACCGGCACGATCATGGTCAAGAATATTGACAATGGCTTTTGTGTCACCCTTTTCAATTGCGTATCCTAATCCCGTAAAAGCGTGTTGTTGAGCCGTGATAGAAACTTGATCAGTTGGCGGGTGAGAAAAGGCCATACCAGCCTCCTCGGTCATTTCTCCTCGAATGGAACATTGCATTTGCATTGTAATATCGTTGTATGATAGATCTGGGAGAGCCAGAAGGAAAGAAAGTTTAGTGAGTGCTGCTTCGGTTGTAAGATCGTGACCAAAAACTACACCTGCTCGACCAAGAATGGTAGCTGGTGCGTAAAGAGGAGATACTGAGCCAGAATGACATTGTGATACGTTGACTATGATGACACCTCTTTCACAAGCTTCTTTCATGATCTTGATCATGCTTCCATCATCTCCACTTGGTGCATTACCAGCTCCGAAAGTTTCGAGGATGAGGCCTCGAAGATTTGGAATTCGGAGGACAGCATCGATCATTTCTGGCTTGATACCAGGGAAGATACGAAGGCATGCTACATGAGAAGTATCAAGGTTTAATTGTACTCCGAACTTTGCGATCGATCGTGGGCGATGAACGAGATTCCAATTGACTGTTGCTCCTAAAGCAGTCACTTTTGCTAAAGGTTCACAATTCGGTGAAGCAAAGGCATCGAAGGAGGTTGCCGAAACTTTAGTTGTGCGATTTCCACGAAATAAATTATGATGGAAGAAAAGACATACTTCAGGGATCATAAAAGTTCCGGCGATGATTAATGATCCAAGAAGATTATCCACGGCATCGGATTGAAGAGCAAATATTGAAGCTTGAGATCCAGTGAGGATAACCGGTTTTCCAAGATGGGACAACATGAAAGATAAAGCTGAACTCGTGTATGCTAGACTATCTGTACCATGAAGAACCACGAAGCCATCGAATAAATGATAATTTCTCTCAATCGTGGTAGCTATTTGTGTCCAACCATTTGAAGATATTGAGGACGAATCTAGTAAAACAGGAAATTCGTACAAGGTATAACGAACGTGTCGGGAATACGTGCTTGGGGGAGTACGTAAACTGGGTAGATATTCTTTTGTTGTGTTTGTGGTCATGACTGGCATAGGATCTGAATACAAGTTAGTCATTAATTAATTCTCCGAAAACCATATTGCGTCTGCTGCGATTTATTTACTCGGAAGGAAAAAACCAAGGTATATTGAAAGCGGAGATAATGCAATGCAATGAACAACGATGGATTACATGTGAAATATCTTGATATAGCTGATTCAATGATATTTGAAGGGGATGTCACCGGAAGACTCCCATTGATATATTCCGAGATGAATTTGTGTAAAGAGACGCATCAAAGCCATTTAGTGTAACTTGGAGACGCAATTGTTTACACAGAAAAGTCCCTTGAGATCCTGAAATATGCTACACTCAACGAATACTTCCTAGCGACCTTACACGACCTCCGTCATATCGGCGTATGTATATATTTTTTGTGTTCAAATTTAAAAACACTGGACGTCATTGCAGATTTCCAGCTCTCCACGTTGTGAAATTTCATCATTCTATAAAAAGCAGAAGGTCTGGAACTGTGATATGCCTTCCACCTAGCATTTCAAGTCTCACTTGATAGTTGAAAACACCTGTGAGATGCATCGAATAGTCACTGTAAAAATATCTGTCTTACAGACTCAATGTGTAGATTACACTTGACAATTGGAATTACCCATGATGTAAAGAAATATGATTTTAGTAACACTCATTCGGTAGTAATTCAATTTCTAAGCTGTACCCGATCATTGAAAGGGCACATCGAATTGAGGAAATTTCAATATAGGGTACTACTCTTAAGAGCTTTGCAATGTCTGCACTATTGTCGACAATCGAAGGTTCCGCGAATGAAAGAATTGCAATAAAGAGTAAGAGAAACATGGTAGAAAAATGAAACATTCTCACCTGGATTTGATCCATCGTTGAACGATGGTCTAGTCGCCATGCCTTCCTTAAGAAAGCCTCTTGCTGGAATCAAACCTTCCGGAGAAGATTTCATACAAATAGTACCTCCTGTCATAATGATAAGGACACGGCCTTCCGGATATGATTGTGTCGCCATGGCGCGTGCTTTGAATGAAGACTCTCGGTAGCGAATCAGGAGAAATGAATCGCTAGGAGAATTATTTTCAAATGATTTGTGTTTTGTAGCTAGGCGACGGAATGAATGAAGGACAGCTTGGCAACGAGGGATGTTGGATTAGACTAAATAATGTCCTTGAGAGTACGAAACGAAGAGGTTCGAAGGTGTGGTGGAGTAAATTCTTCTTCTTCCTCAATGTTGATCTAGTAACTAAAGATGTTTTTCTTGTGGTGGGAGAGAAAAAAGTTGTTAAAAAGTATCTATTAGCTAATGAGCTAAGGAAGAAAGCTAAGGTTTCCCAACAGAGGGTTAGCTATATATTGGAATGTCGGGAATAAGCCAACAACGAGGTGTAAGTTATTGTGAGAAAATGATGTATGAGATGAGCGATCCACACAATCCTGTTGTCGTTGTAGTCCAGAACTTGGTCATGTAGTGAGGGAATGAATCTGAAGATAATGAAAATTACTTGTGCTCACATGAATAATCTTCGGACATATCCCCATATCCACCTCCATTCTTGAACATTCAATCATCTTTCATGAATGGAAAACTATAACGTAATTGACCAATGAGAATTGAAGGATTTTTGATTTTTATATTGAAAAGCGACAAACTCAATCATCTACTACCTAGTGTACCGTTTTTGAATGTCACAAGTACTTTGTAGTATTCCTACTCGAGTAATTATTACACGAAAATGAGTTCAATGTGATTCACGGATGGAAAGTATCCGTTAAGACGGCGTTAAGACGGTTTCTCTACGACCAAAAATAAAAAGAAACCCCCAAGAAAACATGAAGATATTCCCAAGAAATGTAATCTTAGTATCATGTTACTTTTGTACCGAGCAGAGTCAAGTATGCAAATAAATGCTAATGAGATAAATGTTAATGAAATAAATGCTCATGAAATAAATGTTTATAAAATAAATGCTCATGAAATAAATGTTTATAAAATAAATGCTCATGAAATAAATGCTCATGAAATAAATGCTCATGAAATAAATGCTCATAACATAAATGCTCATGAAATAAATACTCATAACATAAATGCTCATAACATAAATGCTCATAACATAAATGCTCATAACATAAATGCTCATAACATAAATGCTCATAAAAATAAATGCTCATAAAATAAATGCCCCGAAATAAATGCTCATAAATGCTACGAATAAATTGAATTGAACGGGCATTATTCATCCGTACCAAGACTTTTTTATATTGAGGCGTTTGTATGACTACGTTTGTGCGTTTGTATGGAGTCGCGCAGCCACATATCCATCTCATCCACTTATCAAATCTTTCATCGAGAAATAATAGTAAGGTTATTATTGTCGATCCAGGGAACAAACGAACAAAACGATCCGAGCAGTTTATTATTAGTGACAACCTCATCTTGTCTCTTTCTTCACCGATTATCGACTATCGAGTATATCTTCATAAATATATCTTCCTTTCCTTCTCCCCGTCGACAATGTCATCAAATCTTATAGACATTCAGTCGGATGATCATTTCCCTTCCTCTACCTTTTACTTCATTACATGTCACTCCTTGCCAATTTCCTTGGTACCTTTTAGAATCTCTATCTCTCTTACCTCGACTTCAACCTTTCGCTTTCCATCAAAAAATCATCTAAAAGCTTCACATCAAAAATCTTAAACTCCACAGATATAAACTTCGGTTCCGAGGTTCCTTCGCAACCACTCCAAGAATCCCGGTGACATTCAAATTCTATTATTTGCCAAGCAAATTCAATCGTCTTCTATAATCACAGCAGTGACATTCTCTTCTGCTTTCTCTCATTGATTTTCATTAAAAAAATTGAACACCGCAGCCCTTGGTTCATTCCCCAAAACCCCTCGTCTCCACAACGCGACATCCTCCACATATCATAGCCTAGGCTATGCGCCAAACCTTCGCATTCACAACCGCAGCTATGGCAGCAGCTTTAGAAGATACTCCTGTTTCCTATGAGGATTTGGCAGAGATTGAGAGGGAATTTGATGATGTTGAAACCGAAATTAGTATGTGATACTGTCTTTTTCTCTTCTATGACGTTGGAGGTATGATTATTTGCTTGTGTTGGAGGGGTTAAATGCGCCACGACTTTTCTGTAATCATATCAGATCAGATCGATCTTTCGTACGACATTCTTTGGATGTACATGTATACATTGATTTCATGCCTGGTACATTTTTACCATCTGCGAATATTCTATTCACAGTTTGATGCGGATCAGCACCATTCAACTAACTCTTTACCAGTTCGTCAACAAGTATCCCTTACGCAACCTCTTTACATTCGTCGCAATAAAACTATTTCACAAATTCCAAATTTTTGGGCTCTTGTACTCGAACAAGCTCCTCCTGATATAGATCAATATATTCAACCATCCGATTCCGCACTTTTACTCTCATCACTCACTTCTCTTCACGTATCACATTTCGAACTAGAAGATTCAACAACTGCGACTGGAGGGGATCCAAGATCTGTATCAATTATATGGACATTCTCTTCCAACGAATATTTCGAAGATGAAAAATTGGTCAAGAAGTTTTGGTATAGAAAGAGTCTTGGTGGATGGGGTGGATTGGTTAGTGAACCTGTTAGAATTCATTGGAAAAAGGGAAAGGATTTAACAGGAGGTTTACTGGATATGGTTTGTGATACTTGGGATGAGGAACAGAAGAATAAACCCAGCGGAGGAGACGATGAAAAGAAAGCAAAGAATATGACACCGCAACAAAACGCTCTCGAAAAGAAAATGGCAAATACAAGTATGGGAGGTTTAAGTTTCTTCGCATGGTTTGGATTTATCGGTCGAAAAATCAGTGAGGAAGAAAGTAAAGAAGCAAATGCTAGAGAATTAACAGAGAGAGAAGCCAGGAAGAAAGGGAAGAAAGTTACAGAACCAGAAGATGATGAGGATGAAGATGATGAAGAGTTAGGAATGAGTTTAGAAATTTTCCCTGATGGAGATGATCTTGCCATTGCTATTACGGAAGATTTATGGCCTGGTGCTATCAAATATTTTAGTTAGTCTACCCTTTCATCTCCCTAGCAATTCCATCCCCTTCAACAACCAGTATTTGGAAATTTTACTAACAAATATGAAATAGCTGCAGCACAAGAACAGGACGCACTATCAGATGCGGATTTTGAATCAGATGATGATGACGATGAATTAAATGACGCAGAGAGACCAATCAAGAAACAAAGATCTTCTTAAGTTCTTATAGATCATGTTGGGGTTTCGTAGAAGGGATTTGGTCGTTGTAGAAGAGTGGGTAAGGCTGGGTAAGGTTGGGTATTTTGATGATTATAAATAAGGATATAAAAATTTCCTTTCTTTTATATCTAGGTTGGGTGGATGGATGAATGAATGAATGGACGGATGGATGGACGGATGGATGTTGAATGGCGGAGTTTACTTTGGAATCTAAATCTAATAGGATGGAATAAATTGGATTGGATTAATGTTCATGGTAAGATAGCTAGAATATCAACAATCACGAATGGATTGAGAGTTGGAGTTAGATTTGGATTTGGATTTAGAGTAGTTTATTTAAATGAGAGGTTGGTGGGCTGGTAGATGAGCTGATAGGTGGTTTGGTTATAAATAAAGAGAGATTATAAAAATAAAAAGTTTTATATTTTATTTATTTTTTAAAATATCAACTCGGGGCGCCTCGCTCGATAGAGACTTTATTGATTAATTAAAATATTAAAATTTCTTTAAATTAAATAAATTAATATTTTTATTTTACAATATAAAATTTAATTTATATTAATCTTAATTATATAAATAAATATTTATTAATTTTAAATAATATATTTTTTATAAATTTCAAAATTTAAAATATAATTTAAAATAAATTATTTAAAAAAGTCTTTATAAAAATAATTTTTTTTAATTAATTAATTAAATTATTAAAATTGAGTTTTAATTAAACAAGTTTTTTATTTTTATAATTTATATTTAGTAAATCTTATATATAACAAGATTTTAAAATTAATTATATAAAAATAAATAAATATAATTCTTTTTGTAATAATTCATGTTATTTATATTTACTTTTGAATTTATTATGAAATTTTTTTAAATATATAATAATATAATATAATATAATCAGTTTTCTTTTTCAATTCTCTTTTATAATATATTGTTTAAATATATATATTATAAGAAAGTTGGAATTATAAGCCAAATACATAAAGGTTTTAATTAATCAATTATATAATCTTTTGTAATTAGATATAAAAGAAGAACTTTTTGCCTCTTCTTTTTATAAGAATTAACCTTTTATATATATACATTTGAATCTATATAGTATCAATTTCAAAACCATTGTGAATCCTGTTTTATCTATAAATGATATATTACAATGTAATTTAATTCAGTTTTCTCTTTCAATTCCCTCCTCACAGTGTGCTATCGGGATGCATGTATCTCGACCTACCACTTTTACAATAAATATATATATCTCGATCTGTTTCCTTTACAATATATATACTAATAATAAAAACAATATCACATCACAAAAACCTAAAGAACATAATCAACCACATAGAAAATCTGTCCAGAATATCATTCCCGCGGTTATCTTATCTCATTGAAAAGAATTCAGACATCAAAAAGCTCCCCGTATCTAAAGTGGCGATATCGATATACAAATCAAGCAAAACGCTTATTTTGGATTCATGCATATATGCCTGCTCGCATACAGAGAGCTGGGTTATCAATTCCTAACTCAGTTTATGATTTGATAATTGTATATACGCCTGTTTGCTGAACTATCTCACCGCTTTGATTTTACCACCAGCTGAATTTACTCTGCCTCTGCTACAGAGTAATACTTGTAAGAGGTGGCGAAGGCAAAAGTAAACCTAGTTATCTCCGTGAGGGGAACCTTCCTACAGAAGTACTCCCTAATATGCTAGCAGAGTTGTAATCGATATTTTGTTAAACCGCACAGTGATAAGTAGAGTAGGTATCTACTCTAGCTCTCCTGAGCTATCTAGGGGTATTGAAATATCTGAATAAGTAGATGCAAATGCTTAAGTAAAAGCAAATATCTAAAACCAAAATATATTTATCACAAGTGACTTCATCCTCGCTGCCGAAGAAACCAGTATCTAGATCTAGATATGTATCTCCAAACCAATCCTATTAAGAATCACGTACACTAGCTCTAAACAATCTTCGCAAACTTTTCACCCCCGATTCTCAATACTTGAAAGCACAACGACAAAATTGACAAGTATAAACTACTATAATACAAACTAGCGACTACAGTTTCATCAATACGCCTCATTCCACATTACCTAATCCCAGCTTTGAGCTGGAAAATATAACCGCCACAGTCGCTAAAACGAGTTATAGGATCCGGTGTGGATTTTGTGGCTGCAGATCCCCAAAGAATATGGCGGGATTGCCGAAGACATAGCGAACGATTAATTGGTTAAAATGACTTGAATCTAGATGAGTTAGATCATGAGATGCGAGTAGATGGATTACATAAGATTGGAGAAATAATATGCACGTCATCTAGGCTGAATGAATATGTGCATGAAATAATTACATCACCGGACCACCAGCAGCATTGGACTCGGTATAGAAAAACGCCTTCACGGAATTCCCCAGTAGCTCAACAAGACTCGATGCACCACGACAGGAAATAAGTAAGTTGTGCATCAAAAACTGTCTGATGTATTTAGAGATGGAGATGAGTAGTAGAAATACAGCTCGGATAAAGTTGTTTGGCGTTACAGCTTGGCTTTGCGTAGCTGCGGCGGTGCGTGGTGTTTAGATACACAGATTTGGTCACTAGTATGACGTACAAGTTATCACAACTTGTACGACATTATGAAGTTATTGATGTAATAGGGAGTAGAAAAAAGGATAAGTATTAGAGTTAGAAGCGAAGAAAAAAAGTAAGGACAAGAACAAGTAATAAATAGGTCAATGGATCGATCCAAAAACACACCAATTTCTATCCTTTCAAATACATAACTCCGATTGATTCCAAATGCCTTACAACGCCCGATCAGATGTTCTCACAGAACCAGTTGCCAATGGTGGGCTCGAAGACCCTCGAGCTGCCAAACAGCGATCATTTAGTGAACGGATGACTTGTCGGGACCTCACCGATTTTATAATAAACACAGCGGATATCTCACCACTAGAACCCAGATACAATAGGGAGTCCCACATACAAAAGTCAAATAGAGAATGCCAGGCCAAACTTGGCAGGGTCCTCTCCCGGTCTAAGGAGATTAGGTTGCCTGCCGCCGAACAGGATGTGCGCCAACCCTTATCGGACCTCCTGCCTGGGCCAATCGTCACTGGTGGTCTCAGTCGATCGCCTGCTTTTGATTGCCTACCTGTTGTGTCCCATTGGGCTGAGCGCACCGACGAGCCATCAGCTGCAGACCATGCCGCCACGGTACGAATTTTTTCGACTTGGGAAGCCATTGAAGTCATTGGAGAAGGGGCCACCATGCAGTTTCCACTTGGAGCTCCATGTTGGTCGCTAAAGTCTCACGGCATCTCCCCTGTAGATCCGGGATCTAGTAAGTTTTCTCAAAAATATCTAGAGAACACTAAAACGCTGGTTACGACTGTTGCGTTGGCCCGCCGTGTTGACACCCCTCAAACTGGGGGGGTTCTGAGCGCTGCGAGCGATATCTCTCGAATGCGCAACACACGTGTTGCAGACGCCGTTGATTGTGCGCTAGGGTTGCTTTCAGATGCTTCAGAGCTCTTGGCCGCACGTAACAAGGTGATAGCGACCGGAAATCCAGAACGTCTCGCTTTCGCCGAGGTGCACGAGGTAGTCCTGCCCTCCTGGTGCTCCGCCCGAAAACCTCTCCCACCAAAGCTGAGCGGTGTGGCACTCTCAAATGACCCTGCTACCATCGATGTTCTTGCCCGGGAGGGTTGCGAGGGGCCGCTACTCAACACCAGTATCTTCTCCATGGCGGTGGGCTATAATCGCGGTGTCTATGGGGGCTCGATCTCAGGTCTGTGGGCAATAATGGATTCGGCCTTTGTCCTCGATTACTCAATAGGCAAAGACAGCCCTGAGATGGCGGAGAAACTGGCTTTTAGTTTTGCTGAAGTCGCGGCTGTTTCTGAAACCGCCGTATATGCCGGTGACCATATCACCGATATTCGAGTTGTCAAAGGCTGCAACTATTCATGCTTACGCCAAAAGGCCATCATTGAGGACACCAGTCCTGTTGAATCCCGACCATGTATAGTCGTTTGGAAAGACCTCGCCCGACTGGCCCGTTATAAGCTCGCGGATGCAGTTTTCTGTCATGTCTATTATGATTCCGGTGGCGGGGAGCAAATGGCAGCAATGGCCGGTCTGGGATGCGTAGCGCATGACTGGATTGATATGGGTGCTGATTTAGCATGTGGAGAGATTAGCAACATCATCCCTTCATTGACAGGAGGCTCGTTTGCAGAGGAACTGTTGGCCGAAGTGTACTCTCGTTTTATGGGTTCGATGATCTGGTACCGCGATAACGATCCATATAACCCAGCCGCTCTATGCATTTTGTTCACTCACTGGTGGCAGCTTGCCAATTGTCGCCACCGACCTATTACTCTTCTGGGCCGGACTGACCTCGATACTGTTAACAAAGGCATCGCCGCAACAATTCCGGAAGGAAGGCCATCATTGGAGCATTTTCGAGCATGTGGTACCAAGATCGAGCGTAGTGACCGTCCACTTGCTAACGCCGAGGAGCGGCTTCGATGTCTCCTTTCCTCAAATCCATTGCCGGAAACTCAAGCAGTCATTGACCTCCTTGTGAAACCAGTTCTTGCCTACGTGAAAGGAGGGGATCGGTTACCTTTTGAGAATGAATACGTGGGTGCTGTCCTTGCTGCTGAAATAGCTTACCCCCACGGGCAGAAGATTATAGAATTATGGGACCTGGCGATTGTCATGTGGGAATGTGGGGCCATGTGGGCCGCCGGAGTGGCAGGTCTTTGCTATACTCACACCGGAAAGTTCAACTGTGATAGAGCTCGCAATGATTTGTCGGAAACTACTTGGAGTTAAATGACGGGTTTGATTATTGAAAACAAAACAAGTCTTTTTAGGGAATCTAATTAAAAAATAAAATTTACTGGAAAATATAATACTTATATACAGCTGTCTCTCGGTCGGGTTTTATCCGGAATTATTTAATTATATTACTTTATTCAATCTTGATTATTAAATTAATTCTTTAATATTTGAATATCAAATTTGAAAATATTGAAATTCTTAATATATATTATAAAAGTGATAGGTCGAGGTATTGTCACGATTTACGATTAAGATTATGGTGTGTTGAGAGGCAACAGTCAACTTGTCCACATGAGCTTAGGCCTTATCGAAAAGCAGGGCGATTTGTATATAAAATTGTATAGTAATTGTTTTATATAATCTCTTTATCTTTAACAAATTTGGATATATAATCTGATTTTAATCATATAATAAAGAGCTTTGAAAGCTTCGAAAACTTTTAGAACTTCAAAAACTTTTTGAAGTTTTAAAGTTTTATAAAGCTCTTTTATATTCATTAATATATAATCAGAATAATTTTATAATTTAAAAGTTTTATACTCAATTTAATTATCAATTAATTTATTTATATTTCAATTGATTTAATAATATATTCATCTTCGAATAAATAATTAATGATTATTAACTTTAATCTATAATTACCAACTATACAAAAACCTGAGGCAGCCGCTGCCTCAATCAGATCGTTATAATATCTTGATTTATCATTTTTATAATATTTTAAAAAAGAAAAAGTTTTAGAATACAAAGAACTCTAGAAACTTGAAAAGCTTTTAAAACTTTAGAAGCTTTTTGAAGCTTTTGAGTTTTATAAAGTTTTTTTTCATTTATTAATATATAATCAGAATAGTTTTATAATTTAAAAGTTTTGTATTTAATTTAGTTATCAATTAATTCATTTATATTTCAATTGATCTAGTAACAAATTCGTTTTCAAATAAATAATTAATAATTAATAATCTTAATCTATAACTATTAATTATACAAAACCTCAGGCAGCCGCTGCCTCGATTAGATCGTTACAGGAAAATAAGAAACTTGTTTAAATGAGTCGCGATCTTGATAATCTGATTGGTCTAAAATACCCCGGTAAATACCCCGGTAAATAATCTAATAAAAAACTTGATATAAACCTTACAATCTTAAACAAATCTAATTTAAAACTTTTTTCAACTCTATTAAAATTATTCAATTGAAATCATTCAACTCTAAAATCATTTAATTCAACTCTATTCATTCAATTCAATTCATTCAATTTATAATAATAATAATAATAATTTTTAATTTTTAATTTTTAATTATCAAAAACAAACCGATATTCTATCTGCATTTTAATATATATATTCAATATTTAAATTTATTATAAACTTTTTAAATTTTGAATTTTTATTAGATATTCTTGAAAAGTCAAGAATCCAAGGGGCGCAGGCTCTTGATAATTATAAAAGTTATTATTATCTTTAAATTGATTTTGAAGAAATATATTATAATATAATATAAATAATAAAATAAAAAGTATAAAAGAGTATTAAAAAATATATTTAACACATTTCGATAAATGATAATGTATGATTACTATACCTGAAAATAAAACCTGTGTAACGTTCTACTTCCGCGCCCCTTTTCTTTCCTGCAAGGCAGAATAACTGACGCTCAGCATCAGAACTAGAATAAGAAATATTCAAAATGAGATCAAGAACAGAAAATATGAAAATGAAAGAAGAATTGTAGATCCAAAAGAAGCAAAAAGTGCCTATATATCTTGGGGCCATTGGTACAAATCAATCTTTCAAAAGACTTGCATCTCTAATCTCTAAAACAATTCGGATATCGCAAATTGAATTAAAGCCTCCCGTCGAAATATAGTCCGGACTACCAGGAACTTTGTCTATGTTCAACCCACGTTTATCCCACGTTCTTTCGCACGTTCCACGACCCCTATCACGCCTCGACCACGTTTAACCCATGTAATCCCACGTGTACAGCATGCACCTCGTCTGTCTCCCATGCAAATTCGGCATCAGACCCGAGTGCATGTGCCCACGTAATCTCGTTTACTCTCAAGATGAGAGGATGCTTGTCGTTGATCAGAATCTCATTTTAACTTCCAATCCGTTGATTCCCATTTCCACCTGCACGGAGTCTTCGAATATCTATAATGCAGGCAGTACCAGTTTATTAAGTAAAGGAGGTCTAAGTCTTTTCCTGGACCTTAGCTGGGTTCGCAACTTGCGCTCCGACCCAGCAGTCTTATTGCTCCAGACCAGATTCGTGTCTATCTATCAGGCATAACCCGATCCTTCAAGCCCAGGCCCATGTGCGTCCGTTCGCTAGTCGCGTAAAAGCTCGCATATAGGGCATCTCATTCACATCCCTACCAACATATCATGCGGATCAAATCTTATCCGACAGCCCGTCATTACTTTTTGTCGAAACCCCCACGTAAAGCCCACCATGCAATATTGCGTCCTCAGACCCCTTGTCTTAAAATCCAAAATTTAAGCGCCCAACCCCGTAGGCGATCTCCTACGTCCACCCCCATCCTATTTCGCTCCCACTTGGTTTTCACATGGCCTAGCACTAGTCTAGACCCGCTATGCCCGCCAACATGCAGATAGTATGAACTTCTCTTCAAGGTCCCCACCATATCTCCGAGACCGTGGACCCGTTGCAGCAAAACCCTCCTGCTAGTTCGCGAATCTATTGATCGATAATCCTGATCAACTATAAACTTTTTCACAGAAGAAAGTCAAAACCTAAAAATTGTCGAGATGCTTTCTACGTTGATACACAATTCGCAAGTATTTCCAGACCGGGTAAAATAAGTATCCATAATACTCCAATTTAAGTGGCGTGATTACCTGATCAGCACGGTAAATCCCCAAACCAACTTTTAGATACTGAGATACGACGGAACAAGCCCTACTTGCATTTTCAATAGAGAAGAAGCTCAGGCGATTTTCAATGTAAATTGTACACAAAAATACCCTTCTTGCAGCTGAGTTTCTTAAGCCTGAAAGACTATTCGATCGTCAAATCTGAAGTGGATATTGGAGATTGCAAATCATGTGTGGAATCGTGTGAATTCTAAGAATAAGAAAACATGTATATGCGGAATGGACACTGAGAATTTCACAAGGGTGTATAATCCTACTTCAGCCCATAAATTCCGGTGAAGAATCAGACCCATAAAGTACTCACCCCATTAGGTACCTCCATTACTTTCAAGACAGCTTTGCCGAAGCAGAGTTAACGAGATATGCAAAAATAAATTCACCATGCTCAAGTTCTGACTAGTGTAGTGATAGTGGAGATACGACGTGATTTGTCAAGCTCAGCCGACTTATAAATTGCAATGTCATAACGGGACCGCGAAATGCAGGGAAACTTCCCGGTACCTTTGTAAGCGCGGTGCCTGGAACATTTCAATAGATAAGTGAAGAATGAAAGAAAAGAAACAAGTATTTATCAGATATTCAATTATTCTCTTCCATGCCCATGTAGGGCTGGAGCTATTTCCCAATTATGTTTGGTTAGCCATCGCGACGCATAATGCAGGCCAAAACACCCGTCCATCTGTTCAGCCCGATCTCTCATTCCATAGACATCCAAATAGTACAATCACCGCTCCAGTCCGACCAAAACATCCATCCATCCACCCAAACCTACAGCTCAATAACACAATGACCTAGAAAGATGATCCAGAATACCACCGCCACCGTCCCTAATCACACAGTCTTTGGTCCAGAATTTTCCTATCCACCCATCCAAATCATCCCTCAATCATTTGCCATGTCCGTTCCTCCACCCAATATGTGCCTTTGAATCTTATGTAATGTATTGTAAAAAAGTATTTAGGCAAACCAAATAGCCAAGTAGTAGTAAACCGAAGTTAAGATCTCGCTCGCAAGCAGGCATCGCAGGCAGCGCAATCGCAAAAGGGTATCTAGGCGTAGTCCGAATATCCTTCCAATGAGTTCTCGTCTGTGCAGTGCAAGGGCAAGTGCAAGCAAAGCAGACAGAACGAAGAAGCATAGAAGCATAGAAGGTAAACAGCTCGCATATGTCATTTTTCATTTCGTCGTAAACCCTAGCCAGTAGTTTGAAAATAAGTAGTGCATGCGAAAAAGGGCAAGGCGAGTAAGAAGTGAATCGACGAAAGAATTAGAAGACTGTTCCGTCACTGAGGATGGCAATGGGTGGACATTGAGTATTTGGTCGCGAGATTTCGGCCATTTCTCTACCTCCCTATTTGTTTAATTAGTATTTGGTGTACTACACGCGAGAAATGGATGTAACATACCTTCCAACTTCCAGCCTCCAACATTTGTGGTAGTGACAGTTTATCTTGACCAAAAAGTCCTAGACTGGCATTGACTTCGTCTACTAACAGGTCTAGAAACCCAACAGTCACAGCTCTCCACTCAACGATTACATCATCATCTGGTGTGAACATTGGGACGACTTCCAAGCTTGGTTTGCCTTCTCTCTCTGCATTTCGATGGAATGCTTCTAGTCCTCTTTTCGTGTCGTCTCTTCTTAGTGTCAATACACCAGTATCGATGAACAGACCACCATTTCGATATTCGGGTAAACCAGTTAATAATTCAGCTCCGGCGAAATGGATATTCATGAGTTTAGTCATTGGTTGCATAAGAGAGTAGCAAAGCCATTGAGAGAGCTTGTGGAAGGGAACAATTGTCTCCCACAGAGGGGTTGCAGCATCTGCGGGCATAGTGCTTAAATGCCATGCGTCGCCGATAGATGTGCCGTCAACTTCTGTGCGCGAGGCTGGCCAGATTGGTGCAAGACCATCTATCAAGACACTCCACAAGGTAGGTAAAGGAACGATTGGTACGGATGCGGCTTGTGTGGAAGGATGAGAGATAAGGTAATCTGTGAATGTTAGACTAAAGTACTCCTAAACGTTGTAAAGACTTACCTAGCATATTTCCAGGTCTGGCATCTGCACCAAACAAGGAAGGATTTCGCAAGGCTTTGGCCAGTTTAACCAGTAAGCCAGTTCTTCCTGCCAAACCAGCAATCGGATTTTGTTCGGTGACCTGTAGACCTGAACTCATAATCTCCACTGTCAATCTGCACAATCCATCGGCATCAACCTGGTGTGGTTGTTCTGGATCACTACTGAAAGTACCCGCCTTGAACATCTCCAAACTAGCAATTGCCAAGCCTTCACTCCTTCTATATGTGCGTCCGTTCTCTACACTCTTATATTTCCATGAGGTACCAGCACCAGCATCGAGCAATACAGATACGAGGAAGAGATCTAGGATTCGGCGACATTGCTCGGAAGGATCAACTTGACTTGGCCAGCTCGCTAGGAGTTCTGCAATTCTGTCAATGCCTCCTACGTTGAAATGTTGCCAGCGACCATGTGGGGGAATAGTGTTGTAATCGGGTGCGAAATCGCGCTGGAGTGGCAACAAATATTAGAATCAGATCTAGCAAACCTGTGTAGTGCAGATGCAAATGAATAAATACCTTGATTATTGAGACGACAAACTTTGTAGTGTCTTTGAACCTCCCCATATCAACTTCGAAGTGATTCAAATCATTCTTCTTTGCCTTCTCCAAGACGATACCGCATCTTTCCCGCACAGCACCAATACTCCTCAAATATCCAGCTGGGTCTACAGTTGGATCTGGTGCTTTGGGTAACGCGATCTTTGGTATGTTGGGGATAGACATTCTCGAGAAACCGGGAGTGGAAGGCGATTTAAGGGATGATTGTGAGGAACGAAAAGATTGAACTTCTGTTAATTGTGTGGAATTTGTTCGTGATGATGAAGAGTTCGAAGAAGAATGCTTTTCTTTGCGTGAAAAGAGGCCCATAGCTCCGTATTTAAACCTTTTCCCTTGCGTCCTCGGTATGCTTCCTTATGCGGATGCCCTGTACAATGCAGGACAAGTACAGTGCGTTCTCTGCGTTCCCCGGTTGGCAACTTGTAGTTTAGTCGGTCCGCCGTACTTGGTCAAAATTCCCGAATTCCCGTCCTGTAAGCAAGTGGAAATGGAAAGGCTGGGTCTGCAATTTTTATCAATTCGAATCAATTGTTGTTTTAATCTTTTTCTTTAATTTTTGGGGGGGATTTTTTGGTAACGGGTCCTTTGGTTATCGGTGGTGGTGGTAAATGCACAGTACAGACGGCGCTCTTTTTTGCGATAAGCCTGTAAGCTGTTTGGAGATGAGGGGGTGACTTTGTAGTCCCTGCGGACCTGGTTGGAAATTCCGTAATTACCTGATGTGATAATGACCCTTTCCCTTGGATTGATTTAGGTCGACATTAGGTCCTTGCGCTTGCTTTGAATGTACTCGAGTACCTAGGTATAGGTAGGTTGTCTTAGACTCTCAGGAATAGAGATCAACCGCGGAAGAGGGAGGGATAATATGATTTGACGGCTTGCCCAAGACTTTCGTGTGGATAGCAGGTAAGTGGGGGGAGAGGAAAGAGAGTCGGAACTGTGGATACCAATCTTTTTAATCTTTTCTTTTTTCTCAGAAGAGAAGAGAGAAAATTTGGAGTACCAAATACCAAAGTATAGTAGTATCAAGCAGCAGGAGAAGCAATAGTGAATGAGAATGAAAAGTGATTGGCTGCTTGGTTACTTGGATGGGTCCTTCCGGTAAGTTATTCCTGTACGTATATGTATGTATGTAAAGCTAGCTAGCTGTATGTACGTATGTATGTATATATATGTATGTATGTCTTGTATATGTCCATGTATATGTTCCTTATTTATGGGCAAAGGATGTGTGTGTATGAGGTGATGTTTCGGCTGGAAGATAGATATTGCTTGTGGAAGATTTCGAGTATTAAAAAGAATATGTAGAGTGGTGTGTAGTGTAGTATGGCGAGGTGAGTGAGGTAAGTGGAGATTGGAGTACGATATGATCTTCTCGTCGCTTCTTTTTGATTAGGTCCAGAACCAATTTGATTGATTTCCACCCCCAGAGCCCAGGTTTCTCCTCGACTCTTTCAGGTCCTGATGTAGAATAAGGTAAGGTACCAACTGTAAATACAGTGGTATTAGAGATTAAGAATAGTGGAGGAAGAATAGTGGAATGATTAAGTGATGTAGTGAGGAAATACCTTGGACTCCGTAGAAATTGGTATGATACCCAGATATATTAGCTATTAGTCGTCAGGCTGGCAAAGCCGATCAATAATCAAGATCAATAATCAAGGTCAATGTCTGAATCGAGCTGTTTCAGGTGAATTGATCTGTTGATACCAGGTCTAATACCTCGAATGCTTCACGGAGGGGGGTTGCAATTGTTGATAATTAGCCTAGAGAGGTAATAGCGCTGGTACGAGCAGTAAGTTTGACAGTGGGGATATTGCGATTGAGCTGTATTCGGGTAAGATCTATAATCTTCCGGTTGGTACTGGTAGCTTCTAGGCAGTTATTGTATTGATTTGCATGGAGTATGTATATAATCGGACTTTTAGATTCGTGCGTGCGTTTTAGTTCCAATTACCGGTATGGCTGGTGATGACAATTTGAGATGTGAACTTTGCAAGAGTCCAGAGCTTCCCAGACGACGAAGTTGATGAATAGTCTCTATAAATAATGTAAGATTTACGGTTGAGTACTTGTAGATACACAGTGGAGATGCAGGATTAGAAGGAAGAATAACGAAGGAATTATTAGTAGTACACTATGAACGCTTACCAAAATATTCCTGTCGCTTATTTATGTGAATCCCCTGCGATGTTGAAGGAAGATTCGAAGAAGAACCGGTATGCTTTCAGGATCTCCAAGATTACTCCTTAAAAGATACCAAAGCATTACCTCATACAGGATGTACACGAAATGAATGGTGTGCTTTGAGTATCTAAATCCAAGAAATGATCATAAGCCAGGACATCTTGACTGCCGGCTAAATTCATTTCTTTATACCAAAGCGACGTGAGGCGTTTGAAGCCTTAATTGCCTATTAAGTCCGATTACGAGCTTGTGTTAGATTATTCCTATGTATGGAGAAAGTCCTGCAACGACCTTTGATTATTAGTATTGTATCCTCTAAGGTTAAATTTAATAAGGGCTCAAGCCTCGAACCTACTACCTTCATCCTTCATAACGACTTATCAACTACAACCATTTAATGCTGAGCATCCAGATCCAACGAACTCCAAAGATTGTTAATCCGCCGAGAATAAACCCAGTAGAAATCGCCCAATGCCACCCAAATAGACGAGGCGATGTTCCCGTACTCTCGTTCCCCAGTGTACCATTTGCCATTTTTCAGGGGTTCAACTTAGAAAAGCAACGGCCATGGCGTAGGAACAGAGAAATTGATTTGTGCTCGGAACATGACTGCTTGCTCGCTTTACCTCGGAGTTGCCTTCAAGGAATACTACGCTGGTAAAGTACAGTGCGGTTCAAAGTTAGATAATGAGGATTAATTGGTTCATAATTATTGGGATCCAAACTCAAGCTCACACCGTACAAGCTACTTGCAAGCAAAAGGATTGGAGGATTTGATGGAATCGCGATTATCAGTAAACGCCTCACGCCGTCAACGGAAGTTCCGTTTGGTACGCCATGACTTGACACGATTCATGGATGCTCGGGATTTTGTTCAAGCTTGGTAAAAAGCATGTATCCAAGGGATTTAGGTGCAATCCCGAGCATCGGAATGTGGTTGGTGACGATTTTCATGGATAGATATTATTCAGGAGGGGCGCTTCATATATTATAGTTTGTGTCCAATTTGCTACGGACCGTACGGGTAAGTTCTTTCTCCCTCGCCTGCTCAACTGCTGGGTAGCAAAGTGGACACACTTCATAACACAAAGCCTTCATAGCTGGGCCAGCTTCAAACCTTCAGAGCAAATTACGAGTAGAAGCACGGAACCAGTCCCCAAAAGTATGTTACCCACGCAATTGTCTCCACATTTTCTACCCTACAAAGTCTTCACTAGATTGCTTCTAGTTTCCCAAGTCCGTGGACACTGCACCTCTACCTTGTCTGTGATTACCCAGCTACACCATCATGGAACCCCTCTCATCAAAAATAATGAGGCTTGACATGATTGATATCGGCATCTTATCCCATAGAGTGATATTGGACCGGGATATAGGCCTATTGATTGACACAACCATCCCATCCCATATCATCCCGATATGCAGGTACGAGTAACGAAAGGGACACCTGAGATCCATATTTCAAGGGTTCCAATGGGCCGGCTCGCGGATAAATGGCGAGGTTTTTGGTTTGCAATGCAATGGCGGGTTGTTAACGCCGCGTCGGTTATGATTGTAAAAGAGGTTAGGCTGGCAATGTTAATAGACAGTTTTTGAAGATATTGATTGATTGATCGATGTTTTGCTCACCATTTACAATCTAATGAAAGAAAGAGGCATAGGGGTAGTACGAAATTTAAATGTATTAAAATGTGGCGAGAGATTCGTCAATGATGGATGAGATGGATGATTAGCTGCATGGAGGTGAAAGAGGAAGGTAAGATTGAAGTCGACATTAACGTTACGAAAGATAGTGAGTAGTAGTGCCCGTTGCGAGGGATGGATGGTCCGAAGAAAGAGGCACAGATGGGCTTGTGCTGAGAGGAAAATTCGCTCGGCACCTCCTCCCAACGATCTTACCTTTGGAGGACTATCGATCATCCTCATCTAATGTATAACTCAAAGATGGGGTTGTAAAAGGCTCAATCACGGTTCACATCGTGGTGGACGGAATTTGAATTGGTGTAAATCACAACGCGTTTTGGAAGCAAAGCTCATCAAGCTCATGCAAAATTCCTGCAAAGCTGGTCCAACGTTGACATACGAACCGCTTCATTTTCCTTGTTCTTAAGCTCCGTAAAGAGAAACTGGAAAAGTCAATGTTCCACAAGACATGCAACAATATTGAAGCTTCCCCTGAATTTGCATTGCTCATTGCTATTGATGCCTCCATATGGTTACGTCGTTACGAAGTGCAGTTCCATCGTCTGTACCACCAACTCAATCAGGATTTTACCTCCGTTCAGAGGTATTTGCTTAAAATGCACACGTAATATATTATCCATCGTCACATGTGATTTTGCACTAAACGGACAACGGGATCGCTTTATTGTGTACGAAAAAGCATAATTTATTAGATCCTCAATGTAAATTAATATATTCCATCGGCTATGTTGGTGCTAAGTTGACGAATCGAGGAACACCGAAAGAATACATACACCCTTGAACACGGAAAGATGGAATATATGGTCTAGATGCTTCGTCTGATGTGACGTTCAAGATTTCAATTAAGAAATTTTCATGAAAACAATAGAACTAAGAAGCTGGCTCTAGAGTCTGGAGTCTGCTCTGTTGGTAGGATCTGCTTACAATCTACACGCTACACAATATATGGAGCAAATTGAGTGCCTGGCTAACTGCTAAAAGATCAAATGAAGCTTTCCTCGTCATTAAATGAAGGGGAAGCTCTTCGGATGATCTCATCTCGACCGGACGATTGATACTCGAGTAGATATATCTAATTTCGAAATAACGGTAGGTAAACTCAAATTTCAACTATGGTTAAAACAACCTCAAAGACAACTAAAGGCCCATTGAAGGGACAGTCTCAACTTGAAATTGTGAAAGCCTCATGACCTCGATGACCTCGATGACCTCCATGAGCTTCATCTCTCTTCTCCGTTTACCAAGCGGGAGATCAACCTGTTGGGAATATATACGGAGTAGGTCTTATATTGCAATTGAAAATGAGCCCAATCATGGTAACTTAGGTTAACCTGAGGTTACTTGGACGTGGGATGTGATTGTCTACCCAGGCATGACACACACTGTAACTGTAACCTCAACTCCAACACTCCGTAGAATATGAGGTAAACGTACGGTAAGCGAAACAATCACCAAGCGCAATATCAATAGGGAACGAAACCCATCATGAATTTTCAATACAACAGATGTTTCCTACAATATTCTCTCGCGCATAACGGCTTTTCACCCAGTTTGTTTTTCTTCCGTAGCCCTTGTTCTTTCCGCATCGAATGCATACACTCTTTTCTTTCCATGTCAAAAAATGGACGACCTTAATGGCCTAGATTGGTCTGCTACCTCCAACACGAAACCAAATAAAGTATCGCCTGGTACAGGAAATTACTACCCCGCGCTACGTCCAACTCCATCACCTGCGAACTCTGGACAAAATACTCCTCTACCTGCTCAAGGTTCAGGAGCTTCAAAATCCTTTGCGCCGCCTAAATCCAAAGCTCCAGACAGCTTCGCGAACCTCGTTGCTTTTGGATCTTCAAAAACGAACACGTTGACGTTACAACAACAGCAAGCGAAGCTACAAGAAGAGAAAAGGAGGAAGGAAGAAGAACAGCGGAGGCAATATGATGCGCAATTTGGAAATGCACAATTTTGGGATGGATTGGGTAATTCGGGAAAGGGCATTGCCGGGCTATCGCCACTACCATCACCAATTCCTGTCATGACGAGCCAACCTTCCACATCCCCATTCGCGCCGGCTATCTCTCCCCTGCCAGCTGGAAATGGTACTGGCGACTCCGGAGACGATGATCTTTTCGCGGCGTTCAACAAAGATACCAAAGTAGACGCATCAAGTCACTATCCACCCCCGTCTACCTCTTCAAGTCGTGCGCACACTCCAGGGTTTGGCATAGCCAGTATACCCGATTTAAGTCAACCACGAGCCTGGGATCAGCCAATAAGTGGTGTGGGTCCTTTCGGTGATGATGATGATGATGATCCATTTGGATTGCGTCAGATGAAACCGCCAAACTCTGCGCCAGTACCGACATCAAACGCAACAGACGACGACGATTTCTTGGGAGATTTGGGAAAGCCGGTAGAAGAAGTGAAAAGGCCTGCACCTGCGATACCGGAACTACGCGCCGAATCGAGCTCAGACGATGAGGAATCTAATGATCCTTGGGATAAGGCCGTTGCCGAACTTCTGGATATGGGGTTTACTGCAGAACAATCCAGACGTGCTTTGACTGAGAGTGGTTCTGGTCTAGATATACAGGCAGCTGTGGGATGGATATTGAACGACGCACATGCGCAAGCTAAGGCAAAGACACAATCTAGGGAGCCTAGTCACCGTAACGGTTCTGCATCGCACGGAGAAAGAAGGAACGTGTCAACGGATGGACGAAAAGCGAATCCAGCGTGGATGCGAGAAGAAGGGAGATCTCAATCACAGCAACCTCGAAGAGAAGATAATCGTTCACCAAATAACGAAAATGACTTTTCTAAAACTGCCGCTGCTGTTGGAAGTAATATTTTCAAAACCGCAAATTCTTTTTGGAAGACGTCTCAAAAGAAAATTGAGAAAGCGGTTGCCGAGTTTCAAGCAGATGCTGACCCAAGTCAACCGAAATGGATGAGGGAGGCGGCAGAAAGGGAGGCTATGTCTGAACAACGGGCCAGACAGGTAAAAGCTGAGGCTGCTAAAGACACCGCGGATGTTACAGATGAAGCTCTTGCATTGGAAATTGGGTCTGGGCCTCCGCCAAGGAAAATGAAAGCTTCTACATCTGATTCGGGGGCTTTACGTGATAAATCTCCTATTCCCGCGAAATTCCCACCAGAGCGTTCAACATCTAATCCACGTTGGCAACAATCACAACCAGAACGGCCTGGATCTAATCCATGGCAGCAAGCACAACCCCAAAGTCGACCGACTCCACCTCCGGCAGCACCTAGAGTACGAGTGAATAGACAAGCAGTAGAAGAAGAAAGTGCTCAGGCATACGTTAGTTCTGCTCGACGAAAAAAGGCTACCCCTCAACCTCAGCCTACGCGGGAGTCAGAACCAGATCTTCTATTCGGCTCTTCGTCAGCATCAAAACCTACATCAAACCCGGCAGCCTCTAAACCGACTCCAAAAACAACACCGTCGCCGAAGCCTACGACACCAGTTCCATCCAGACCAAAAGCCCCCGCGCGTTCAATCCCTGCTATTTCTCCTATCGCTCTGAAGTCTTCAACGCAACATCGCCTAGAAGGCAAAGCACATTTCGATCGTGGCGACTACTCCGCAGCTCACACATCCTACACTTCTTCACTTTCCCCTCTCCCTCAAAATCATCCAATAATCATTCTACTACTCGCAGAACGATCTATTAGCTCGGTTAAGACCGGCCACCCACGTGAAGCCATCGCGGATTCTGATCGTGCTATTGAGATCATTGGATCTTCTCGCGGTCAAGATGAAATCATTGACTTAAGCACTGGTGCCGCAAATGACCGTAAATCCATGAAAGAATATTGGGGAAAGGCTTTAACGAGTAAGGCCGAAGCATTAGAAGCACTAGAGAAATGGAAAGATGCAAGAGATGTTTGGAAATTATGTATCGAAGGTGGTCTTGGTGGAGCTACGGCTATTCAAGGCCGGCAACGCTGTGACAAGGCCCTCGCTCCTCGCCCAGCATCTCGCCCTGTTCAAAGGGCTCGACCGACACCATCCGCTGCAGCATCATTAGCTCCAACCGCCGATTCAGATGCTGTTTTACGCTTACGTGCTGCAAATCAAGCTGCTGAAAAGGCAGATGATGAGAAACTGGCTTTGGTGGATAAGGTCGAGGCGCGAGTCAACAAGTGGAGGGAAGGAAAACGAGATAATCTCAGAGCCTTGATTAGTAGTATGGAGAATGTGCTTTGGGAGGGTAGCGGCTGGAAGAAAGTGGGCTTGCACGAGTTGGTTATTAATTCTAAGGTTAAGATTAACTACATGAAGGCGATTGGAAAGTGTCATCCCGATAAGGTTAGTTTCACACTCTTTCTGATTTGGTTGAGCTGTGAAGAGGTTAGAGGAGTAGGACAGCAGCTAATCATTACAATCTATAGTTACCACAAGATGCATCGCAGGAAGTGAGGATGATTGCAGCAATGGTTTTCTCAACTTTGAATGAGAGTTGGGATAGTTTTAAGGCGCAGAATGGTATGTGAGGGATGTTAGCAGGAGCTGGGCATTTAGAAACGTAAAGACTTGGAAGCAGCAAGTTACCATGATGACTGATGATAATTGATGATGAATTATATAGAGTAGTGCTACAGCTTCGATTGTGAAGTATTCTTAGTTGTGTTTTTTTTTGTTCGATTGTGAGACCTATGAGTTAAGATGATATTGTGATTTCTCTTTTTATTTTTATTTTGGATTCAATGAGGTAAATTTGTATTATGTGATGGTTATTTGAAGTTATCTAGTTATTCTCTTAGAGAAAATATTCTTAGGAGTGAATTAGATACGAGAGGACGGTTGATAGTTATCTGTATGTCTAGTGACTTGAATACTCAGCTGTCAAGTATCACCACGCAAAGGAAGGGAATTAACGACTATGCTTCTTGCTTCATTCATCAATACCAAGTTCTACCCGCCAGCCCATCATCCTCCGTACCTTGTTGAGTCGGGAGTGCGATTACCCATCAATTACTCTAAGGCACAAGCACATGACGCGGCATCAGGGACTTATTCTACTGTTATTCCATCCATCATTCAAAGTTCGTACCCATGGCAATTACCCTAGTTGCATCTAAGTCTTCCTGCAATTGTCCAATTTTGTCCTCCAAGGCAGTCACACAGTCTGGACCTAACGGCATACGCAAGTAACCATGTCCTTCTATAACAGCCTTGACAATTGCACACGCAGCTTTATCAGGGTCCCCTTTCACAAAATCTGGAATGGACATAATGTTTACTGTTCCCTTTACCATTTGCTCAACGGCAGTACTTTTGTATGCCTCGCTGAGACCATTACTATCTTGATACTGAGCTGGTGTGATGATCCTGCTTGCGAAGGGTGTTCTAAATGCCCCAGGTTCTACAATGAGGACTTTGATGCCGAAGGTTTTGACTTCATGGGAGAGAGACTCATAGACTGCTTCGATGGCGAATTTACTAGCGGAGTATGATGATCGTGCTGGCCGGGCTATAAATCTTTCCGGGCGAAATATATCTCATTAGCGGAACTGCAAGCGCACTCACAAGGATCAGATCTGCCAAAAGAAAGGTCCAGAATGCATAAGAGCAACATACCCCGCGCCACTGCTTATAAGCACAATATTTCCGGAACCTTTTTCCCGCATGACTGGAAGACAGGCTCGAACGGCTCGAAGCGGCCCATAAAAGTTAACTTCCATCTGCTCACGAACTTCATCCTCACTGCATCCATATCAGTAAAAGTAACCACGTGCACCACCCATGTTTAAATAATAGACCTAGTATCCTCGACACCTCCAATTAAAGCATAGCCTGCATTATTGATCAAAACATCAACAGCGTATTCTCTCACGCATTTCGAAAACTGCTCAAAAGCATCTTTTTTCGCCGGATCCAAAGCTATCCAGATCCCTCCTGTTGCAGCGAAATCAGGAAAGGATAATTCGGCTTTGGATATATCTCGGGTTGTTCCGATTACTTTGCAATTAGAACTAAGAGCTTCCAAAGCGAGCGATTTACCGATGCCGGAGGAGGCGCCGGTTATTAACCAGGTGGAGAGAAATGTTGTCATGGCGGGTACAGTACGTTCGGCTGTGGTCAAAAAGGAAGTGATTTATTACATTTGGAACTTTGATCAATACATGACTTTTGTTGAGTATTAAGTGGGTGGCTCGACGGACTTAGTATGGATTCAGCGGAGATAATATTAACTCCATCATGCTTGTAAATCCTGGGTATTTACTCTAACAATATTAAAAAGTGCAACTTCTTGCCAGAGCATTTTAATCTTCTGAAAGTGTGAGTGTCCAGCTTTATACACAAAAGTCTTACTTACTTCTTGATGACTCTGATGCATATTAAATCCAAACAAGGACAATTCGCTCTTTCTCATCAAAATAGACTACAAACTTAGATTGTATGAACTAATTATGAGACTATTTTAAACATCTCGTTGCATCCGCGCTGGCCATTTTCCGGCGCATAGTCCTCCAGGCAGAGAAATCCGTTGCATTTGGCAGACATATAATTGAAAGAAACACTGCGCTATCCCTCTACCACACCAGCTCTTTCCTTCCTTCCTTTCCTTTCCTTTCCTTCTTCTCTAGCAGTACATCGCCCAGAATCACTCAAAATTGATCCATTCCGCTAGTTTTAACCCTTCCCACCATTCCTGAACATTTTGCTTCTCATACCGACCTAGTGTTGCAGTAATTCTTACAGAACAATGAACACCAATAACAACACTACATACTATATACTATAAGATTAAACACATCTTCACAAATCCCTATATCTAGATGTAGATCTTATAGCATGATATTATATAAATAAGAACTATAGTAACTATTCCTCCAAAATCTTAAATCCAAACTCGATTTGTTTCTTTATATCGTACTCGAGCGAGTCCGACGATGATTTCATTAACTATCTAGGCCTACTACATACTATACGATAAGAAGTTTCTTTGTAGAGCAGAATTCCGAGCTGGGAGTAATCTTACGGTTAGAAGATCATCTAATTCTCTGTTTAGTCTAAGCATACGATGCGATAAGTAAGAAGTGCCTATTAGATAACTAAAATCTTATATTGCTGTTAATTGGTGAAGAATCTCAATACATTCATCGGATTTAGATATTCAACGGGTGATCTATTCGCTATCTGAGTGACTTGTATTAGATTAGTTCGGTCATTAGATGCTGGACACAACATGTGAATATTGCAAACCCACAACATTAAAACAGAATCTCCGGAAGTCTAGACACACACCATCTCATATATCTTGCTCATACGCATATTCACATCCTCAATAAACACATATCAAATCTTACTTGAATACAACGACTTTTTATAAGATTTTCTATGTATCCTAAAGCTTAGGGAGTAAGACTGTGATATTGTATATCTAATACATTTGCAATTTCTCTACTAGTCTAGATCGATTGTAGACAATACTTCGTAAAATCTCATCTTATCATATAGCCATACAGCTAGATATTGCAAAATGAGTAAAAAGCAGAGACAACATGACTTTGTATGTGCTTGTAATCGTATCAGAAATATGAACAGGCTGACAGCACCTTACTCTCAAATGTACATCTCTCTTTTCCTCAATTGTCCAACACTCTGTACCAACCCAAATGCAACATGAGGTATTTTCTCATCCGCCCCCCTTTGACCTTCAGAATCTCTACTGATATCCTTCAAATCGCCCGTTTTGGTCGGATCTAAGATAGGACCGAACTTCAACTTACGGTCCTCAGAATCCGTTTGCAATGGCTCCGCACCCAGCGATGACCTTCCGAGACATTCGTCCAATTCCGGGTTTCGAGTAGTAGCGACGATGGCCGAAAAGGAATTGGAATGTACCACTCCATTTGAATGCATGGCAAAGACGCCGACGACCACAGCTATAAAAGAAAACAAGAGGGCTAGACCGTACGATATAAGAAGCCAGAGCGGGTGGTATACATAGTAATTGTTCGTGTTGGAGGTGACGATGGTTTGCGGATCGCCGTTCCTCGTCAAATCCGGTGAACTGAGATAACTGATGGTGATGTTGTTTGCTAGATCTTCAATGCCACGGGCCAAGGTTCTATTTCGACATAACCAGGGTTGATTAGTGGAGGTGAAGGTGTTACTGAAAGTTGCAGAAGGATCGTGGATAAGATATGAACTCTCATTCTTGAATGGGGTATTTGCAATTTCCTCGCAAGCCATTAATCCCGTTCCAAGAACATTTGTTGCCCCATATCGGCTATATTCTCGAACATTTTGATCGTTGGTAAGAGTAATGTCTTGCAATGTAATATTTCCGCCAAGAATAGCTCCCAGGGCGTACATGTGTGGAATATATTCATTCCACAATGCTTCTTCCATCGCACCGCCCGCGCTCATAGTTGTAACTCCATTTGAATCTGTGGAAGTAGTACCGCTTTCTATACTACCGACACTCACATACGAGAGGTCATAATCTCCAATTATCTTAATATCTTGCTGAGTAACATGCTGGACTCCATCCACATATGAGACGGCAATGTTAAATGATGCGTTAACCGCAGAGCAAACCAGTTCCGAAGTTGAAGTTTGTATCCATAATTGAGGATAGGGAGAAACTTGCTCTGCCAGTGGCCGTGGACTATCTACGTTATTTGGTGTACCTGATGCATACCAAATGCTCCATGATGCGTAAATTATTTTTCTGGAGCCCACATCAAACGTTATGTTTGTCCGATTGTCGTTTTGGTCAGTGTAAGTAAAGATATTCTGTTGTTCATAATACTTGGTAATGTTGTTGAATACGGCTTGCTGTGTGCTGTTTGGTTCGTTGCACTTTATGGAAGGGCCATAAAATTGCAAACTATATGACCATTCCGATCCTGCGACTTGCCGCGATAACTCCAACACATCGTTGTTCGAGGCTGTATTTATAGCGATGGTATTTGTGACCAAAACTGCGTCCCACTCGCCATCCATAGAATTGTTCCATATGGCTTTGGTGAAATCAAGAACTGGCAAACGCACTTCTTCTGTGATGTTCCTTGCAACAACTGTCAAAGTTGCTGCAGGAGCAACGCTTGCAAGCCCTAAAAGCCTATATATTCATGAGTATGTTCCTACTTAAGCGTCCGATTATTGGTTACTAGTACATACCAGGTAATGGCGCCTAACAGAATAGCAAGTTTTGCGCCTTTTAAAAGTTCGATACTGAACAAAGCTATGGGATCCGTTGACAATGCGAACAAACGGTCCAAATTTTCTGTTGTGCAAATATTAGTCTAAAGATTTCAAAAAACTTGAGGAAAGCAGTACTCATCGTCAATGGTTGGCGTTTGACAACCCTCCAAATATATTGCCCGAGAGCAGCAGTTGTGGTTGCTTTTAAGCAAGATGTGACTAGAAAAGCAAGCCCGGTGCCAATACGCGTGGGCCATGCTTGTTTTGTTTCATCGCCGGTTCTTTTGCCGCTCAATGACATGTAATAAAAGTGATGAGCTAGTGAAAGAGCAAATCCAAAAAAAAACATGAATCCAATGAAGGACGGCTTCTTCCAATGGATTCCCCAAGAAACAGATCGAGGCAGGGAAATCTGCGCAGATTTCCTTTGACTATAAGAGACATCATCACCATCACTCAAAGACCTTTCAGAGGATAAAGGTAGAAGTATTTTCTTGTTGCCAACCGCAGGTGTTGACAGCGGCTCCGGATTGAAAGTAATATTATCGAGTGCTTGATAGTCGATTGAACCGCCAACTGGTTTGCGCCTACTCATTTCGATCGGCTTGGCAATTTCTAAGAGTTCTTGTCCTAGAAGAAATACAAAGGCAAATTTCAGCACTTGATTGAAGATTTTAGACCTGGAGTGGCGAGGCTTTATTGTTCCTTGGTTCTGGCAGGAATATTACTTTTTTGTCAGCCGAATCTGCTAGCATATGCAGCTGACCATTTGCCAAATATAGCTATTCGTTGAGGAACGATAGCACTATAAGATTGGCTCTACCTCACGCTTACGGCCAGTAAAAGACATGGTGTATTGAGGCTCAATTTTGCATTCCAAGTCCATGAAATGAAACGATTGGTCCCTTCAGCAATCCATGTACGAAAAATTCCTAGATTTGAGTTAATGTCACTGAAATACTTTGTATCTTCGTTTTAGGCAGGTTTTCTTCACTGGAATCATTTTTCTCGATCTCGTGGGGCCCAAATCACGTAAAAACAGAAATGGGGCCGTCCAGATTTCGCAGGATTTTTGGGGTTTAAGTATGACTGCATAGAATCCCCGCCCCATAGTAAGGTTATGGGCCCTATGATATGGAAAACACGAATGAACCATCAGCTTCTTATCCAAGAGATTCCGTTCTTGATTTAGCAAAAATAGTAGCCAGATTGCTGAAGATTTTGACAAATTTAGAAATATGTTCGTTTGGAAAAGCAGAAAATCTATTGCGGTAACCTTACTCGAGTAACGCATTTGATCGTATGTGGTGGATGACTAAGCATTATTTTACAACCCACTTCTAAAGTTCATCTCACACCCAACTCATCATTTGCTAGGAATGAGGGCAATTTCCAATGGTATGTCTTCTGAATAAGGGAGCTCAAAGTTCCTGTAAACAGGAAGTTACTATACATGCATAGTGGGATCTAGTAACCAAGGTCTGTTTTTACCTCCGTAATACTATGTCGCGCCTAGACTAGACGCAAGGCTATAACTGCATATTTTCACCAGTATCGTCGATTGCATGTTTTGCCCAAGACCCTCTTTAATGCATCTCTGTCCGTCGATAAAATGAAATTCACAAGGTCCAGATGCTTACACTGAGAATCTCCACCCACATGATTCCCCTACCTGTTGCATGTGCACATCATTACTTTTCGGATTCATGTGATCTTGGTTAGGACCGCTCACGATTGCAGGCGCTTGGCGCTCACGTGCTACTCGGAGTGATTATGAATGGGATCGTAATGCTTGCATTAAAAGCCCAAGTTAGCTGACAGTGAGCGTTGAACGCTACCAAGGTGCTATGAGAAATTTCAGTATGATTTATCCAAGTTACCCATGTTATGCTAGCCCTTAACAAAAAAGAGCTATTCTCAACGATTCGTCTATGGAGACATGATTTAGACCCCAATCACCTATCATTCGTCTATGTACCCTCTCCCTTTTACGTCCGGATATTTACGCGCTACACCAAATCTCGTCCACGTATTGGTCGCCTTTAAGCTTGTAACCAGATCTTTTGCCTTCTAAGCCCGGTACTCAAATGCTGAAAACCGTTGTAGAAGTAAACTCATCTGCCAAACCGTCCCAGCCCTTGAATACCACATATTGTCTCGCATTAAACTCATTGTTAGACTGACTGCCTGGTGATCTGACCAAACTTCAGAGCCCATAAGTGGCAATCGATCCCATACTAAACTCCTCGCCCTCAAATCGATAATGCTTTTTCCCTGTGTTTCATCTCTAACCCACAAAGCCGTACCAGTCATATGTATCTCTGTGTCAAGGCGTAGGTCCTGACTAAGAAGATCTGCAGCTTCCCCAAGTGGTGAATTATTTCCGGTCTCTTCGGGATCGCGACGACAATTCTGTATCGAAGTCTTTCAATCGTTCCGAACTCGCCAACAGCCGAGCTTGTTAAGTGTCGAAAATATCGCTAAGGATGAGGATAGGAATATCGTACTCCCTGTAACAAACCCCCATCCCCAGGGAAAAGTTTTGATTGAGGCCAAATGTGGTGACATTTTACATGGCAGGAAATTAATGGGTTGACAAAGTATTCGATCATTTTCGTGCTGCTGTTCTTAGTATAGTATGCTGATAGTAATATAGTGATTAATCTTCCTCTATTCAGGATTCTGTGTGATTTCGATTTATGTTCAGCACAGCAATAGCAAGTAAGATAAAAACAGACGCAGACTCTAATATTTAGGATTCAATTTGCACTCCCTTCTCGGGCGTTATCATCATGACATTTTTATAGTCAAATTCCGTTAACTGTGGTGCTCGATATCTAGGAGATGAGTATTTGAGCTTCATTTTTACTTCAGAACTTATTTCATGAAAGACAGCTTGATCTATTTATGAGGATATCAGAAGTTTCTAGGGATTATTAGTTGCGCTTTATATCACAAGATCGTCATCAGCATTTAATTCATTACGTTCATGCATCCACTCCCCTTTATGTTGTTCGCTAAACTAGTAGATCGCTTAGCCCGTGACGAACTAACTAACTACTGAGCTTATCAGGAGAAAGAAAAGAAACAGGAAAGGACGGAAAAGGTAGGTTTGAGGAGATGCAATCTTCAGTAAAAATATTCTCTCCTCGAGGCGTCTGACTTTGATTAAATATACTTAGTCGTAATTAACATGCGCATCATATCTAACTCTCCTTCCAACTCTTCACCTCTTCAACTCTCCAACTAATTACAGAAAGCTTAATCCAGAACTCAGGAAAAGAAGAAAATTATTTCATCTTCCAATTTGGAGCCTACAAAAACCGCCTGTGAATGAATTGCTTGTCGGGATACAAATCATGACAACATCTTAGGATCGTACACCTATAAGTATTGGCAAGGTGAATTATCATCCTTGAATTGCCTTATAATTATAACAATTCCGCTATATCGCTGATCCTAATAATTCCTACAAAGCCTTATTTTATTCTTAAAACAAACTTGCATTTTCCATGGAGTGAAAACTACAGCTATGAAATTGATGCAAGACTTATGTAAGATTACCAACTTATTTTCCTCAATGAGCAATGAGCATTTTAGATTTTAGGGGGTCAGGCATGATGGATACATCTTCAAGGATAGATCGCTTGAACCAGTTACAACAGTAATGTTACTCTAACCTCAGGAGACTTCCCCTCGTGCTAAAAATTCAGAAATCTTTAAATTTAGACTGCAACCTAGGCATTTAGGAAGCATGGTTAAAGCATCCTTTATTAGACATTTTCCAAGTACACTTGTCCAATTTTCCATCGTTTTCCATCTAACCTGGCAAAACCGACATCTCATTTTCTCCAGAAACAACTGGAGTGTTTAGTGATACAACAATCCCAGACTCGAAGGAGAGATTCTCAGATGCTACCCAATTCCTCCAATGATCCTTGGTTGAAAATACCTGCAGGTAACAGGTCGAGAACACTCTGGATAATAAATCACTTCATGAGGGCTTACAAAGTAAATTTACTGAATATTACAGAGAAGGAAAGTCCTAGCTATGGGAATGTTATCGATATCAACGTCGTTGATACGAGATATTTACTCCTTCAAAATGAACTTGAGGACCTGTTATTACAATTAAATAGGATGGCTTTCTGTTGCGAAAACAAGGGAGAGTATGAAGTATGCTTTCGGACTACGATGGAAATGGCAACAAAAAACATAAGCTTGCAGTGGCGAGGTTTCATTACGAGAAACTGTTCTATGTCAATGATTTTCATATCGAGTTCTCTTCATCGACGAACTCAATTCTGTCTGTCATTGCGAAGTATCAGACCAGCTATCTATGCATCGAAATACCATGTATGTGCTATCCCATAGTTCCTTAAAACGCCGTTGAAGCCTTTTCATTATTGATTCAATTTTTCTTTGGCAAATCTCTATTACAGTCCTATCTAGCACCTCTACAACACTCCTAAGCCCATTTCTGTACGGCTGTGCCACCTCTCTTGAATTCTGGCATTTCACCCAAGATCTGGCCCTTCTCAGTATGCTCTTTGTTCGGGAAAGTTGTTGCTAGTACCCAAGGTCGTTCGCTACTGCCAGGGGAAGCTCTTTCAATGAACTCATACACATCACCTACTGTGTGCGTAGTGTTGAATCGAGCTGGGAGACGAGTGCCGTTCGCTAATTGGATTCTTAGGGTGAGTGTTGGTTGCGATGAATCGATCTGAACTTCCGGGTTTTCGCTTGAAGCGACTGCTGGCGCAGATACCCTGGATGGAGGCTGCGCGGTTGTAGCACTCGGTGAACCACCTGGTGTAGGACTACCAAGTCTCTGGCCTGATCCACCAAAAGGCTTGTAAACCTTAGGTGGAGCTTTGTATGGTTCATCATGTTTGTGCAACTGTACATCGACGTGTTGATTTTGCCTAACATTCATCAAGTGAAGAGGAGCGCGACCACGTTGTATAGCCTGAAGGTCTTGCGCATTCGCGGGGTCATCGAATCGACGAAGTGGGCCATCTTCAACACTAAATCCATCCTCCCAAAGGTGTAAGACTCTTGTGATTGGAGGTTCAGAAGGAGTTGAAGCTGAGCGAGGATCGGGGATGACTTGTGAAGGAGTCTCGTCACCACCGAGGGTTTGACCGCTGCCACGGAATCGAGATGGTGGCTGTGCCGAAGATGGTTCTCCGTTTCCTCTTGAATTTCTATATCTTGTAAGGGTTGTAGTTTGAAAACTTGGAACAGGAAACTTACGCCTTAGCTTGTTTTAAAATATCACCAACAATCTTTCTCGCATCGGGTTTTCTCGAGGGATCTTGAACAGCCAATCCTGACTTTTCCCCACCAGCAAATAAATCCCTCGGTTGCTCGGCTGGCTCATAGTCTTGTTCATCTGAATCATCATCATCATCCACATGGGCACCATGGCCTGAGCCAGGCTGACCAGAAGAACCTTGATTCAAAGACCCAAGAGTTGCGATGCCTCCACGTCCTCCAGCTCTGCCAGTTGCGCCAGTTGACTTTGCGGGTTGTTTACCGTTATCTGGAGCAGGCCTACCATCTAGTGTTCGTGGTCCAGTGTAAGGTGATGGTTGGGTCTCACTCTGATGGTTATCTCCCGAGGGTCCTGAAGTGCCTGTGTTTCCCTCTTCTTGAGAAGTAAAATATTCCGCCATGGCTCCTGCATAGTCCCATTGATTTGCAGCGAGAAATTGTTGGGCCTAAAATTAACAGTAGGAGATGAATTAGCGATCAATACTTAGTATTCAAGGGTGTAAGAACATATATAACGATATTCGTGCTTCCTGCTTAATTTATAAACTTACCTCTGATGGGGAGACATTGGTAACTTCGCAGAATTGGGAGATCAATTCGTCATGATTATCGTTGTCCGACATGATTGCTGTAGGAAATTACTGTTGCTATATTCCGAAAGGTGCTTCGATGAATCCTCAGATGTTTTGAAGATGTATTGTAAAGGTAAATGTTTTTGAAAGATTGATAGCTTGATAATTTGATAGTTTGATAGTTTGATAGTTTGATAGCTTGATGGACAAATAATAAAACCAACGAGGCAGCTTGAGATAACGTCAGAGGATTGATTGATTTTTGGCGGGGCTAAATTTAAGGTTGCCTGGAAGCTTCGACTTTTGAGCTTCTGATTACATAATCTAAAGTTAAGCTTGGAGTCCGTGTCCGTGAATTGGATGGATTATCATTCTTCCGTAAGTATCAAATTCACTTGAGCCATCGATGTACGACATGACATGCATTCATATTAAAGTTCTAACCAAAACATTAAGACTGGTCGATTTCTTCAACATTATCGACATATCATATCTTTAGGAAATCACTCGGAAACACAAGTTAATCGTGCTCCTTGACCTCGCACGCAATCCCTATATTAAAAATGTCCTCAGACGAACAGCTCAACCCACTCGCCGAATCTGGGATAACAATGCCCTCTGACTCGGAACAATATTCTCGCAATGATGAAATTTCTCCTTCTCCATCCTCATCAAATTCCCCACAGATGATTCTATACTCTCCTCCTACCTTTTGGGGTTTGCTTAGAGGTGCTGCGATCAATCTTGTATTACCCTTCGTCAATGGTCTTATGCTTGGATTCGGGGAGCTATTTGCTCATGAGGCTGCATTTAGGTTGGGATGGAGTAACACAAAGGTAAAAATCTACCATTCTACTTTGGCTATCGTGATTCAAGGACTCATATGGAATTGTATTTGGTTGCAAAAAGAAAGGGCCTATTCTCTTTTCTCACACTTTAGAGGCTTATACTAAGTGCTTTATCCATCTAGGTTTTCCCACCCACTCGAAGATCTGTAGGACCAGGAATTGAAGTCAGGGAAAGTCCATTAGAGCGCAAGAGGAGAGAAGGAAATCTAGATGACTTGACGAGCCTGGAATGAAGGGAAGGGGATATGAATGAGACTTATAGGAGATAACTGTGATTGGGTTATAGCCAACTCTTTTCTTGAATGAAAAGCGAGAAAATGATAGGAGGCTTTTCAAAGACAGGCTCATGCAGACAAACTCAAGCAAGTCTGGGGTTTTTGAGGCTATTTGGCAACAGATAGGAAGAAGGTTGTAAATTTGGAGGGAACTTGCTGGCGGAATTGGTTAAAACTGCGCACAAATTTCTGTGTAGTTCGTAGGCTGAATAGTGAAATATACCACACAACTAATTATGAAATTATTAGAAAGATCACTTATCCAATGCAAACCTTCGCATCTCTAGGTACTTTTAACAAATGAATTCACGTGAGGTTGTGGTCGTGGTTGTAGTCTTGAACTTACTACTGTAGTCAGTCACTAGATACATGGGGTAGAGGAATCGATTCATAATTTGCACAAAGTTATGCCAATCTTATGCAACACGACCATCAATACCACCAAAATAATTTTTGCGATTTCAAAGCTTCGGATGTGTTTGAGGGGAAGAATAATATCCAGTACCATCCACATAAAAATGATACCCAGTAGAGGGCTGAGGTGTTTTCATCAATCGGTGGCCTTGAGTAGACGGCGGATTGAATCATATGGAATTAGACAGGTATTTAATCTCTTCCTCATTGCGCAGCCAACGACAACTGGAGCTTTACTGATCTATACAAGTTCTCCTCAAATGTACATCGAGGCATTAAAACCAATTCACTTCTCCCGAATAAAGGCAAAAGCACATTATTTTCGCAGTCAATTACTCGATCTCCCCTCTCAAAAGCCAATACCTTAATACGGAATGCCACCTCCATACGTTTCGCGTCAACTGCACCCTCCGCCATACCTACCGTAGACTCCTCAATCCCCTCAATCGAAACCTCCACTCCCGAATTTAAACCTACCCCGCTCGATGTAAACGCCGATATTAATCCTGATATTCTCTCCGCGCCTGAACACATTGGGTATCTACATTCTCTAGGTTTGGATTATGGATGGGGTCCCACGACGACCATAGAATGGATGCTGGAGCATATTCATGTCTGGGCCGGAACTCCCTGGTGGGTATCTATCGGTCTCGCAGCTGCCGCCTGGAGAGTTATACTATTGAAGTCTTACCTCGATGCTGCGGAAAATGCATCTCGAATGGCTACCATAAAGGAATTTACTGCTCCAGTCCAGGCGCAGATGATGCAAGCGAGAGCGAGAGGAGATACAACCGAAATGATGTTGCATAGGGCAGAGCTACAACGAATTCAAAAAAGGGCGGGAATCTCAATGTGGAAGAGTTTTGTGCCAATGGTTCAAATCTTTATTGGTTATGGAACGTGGAAATTGTTGAGACAGATGTCTGACGTACCTGTTCCGGGGTTACTGGATGGAGGACTCCTTTGGTTTTACAACTTAACTATCCCGGATCCTTATTACTTGTTACCTTTAGCCACAAGTGCAATCTTGCATTTTGTTTTGAAAGTAAGTTAGGGTCATTCTATTCTGTTTCTACCGTTGAGCCCACCTAAAAGTAACCCGTCGAGGATTGAGGAGCTAATTTGAGGCCACTACAGAAAGGTGGAGAAACTGGTGTTAGTACTCTCACACCTGGTATGCTGAATATGATGCAATGGGGTATGCCTGCGCTCTCAATGGTCTTCACATCATTCATGCCTGCCGCTGTTCAATTCTCATTCTTCGTGTCTTCCTCGATATCCTTCGGTCAAGCCACGCTTTTCCGCAATCCTAAATTCAGAGCATGGGCAAACATGACTCCACTCCCAAGTCATAACCCATCACCATCCGAAAACACTTTGAGGATGAAGGAAATTCCAGTTACCCAGGGAGAGACCACGACCGCAAAGAGATATTCATTGGATGGTAGTATAGGAAATGTAATGGAAAGATTTCAGAGCGCCAAGAAGGTGGCAGTAGATTATACGAAAGAAAGAAGAGCAAAGCAAGATGATTCGTCGGCAAAGGCCAGAGCAGACGCTTATGAAGACAGGAGGAGAAGAGAGATAGCCGAAGAAGTCGCGCGTCAAAATGAGAGAAGGGCATTGGAGAGAGAGAGGAGAAAGATGGAGAGAGGAAGAAAAAGGAGTAGAAAAGATTGAACAGGGACAGCGGAACGAACCATGGCTATGCACTTGTAAACTGTTAGTGGAAGATAGATGATGGATATGTTCGATGTAAATTATATTACAATCTTTCAGATCGAGAATGAGGAGACTTTTTCCTGATATATCGGTCTCTGTTTGTATACAACAATGATGTTCTTGAGTAACAAAGACAAGTTAGTAGGTATGATATGAATTTAATCTCGGAATTTGTAAGATTATATCAATCAGAAAGAACATTTATTTATTTATTTAATCATATATATATCTAACTTTAAAGATAAATAGACTTATTAGATTCCCCTTTTAAAAGTTTGATCTCATAGTTCTTTTTATAATTATATTAAATATATTTATTATAAATTTAAAAAGATTTAAATAATAATAATAATATTATACTTGTTGGAATTGAGGTCAATATAGTGTTGTGGATAAGGTCACATGATATCGTTAATATGATCACGTGGTCCCACACACAGACCATATTTAGGGATATAATCAAATCCACCATGATCGTAGTTGTATTCTTTAGTTCAACCTACACAGTCAATACTATTACTCCTACGCCCATTAGGCCTTACTTGCTAACAATATTTTACTTTAAGATCTCGGATAAGAATTCTTGAGTCTGGAAGGGGGATGTAATGAGATGATGAAATGAAGGGGATTATAGAATTATTTTATTGTTTTAAATGATTTGATTAGTTTTATAGATTTGTAAGGATAAGAGGATGATAGAACTCGGTAGTTAAAGTCGTTAGTACAAGATAGAGGGTTCGGGTCATGAGGGATTGATTCTTGAATTTGAGTTATGAAATATAAGTATTATAAGACTTGGATAAGATATCAGAAGGGAGCAGGTGTGCAGGATAAATATCAATGTGAGTTTGAATAGGATGAGGTGTGTAAATAAGAATAATCTATAATTAAGTTAATGATACTATTGTACTCGAGTATATTGTATTGGTGATTGTAGGTTGTATAATCTTACGATCTTTATATTTATAATTTTCTATTTTGAGTTAACTTGTAAGGTTAATTAGATGATGATTATTCTGTATGCGTTTTTTGTAGTATCTAGTATATAAAGAAGAGGGATTATTTTGATATGTATTTAAACTTCGAGATACTTCTTGGGGTGCTACTGGGGGATAAAGTTAAAAATGAAAATATATATAATTTCAAAAGTTGATGTTTTGCGTGATTGGTAACGGGGTTAGAGAGGAGGGGCCAGAGGGAGAGAAGGAAAGGAGATTAATTCATTTCAAGAGATCTATAATTTATGCTACTATTAATAAAAATTTCAGATTATGAATTATTTCCATTATCCGTCCAAGAAAATCTGACAGCGGGAATGAAGGTTCTTTCAATATAGTATCAAAGGAAGAAATTTTTGAGAATTTAATTGTAGATGGTAAACATAGATCCCTTCTATTTACTGTCCTTTTGCAAGATGTAGAAAGTGTAGAAAGGTAGTGACTATACTTGCTTTTTACCATCTGGTTATTAAATTTATTGGTGCCGCAGTCCTGAGCGCTATTTTTTTTTAACTTACTTTTTGGTTTAAAAGGAAGGAGGTTGAGAAGGAGAAGGAGAAGAAGGGGAAGAATAACTCCAACTTGAAATTAGACCTTGCTGTGAGATATCACTCGTTAAAGAGAGTATAGGTTGAAAAAAATTCAAGAGACGAGTAGGAAGAGCAAAGAAAGCGAGTCGAGGATGGGAGTTTAGGAAGACTTCATCGTTTTTTATGATTCATCCGGTAGATGAAGAAACACTATTGATACACTCGAGTACATAGACGTTTGAGGCTGGTTGCTATGAGAGGCTGCTGAGGCCCACAAAGCTAAGATATTTGAAAGCTGGAGACAACGTTGACTACTTTTGTCCTCGTCGCCCTTCGGCATATGTTCTTTGTCACTGAATCCCATGTGCTGTTTTAATAGTGATATTCTCCTACATCTTCTTTAGTTGAGGAGAGGTTTAGGGTAGATGGTTTGAAATGCCAGGACTTCTGACTTCGAGGCGGATGTATGGAGTTAATGTGAATGGACACATGTAAACGGAAGCGTCATCTTTGAGATGATTCACGAGTTCTCCTCTATAAAAAAAAAAGTGTTGTTTTGTCTCCAACCAAACTAGATAATCTTTCACGACGATACAGTAAAACGAAATATGATGCTAAAATTCTGTCATTCATGGCCATCAAGAGAGTGCTTCCCGAGATGCGAGAAAAGAGTGGGTTGTTTTCTATCCTTTTTTCCGCTTCACTAATTGCAGATCCGATATGGAGCAGCACTACTTGCTTTTTCAATTCTCAGGAACGTCAGACTTCCAATTCTACGCTTGCAGATGAAATCTAGTGGCTCCTCAATACCGGGGACTCGGGTCGAGCGTTAGTGCCAGTATTGGATGCAGCAACGTTGATTCTCCGATGCGTCAGGTATCCCGATGGGAGGGAGGGCTGTCTCTAAACCATCGGAATAAAAGCTGCTCGTATAAAAAAATTCCTTAATTAGTTTATAACAAATCATAACTCCGTTTTGAATTTTCATACTTATGATAATTATGCTACTCAGGAATGTGTTGAGCCGACCCGAGTTTCGTGTAACCTTTGAATGAGACCAAGTCTTTCTCCTCATTAACCCATCCATATCAAAATAACAACATCCATTGGGCCAGGTCCCATCATCGATATGCTGATCCAATACCAGGCCTCAAATTCTGAATATGCGAACCCTAAAACAGATTAGAATCGGTTGTTTATAAGATTTGCGGTGAGCTTCGCAATCCAGTTGCCTCTTCGATAATATTTGGACGAGCTAGGCGAGGGTGTCCTTACCTGTCTCCAGAGAATACCACGCCGCTTGATATTGAAGAGCTGGTACCATGAGGTCGGGAACTTAATGCTTCTATTTGCAAGGGGTGGGGTGGGCAATATACTTTTAATCTCCGTTTGATGTGGTTTTATGTCAAATTTTTCGGTGGATCCACCAGTTGTTTGTTTAGAGGGGAGGCTCCGAGCCGTTTTGAGACATTTCGTCCGCGCTTGCTATTTCCATGCATGCTCTAGTACAAAATAATGCTTGGAAAAATTTGGGATGATTTTCTAGAAGCTCTATGGGTGTAAGATTGTACGTTAGTTAACTGAGGTCAGAGGTTGTCGGATTATCTTTCAGAGCTTCAGTTGTCTTGTCTTGTAGGATGCGCAATGAAGTCCAGAAAAGACTGTATATGTATAAGGAGAACTACTGGCAACTTTATCACGTCCCAGTATCACATGCGACTTTTTAGAAGTTTGAATATTACACGAGCTATATCAAAAAGCTTGGCTGCCCAATGCTTCAAGATGGGCCCTCCAAATGCGAGTGTAAGGGTGTTGATGTGGACACACTGAGCATTGAGGAAACTCAATAAATGACACACATTTGCAGGAACTATGTTTTATTCCGGGGCCCCCCCTTCAATAATACGAAACTTTCCTAATACATAAAATAAAAAGCTTTACAACAGTATGAGCATCATACATTAAAGCTTTCCACCGATTCGGAAGGTGCCTAAATATTGTATTTCTCTATACCTCGGTCTGTGTAGGTAGACGGACCATTCGTGATCCGGTATAGATGTCTCCTTGTTCAACGAAAGGAAAGAGCGGAAAAATTACTCATTCTCTGATTCCGTGTAGGGCATGAGAGCTTAGATCCGTTGATGGTTTTATCAACCCTTGTTTTTAATACGAAATTTTCTAGGTATAGACTATAGAGGGAAGCGAAAACTCTGTCTCCAGATTTCCTTCAGCTACGATTGCTGATCTACCAGGTTGGCATTTTGCATCACGATTGATAAATCATTCACTCAGTCGTACGAGTTAATATTGGAATTTAAAAGAAAAGAAAATCCAGATTCGGAAAAGATCCCAAAGATCTATTCGAGAGTCCTGGCTGATTAAGAATCCGAGAGAAATGTTTGTTGGCTGTTGTATCTAATAAGGATCTCGGCACGAATTGAATGGTCATGGTGATACAACTAAATGAAACGTACCAAATCTCGCTAGAGCACGGAGGACACGGCTGGATCGGAAATAAGATCCGGATAATGGATTAACAGGCCGACCGGCAAGGGGCGAAATCTGATTACATTTGTAAACATCCACACCAATTTTTCATCTGTCCGAAGTGAGGTTAGCTCTTTCCTTACGGGCTGAGCATTGGGGATACGGAGTATTACTCGAATTTCGAGTCGTATATCATCAAATTTGTAGGTTGGAATGACTCAGTCTTAGATCTCTACTCCGTATAATGATAGTGGTATATGGTGGCGTCGTGGCGTCGTGGCGTCGTGGCAGCTGTCACTCAGCTGGTCTCCCGTCTCTCGTGTGCCATTAATGTACCACTAGAACAATGGTCGGACTTCAGAGGAGAGAGATAGATACTGTAGGTAGCGTACTGTGTACGTGAACGATCGCCAACATTAACGCTTCACCGCAAAAAAGCGCAGTAAAAACCAAATTCCATTCGATGTCTAGTCTCCTGGCGACAGAACAATTTAGCCTTTCGACACACTACATTCTGGTATGCATCACCCGGCACATTTCACCAGGCTAATCCTAGAGATATACTTATCAAACGAAAAGAGAATACCGCGCATAGCAAGTTTATCTCTTGGGATCTTTTATCTTCGTTCACGCCATTCGACGATTACGAAAAATTATCGACATGGTCTAGCTTTTTCCTTGGATGGGAAAACTTTATGTGGTTACTACACAAATTCGTGATATTTCAACCAAAAAATGTTATATTATGTTCCCAATAAAGTCCTGACCCAATCCAGTTGAGGCGACCATCACTGGAGGGACGTACAGGAGCACCATGTCAGGGCCGATGATCTTGGTACTTAAATGACCTATTGATAGGTTGAACGACCCTGACGAGCCAGCACATTATCATTTGCAAATCAGTTGAGATCTGCGTATCAGAATTATCAATTCCATCTTCAATGCCAGGTCCCCAGTAAATTTTTACCAAGACGGATGCAGATGGGAATCTAAGAATGGTTGTCCTTCCATTTTGGGACAAGATCGAAACATAACTGGTAAACTTTCAACGCTGTTACCACACCTTTTCCTTTCCCGTCTTTCCATGCAATATCCAGATCTACTCTCATATATCCACTCTGGGGCAAAGTGGCCGAGATCTAGAATTATCCCCGAACCTCTTTTACATCCCTGGTTCCTTGTGTGGAAAGGATTATGATTTCTTCAAATGTAGTCGTGGGTTTTTCCGATTGAATGGCTCCTCAAACAAAATACACTCTTTTAGGTTTTCATTTCTTTAGGGGCGTTCATTCGTACTTTCAACTTTGCATTGACTAACTTTTGCCCACATTACGGTTCGAGTTTGGACGTTCGATTTTTCGGTATTGTGTTTTTGGAGGAGGCTTTGGGTCATTCTCGGAGGTGTAATAACATTTGCCAGTGCCAGTGTCAATACAGCTGGTTACTCTCACTGTCAACTGAAAAAGAAAAATGGAGTCATTAGAGATATTGGTACGGGCCGAGGTCGAATCACACGCAAATAGAGGGCCACAAATACAAGGAGTTGTGATATTTTTTATCGTGTTGACTACAATTTCGGTTTGGCTACGTACATATTGTCGTGCGTTTGTTATCAAAAATTTTGGTTGGGATGATATTCTTGCTGTTATTGCTTGGGTTCGTTTTATCTTCCTCATTCATATGATTGGAAAGTGTCTATTTGCTGTGTGTGCTTGCTTGCTAACTTGCTCTCGAAAAGGCATTTTTCTTAGTATATTCTTCATTCTCCCTCCTGGCTGTAACTTATGGAAGTGGTCAACATGTTTGGGATATACCGCCTGAACATGTTCCAATTGGTCTTAAGGTATTTCTATTTCTGTTGTTAGGATAAGTGGCTCTTTCAAGAGGTCGAGTAGTCCAACTGTAGGACCTACTCGGAGAAAAACAAGGAGGCTTCTTCAGTCATGGAATGTGTCCATCTGGGGAAACTCCAGGCTCTTTCCTCGCTTATTCAATCTTAGCATCAAATGGCATCTTTCTTTCTTGGAAATCTTTACTCACATTCCCCACAGTATTGGTGGCTATGCGAGCCCGTCTACGTCGTTTCCAACATGGCCCTCAAGCTGTCGATTGCAGTTTTTCTCCTGCGCCTTTCAAATTTGCCAATGCATCGCTACATCATTCTCGGTACTCTCGTGGTGTGCGAAATCGGAGGCATCTTCTATTTCCTCGTCTTCATCTTCCAATGTCAGCCTTCCAACTACTTCTGGACGAAGTACACTGGTGGAACTGGGAAGTGTATAAACGCCAATGTCCCTGTCGATGCGGGTTATGCATACAGTGCTATAACGTGCGCCACGGACTGGATTTTAAGTCTCATTCCGATTTGGGTGATATGGAATTTACAGATGACGCCGAGAGATAAGATCAGTGTGGCTGTAATTCTAGCTATGGGTGCTGTGTATGTGCTCCTCGATTTTTGTTTTTTTTATATGTTATTTTTTGCCTCATTCAACCCCTCTTTTCACTCTACGACCAGCATAAACTTACGTTACCGCAATAGTGCCTCAACCGCAACAATAATAAGAATTCCGTACCTGCACGACCTCTCCAACATCGCTGATTTCCTCTTCGCGACCGTCGATATAGCTATCTGGTCTACTGCAGAAACAGGTATCGGCATTACAGCCTGCTCAGTTGCCACACTACGCCCTCTCTTCCGCAGTTTCTTCGCACGAACAAAGATGTTCGGTAGCTCGACAAAAGGACCTAGCAATCCGAGTGTTGCCTGGGGCGGCTACGGAGACACCAAATGTAGCGGGTATATCAAGCAAAAGAGCCTCAACGATGGAGGATCAAGAAACGCCAGCTCGGGAGAAGATATCGAAGAATTCAAACTCAGAGATGATATACCTTTGCATTCGGGCGTCACCACTACAATCGTCACCGGGAAACAGAAGCCGTGTGATGATCTTTTCGATGATATTTCGGATAATTGTTCTCAGCGACGTGATGAGCGAAAAGCGCATGATATTGACTTGGAACTGGGGCACGAGCGATATTCTCGAGCGCAGGACTTGAATGGGAGAGTGCATAGTAAGCGCGTTTCTAAACATGCGGCTAAATGGAGCGGGGGCAAAGGAAGAATTAGAGATACGAGTGATGCGAGGAGTCTGAGTAGTGATGAAGATCCGTCTTGGGGTATGGGGATTACGAAAACTATTAATACTAAGATTAGTAGTGTGCGGATGAGTAGAGTGGGTGGGGGGAAGGAATAATAGGGGTAATTAGAGGTCATTTAATTAGGGGTTAAAAATTTATGGTTGCAAATTTATTGGTTTGCGGTTGATCATGTTGGATTGTATTATTATTATGATGATGAGTATGGAGTAGATAGATAGATACCTTGGTGGGTCGATTCGGACTTCACTTCACTTCATGATTAATTGATCGGTATTTATGCGGTTTATAAGATCTACCTTAATCTGTCCAAATAGATTATTAAATTTTTTAGCTTAAGCTTGCTTTCCAGGACTCGCTGTTGTATGGAGCATGGTCTTACCAAAAAGACCCGCATTCTTATTAGGTTATCATGGGTGTTAATCCTACTACAAGTCTGAGGTTGAGATGGTGTTCATATCATCTTGAACAAGATCACAAGTACACCACTTTGACTGCGTAACCATTATCTCAACCTCGCATATGCGGATAGTCCGCATAGAACCGTACGGTGTTCCCTCATTATAAGATTACAATCATTTTTAGATAGAGGGGCATAAGTTCATAGTTTTTTTGTATTTTCTATGTGTTATCGTGTTATTGTGTTGTATCTTACGTGTGTTCGGCCGGCTGTGAGATAATTATAATTCACATTGTTTTCGCCCGAGTACATGGTGGTGCGGGGTGGTGCAACATAACCAATTACATCCTTCTCAGTGAGTATGTGGAGATTGGAAATGTCGAATCCTGAACGGGTGGGGATACAGGTATGGTATCCACGGATGGTACAGCTTCTATCGTCTATGTTCTGGATATTGACGAAAGATGGGTAAGGTTACTCGAGTATTGATGCAAAATAGATGCAATTTTCAAATCTTCAAACAAATTCGGTAGTTGCACATTGACTCAATACGGACGACGTCAAACACGCTCGAAGATTTGATACACAAGCACATTGCATTTTGCTGCGCCAGCTGTGCTCCACGGGGCTCCATCAACACAAGACACGAACAAATATTGAGACAAAGATAAGATAAGCAAGTAAGCTTATGGTGATACAACGAAAAACGAATGTAAGGTCTTACAATTGAGGGGTAACGAGAAATGAGGTGTAGCGGATCCTCATCGTATACCGCATATATATAGTGATATTTCCCGGCCGAGTAGGATGAAGGCATCTTACCGATTTTATTTACATTTCACATTTAACTTACTCGTCGAGCCCCAATCGAATCATCTGGAATTTTGGATAGTTTATATTCGTGTTCAAAATGGCGTCGCAAGAAATAGATAATAGAATGGACTTTGTGGTAAGATTGAACTTATACGATGCTCATCACGTTTATTACAAGATATTCCTTTTAACAACCTCCTAGACCTTTCAAAACACAATCGACGGAAAACTATGCAACACAACACAAACTCGACAAAGCATCAATCCCGCCACCGGCGAAGCTAATCCTCCCGTTCCACTCTCCACCAAGAAAGAACTAGACGAATCAGTTCACGCCGCGAAGAAAGCCCAAAAATCCTGGTCTCGTACCACTATCACAGAACGTCGCGACCTCCTCCTAGAATTCGCTGATGCCTACGCAACATACGAGTCCGAATTTGTCAATTTACTCATATCCGAACAGGGAAAAGCGAAATTTCTAGCCCATGATGAGTTTGCTAGGAGTTTAGCTATGATTCGAGAAACTACTGAACTTTTGCTTACCGAGGAAGTCGTTGCGGAGACTGATACTATGATTGCGAGTGTGAGATATGTTCCCATTGGAGTAGGTTGTGGAATGGTACCTTGGAATTATCCAATCCTGCTTGCGATGGGAAAATTAGTTCCGGCGGTATGGGCTGGAAATGCGATTATTATCAAACCTAGTCCCGATACGCCCTATTGCGCGCTCAAGATTGTCGAATTGGCAAATAGATTTCTTCCTCCCGGAGTAGTGCAGGCGTTGAGTGGTGGTCATGAATTCGGTCCTTTGTGTACGCTTCATCCTGGTATTGATAAAATTGCGTTCACTGGGAGTATTGAAACGGGGAAGAAGGTAATGGAGAGTTGTGCTAAAACTTTAAAGCGGGTTACGTTGGAATTGGGTGGGAATGATTCGTGTATTGTTTGTGAGGATGTGGATATTGAGAATGTGGTTCCACAGGTATGTTCTTTGAGATCGTTTCCTGATTATGACTTGTCCTCGCCGTTTAAGCATCTAGAGCCGGGTATTGATACCTATTTGAAATCCTGGTTTTCAAACAAGTAAAAATATAACGGACGTGGAGAAAATGAGAAAATGGGGTCCTGCTAACCCATTTTGAATACTCCATACTAAGCTGATCAATACATCAACAGATCGCCCAACTCGCATTAATGAACTCAGGTCAAATTTGCATGGACATAAAACGCCTCTACGTCCACGCCGACATCTATGATCAATTCCTCTCAGCACTCGTATCTCAGGTCTCCAAACTGAAAGTAGGACCAGGAGCCGATCCCACAAGCTGGGTAGGACCACTACAAAACAAAGCACAACTAAACAACGTACAAACTTTCTATGACGACATCGAAAAGAACGGACTAAAAGTCGCTTATGGCGGTTCAAACGACAGCATCAAAATGAACGATACGCTAAATAAAGGATATTTCGCCAATCCAACTATCATCGATAATCCACCCGAGAGCGAAAGAATCGTACAACTCGAACCCTTTGGTCCTATTTTCCCAATTCTTAAATGGAGCGGTGAGGATGAGGATATCGTTGACAGGGTAAATGATACGATTACAGGTTTAGGAGCTTCAGTATGGAGTAAAGATATCGCAAGAGCTGAGAAGATGGCGAGGGGATTACAGGCTGGTAGTGTGTGGGTGAATACTCATTTTTATCTAAGTGCCAAGGTTCCCTATGGTGGGTTTAAGAATAGTGGGATTGGGATGGCGTGGGGTTTGGTTGGGTTGAAACATTGGTGTAATGTGCAGAGTGTTTGGTTGCCGAGGGAAAAGTCGAAGATTTGAGGATTGGGGGTTTGGGATGTAATAAGGGACGGATGATTAGGATATCAAAAGTATTATTCTGGAGCTGGGTATGCTTGTCTGTCCAACTGTTCATCTCTGTCACAATGCAGCGCTATCTACTAAACCAGATCTCAGGTATGAAAATCTTTTCCCCCTCCCTTAATACATCATTATCCCCTCGTTTCCCCATACCAAACTCTATCCCGTATGCCGTATTTACATTTCTATGGTAGATAAAATTTATATCCATACCAACACAACAGTTAAATTCCCCTGTCAGTTAGTGCAAATGTATTGAATCTAATTTAGATACCAGAGTCTTCGGTTCATGATCAATAAAAAGAGCTTTCCTACAGCTAAGTAGCTTTAAGGGATAATCATGAATGTCCGTTCTCTTTTTTATTAATATTTCTTGATATTGCGTGTAATGTCTTTCTCTGTTATACTGGTGTAGGTTACGCATAGAGTAGCGATTTGGATTTCTTGTGGCGGGAGCAGTTGGGATGGTAAGATTAGATTAGTGCTGGGGAAATGGTAGTATGGTTGCGTGTTTGCGTAGTGGGTTGATGTTTGATTAACATTTTGTGTTGAGATTTTTCTAGTGCTGTCTGTGTTGGTGATTGTCACTATTTAACCTTATGTCTGAAGCCAGGAATTCGTGGAGCCGATTTTGAAAATTATTTAGGTCTTACAACCTGATATCGGAAATTGTGTGCTTGATCATGACACATCGTCAGTTTATTCAATTCTGCAAATTTCATGTACTCTACCGTCCTCGATGTTCACTCGGAGGCATGGCGCCCCGTTTGTCATCTGAAAGTCTACTCTTACGATGTCCAGTCATTGAATGTCTGGATAAGAAAGTACAGTATGCGTGGTCCTCCGATATATCTGTTGAACCCCATAATCGACCATAAGGTTAATATGGCTCGATCCCCGAGGATCTACTAATAGATTTTCTTTTTGCAACGACGGGGTGTTAATCAGGATTCGAAGTCCGGGTATTATTTCTTTAGAATGATCTTTTCATTTCCGGCGGAGTAGGAGGTATAATGGACAGCACCATGCCTCTACATTCCCAATTACTCAAACCCGATACACTCCTTCGGAGGATTGCTCAGCACTTGGAAATCCGGTGCGCACAGAATAATTTGACTGATGTACTGGCGTATCGACATGTTGTCTCGTCCCATGGACTCTAAACTCCCGTAACATGTCAGAGGGTAATGTTATGTGTATTCTTGGACATCTGCTAACACCGCTGTCTCTCTCGCTTTTGAAGTGTAGGTGTACGATCGAGCAGACAAAATGGCTTTGGCTTTATATCTTCACATAGTGAGTGCTGACACCAAGTATCGCAGAGTTACATGATGGTTGCTTACTTCAATTAGGAGATACTTAGAAAATAACACATGGTCCACCACCGCCATTCTACTTTCCTATCAACTCAATATCTGCCATATCTGTAAATGCCACCAGGTTTTTCGAGTGAATTTACTACTCCCGCAGGCTTTATGGTCAAATTCAAGCAAAAGCTGTATCTTTATAATACTCATAGAGAGAAGTGGATGGAGAGTCACCGCCGAAAACTTTTTTTAATTTTGTTGGCGGTCGGCGCCTTGTGGAATATCAATGTTCTGTCAATTCTAAACGAATAGTTCCCCGATCCATGCTCAGTTTTGGCCCGGGAAAAGTTCCTTGTCCTCGAAACCTTTTCTGCGAAGGGCGTAAAAATAGGGAATTTATTAATTCTATCAGTTTTAGCTCTTGTTACTTCTAGATACGTAAGTCTTCCTATTATCGTCTCATCACTTTAGAGGTTAGTTTTCGTCAATTAATTTTACATTTTATGTTTTTGATAACTTTATTAATTTTTTATTTGCTGTCATTTCACATGTTTTTATTTCTTTAAAGATAATAATTATATACTTAAACTTTTATTTATTTTCACTATTATTAATAAATTAAAAGATTTAAAATTTTAATTTTTTCTTTAATAATTTCTTAATATCGCGATTTTCAAAGTCCTTATCATCTCGCGTTATATAATTTCATTTTTATCAGCAAATGTCTCGAATAACCGTTGGAAAATGATAATATCTTATCTGATAACCACTTCAATAATTGATCTTCACTATGATTATTGTCACTAGTTGTTCTTGTTGTATTATTATAGTTTTTAATAAGAGTTGTATATAATAATATAAAAAACAAATAACTTATAGTTGTTTTTATATTAATACTTCAATTTCAGATCTTTTATCAATACAAATAAATTTACAAGTTTGAATATGAGTCATCGTCATTGAGCTTTCAGTTATAAAGGTTTGAAAATCAAAAATATTATATACAAAAGTATAAATACATTTTATCTTGTTTATTTATTATATCTACAAGGTAATAAGATTAAATAGACTTTTCCATTGTCGAAGTTCCGTGATGCTATTGTCGCTTAAACAAGGAGTATTTTTAAATATAATTTTAAAGACTTATACTGTCGCTGATTAATTGTATTATATTTCAGTTAGTAACTCTTATTGAATCGTTATGATTCATTTGAGTAATAAGATATTGTGTGATTTGATGGCATCCTTAACTATTTTATATCATCTGTTGGATTGTTTTTGATAGTGTTAATATTTCAAGTCTGTGCCTTACTGTTGTTCGTAGGGCTATGCTATCTTGTTGTCACCATTCTCAACATCATCGCATTCGAAATAGCGGAGATGTAATCATTCTGTCGATGGGGGTGAATTCAGAAGTCCAAGGCTCAGTGAAGTGTGACCCCTTCTCGGCAACCCCTCTTCTTTCGAATAATAAATAACCTCTATTTAAGAGCCGCCTTACCTTCAGAGATGGCTGGATATTTAGGAATAAACAACACAACTTACAACTTCTACGAGTCTTCAAACAGAAGACAACTTCGACAACTGTTATTTTTACTTGCATCTTACACTTATAATCTATCATAACAGATTATCTATCGCACAGCTATTCCAAAACTATTTGGTGTCACATTATTCCTCTCCCTACCTTAACTCTCCCAACACTAATAATCAAGTATTTAATTCCTACCACATCATCATTTCTCCAACATTGATATCCTTACCAGACTTATCAATCTCCCAAGTTTTATTAACCAGCACATAAGTAAATCTACAATCAGCAGCTTCCCATTTGATACTGCAAACAAGGTTCGTCATAGACACCCATAATAACTTCGCACCTATTGACAATCATTTTCCCTGTTTGCTTTCTTCAAACATAGTCCTATATTTCTTCTCTCTGCCAATTCTGATTCTTTTCTATCTAGATCCATCCATACTCTTATATGATATCATTTGTCTACCTATCATTAACAAACAAACACTACAACTCCCCTTTCTAATCCAATCATTCGCTCATTCATTCATCCATCCATCAATTCACTCCAAATATAACATCCATCTTCCACAGAAATTACACCAACAATGTCCGAATCCAGCACCCCACATTCCCCTGTCAAAGTCACCTCAATAGACACACCCCCGGCCACTACCTCTCTACATGATCAAAAATCCACCATACCCAGCCCTCCTTCCCCCATCATCCGAACCTCAAACCCGACAAAGTTTAAGAGGAAATTAGCGTTAACACTTCAGTCACTTTATGACGAGGACCACACTCTGCAAGTCAAAGTTAGAGATGAGGAGAAAATTGAACTTGGTTCTCCGTTATGGGGTAATGAGACGCTTGAATGTATTTCTGGGGATGACTTGACATCTGTAAAGGATGAGGAAGTAAGAATACTAGAAAATTTGAGAGTTCAGGGTATTGAAGATATCGAAGGGGACTTGGTGAAGGTATTGACTTCATCACCAGAGATGATTGCTATTTCTGGCTCGGCTGATAAAGAATCGGAGAAGGTTTTGGAAGTAGCTTTAGAGCCGGCACTTACAGGAATAGAGGAGTCCGGTCCATTCGACCTTGATGTCACATCTCCAGCTATCGCTGACCCCATCGAGGCGCTTGGTAGTGCTAGCCCAACTACCCTAGCTGATACGCAGATGAATGAAGTACCAAACACCATCCTAGAACATCCGGAGGAGATAAAAATCCGTCATGAATGGACTGGAACATGTCAATTTGATCGAATCACGGAGATATCCATCGATCTTCAAAAAGAAGCGAGTTCCCCCCCAACCTTCCTTTTTTTTCTTCATCGCATCAACTCAACTAACGAACTAACTAACCAACCAACCCTCCCACAGAACAAACTCGACAATCTAATCCTCTACCGCAAAGCACTTATCCACGACATGGCCCTCGCACCACACGACCCATACTTCTACATCGACCTCTCCCAACTCGACGCCAAACTCGCCTTTAGCGACACCTCATCCCAATACGCATATCGCGCACTTCTTCTCCTCCAAGCCGGTCTGCAAACCATTACCCCCGCACAATCTGCACTCTCGCGCTCAGTATTCACAGCTATTTCCTCACGACTCTGTACTTCCTCTATCCCGATTATTATGGATGAATTAAATTGGATGCATGTTTGTGCTTATCGGTGTTTAGTTCGGGGATTATTACATTGCGCTGCTTTTTGGGATGGGTTAACGGTGGTGAAAATTGCATTGGAGGAATTTCCGCATGATGTGGAATTATTGCATCTCAGAGGGAATTTGCTTCATTCTTTTAGGAATAGACATGAGGAAACGATTCAAGATGCAAAGGATGCGAATATTCGCAATATTATCGCATCTAGTCGTCCTGGATTGATATATCAGAAGAAATATCCATGGATGGCTTCCAAACTTTTTGTTCGAACACCTCGTTTGGTCAGACAGGTTAACTCGAAATTTGAATCCTCAAATGCGGAAGTCCGACCGGTGGTTTTTGGTTCGCCTGGTACTGCTTCTACTTTTAAATTACTTTCGAGTCTTCCTAAACACGCGGATGTCGGACCACTTGGTATTTTCGCCAAGCGCGATATTGCTGAAGGCGAGTCTATTTTAATCGACAAGTCTTATGCATGTATTTCGGATATTGCACCTTCGACTGGACAGTTTTGCGACGCGTGTCACGCTGCCCTTATTCCACCTTTCATGTTCCCATCGCAGATTGTTAGGCCATCATGCGGATGTAAAGTATCCTTTTGCTCTGAAGGCTGTCACAATGTCGCCGTCAAAGGCTATCATAAAATTCAGTGCGGTATCGATTTCAGCTGGCTGTATAATGCTGGCTCACATCAAACTGATTGGGACCCTATCATGTTTTTGCGCGTGATCTGCATTGTCCTCAGCACACCCGGCTGGTCGAAAGATTCGATACCACAGAAAAACCCTTTACAGCATCCATTGATAGCAAGGTTAACAGCGAACTACGCCAGTAACGACAAACAAGCAACTAATGGATGTAATTGGTCCTATCAAGACAACATCGTATTACCAACACGCATCCTCCTCGATCTCGGCATCGACATTTACACCCCAGTCAAGAAGACGCACGCAGGAAAAACCAAGCTCTTCGCAAACATATGGACACCAGAACTCATCCAAACAATCTACTGGCGCATGTTAAATAACGCCAACACGAGCACAATCAACATATCCGGCCTATCCATACCCATTCGTTCCTCCACATCTCCCAATTCCAGATTCGGTCAGGACACAAATGCGCATTTAATCGTACTAAGTCCGAATTATATATTCTTCAACCACAGCTGCAGAAACAACGTAACATGGAAAGGAACCTGTTTCAACGGCTCGGAATACATCTCCATGCTCATAAGCGGAGAAGGAAAAGATCAAAAGGTCATGAAACCGGGAAGTAGTAGTGTGATTTGCAAGGCCGATCGAGATATTACTGCAGGGGAGGAATTAACGATTAGTTATCTTGGTGATCCGATGGGTGATTACTCGGAAGGTGATTATTTTGAAAATCAGAGGTTGGCTATTGGGCAGGCAGAGAATGGATCTATGAGTTCTTTTAGATTGGAGGTTAGATTGGCGTTGGTGAAGTGGTTTGGTGGTGAGGATGGGTGTGGGTGTTTGCAATGTGTGGAGGAAAATGAACGGGGGGTGATGCCTAGGATGGAAAGGTTGTGATGGGAAGGGGATATGGAGCTTGTTGAGGTACTTTTTATAGAGGGGATTTGGTTTTCAGGATGATTTTTTATAAGGAAACTATGAATTAGGAATTAGAGAGCGTGCGTTTCACATTCGATTTTGATATAGAAAGCGTAGTCGTTAGATGATCTAGGGATGAATTATAGTAACCGTGTACATGTTACGATCTCCGAAGGCAAAACGTCGGCTAGCCGAAAAGGGGCTGATGGTTTCGAAGGTTTCACGCTAGATGGAAGAGTTTTCACCTATATAAAGGGGCTCTTGAATAGTATTAGAAAGGCAATGAAAAGTTTTTGGATCTTCTTTTGAGCTCTTATTGGCCTATTTCGGATATAATCGATTCTTTGCAGTGTAACTCTTACAGCACAGCTGTTCACTGTTTATTAAAATCATACTAAAACTCATATAAAACATTTAAATTATTTTATTAACTCATCTATTATTATTATTATTATTATTATTATTTTATAAAAAATAATATAATATATTTTCCAAAAATTTCCTTTATTATTACTTTTCAAATGAAATTATAAGAATTTCAAAATATAAAATTTTTATTAATAAAATAAATAAAAATTATAAACTTTTCAAAATGATATTTTTAATAATATATATTAGAATTTAAAAAAAAAATAATAATAAATATTTAATATATAAATAATATATATTTTAATTTTTTAATTAATTATAATAATTTAATATAAGTTTTTTGTTACGATTCATAGTTTTCATTATAATAGTATTATTGATATCAGTAATTTATATACCGACTATAAAAAGACTGTGATTTAACCATTGCTTTTAAAAAGCCTAATCATTTACAAATAGGATTCTAGAATTCCTAAAATAAATATCTTAAGCAATTATATTAGATTAGAACAAATGTTCTAGCTAATTGATTATAATAAAACAATCACTCTAAAGGATATTGTATCCTAAAGTTAGAGTTTCTAAAGGAAAGCTTTTGGGACAAATATTCCAGGAAAGGAAAGGCCTCAAGATCAATCACGTGATATGCTAGTTCTGCTAGCCAGCTAGCAAAGCTAGCATTTCAGGAATGCTAATCATGCTAATCAGCTAGCATAGCTAGTATGCAAGGAAAGAGATTAGTATATAGTCAGAATAGTTTCATAGTTTAGGAGCTTTGTGCTCAACTTAATTATCAATTAGTTTATCTATATTCCAATTGATCTAGTAACAAATTCACTTTCAAATGAAAACCAGTGATTAATAGCCTTAACCTACAACTACTAATTATACAAAACCTCAGGCAGTCGCTGCCTCGATCAGATCGTTACATATATATCAATATAAAACTTATATAAATTAATAAACTACTTTTATAATACTTTTTAAAAAAAAATTTAATAAGATTAATTAGTAAATCAAATCAAATTATCTACTAAATTTAAAATCTAAATATATATTATTATTTAAGAAATCAATACTAATTTAATATATTCGTTTCTTTTTTATTTCTTTAAAATCCTCTTCTCTTTTAATATCAATTATTTCATTCATTATATTTAATTCCCCGCTTTATTTATTCACATTTTATTTTCGTTATAATACATATATATATATATAATAATAAATATAATGTCACGAAATCATTTTATAGAGTGTTACGGGTAACAGTCAACCTGTCTCTATGAGCTTTGACCTTGTTGAAAAGCAAAGCAACTTGTATACAAATTTGTATGGCAACCGCTTCGTATGGTCTCCCCACCTTCAGCAAGCTCGGACATATGGTCTGATCCTAGTCACGTGATGGAGCCTCCAGGAGCGTGGGCTCCCGTAGGCTCCTGGAGGCTCCCAAAATGGATTAGTATATAGTCCGAATAGTTTCATAGTTTAGGAGCTTCGTGCTCAACTTAGTTATCAATTAGTTTACCTACATTCCAATTGATCTAGTAACGTATTCACCTTCGAGTGGATAACCAGTGATTATTAGCCTTAACCTACAACTACCAACCATACGAAAACCTGAGGCAGCCGCTGCCTCGACCAGATCGTTACATATAACCACATAAGTGAAGAAGAAAAAAGATAATCTTATGATCTTATAATCTTATAACATTACAATCTTATAATTTTCACATTTTTATCTATCTATCTATCTATGCCCATGCCCATTAGCCACACTCATATCCAGCCCAGAATAAATCGCCCAGAAAATGTTACTGCTCGGCTCTACTTGCAAGTACATATCATATATAATAACAGTTAGGGGCCAGTCTTCTTTCCACTACAGTGAGATGAGAGCAAATCCTTGGCATCACCTCTTTCTCTATTTCAATCTATACAAATCCTATCCTATCCAACCCAAACCCCGTCACCAAGGTCATAAAATGCAAAAAGATATGCATGAATCAAGAAAAGAATACATGGACGCGATAAAAACTCAAATCAAAACTAAAAACTAAAAACTAAAAACTAAGTGGACTTCTACTTCTTAAGCAAAGTTTCCTCTCTTCTTAGCCCGTTGATGTTCGTGCAAATGTCTTCTTCTAGCAACACCAGCTTGTGCTGTTGTGGTAACAGTAACGGTTTCTTCTACCCAAAATACTTCATCAACCTCTACATCTTCATTGAGATTTGAGAGTGCAGTTGTGGTTGAGAAAGATGTGGAATATGCGGATGCTGATGAGGCGGTGAGAAGTGTAGTTGGAGAGCTTGAAACGGCGGCAACTCCACCTGGTGCGCTAATTGGCGAACTTGAAGCAGCGGCATATCCACCTGCTACGGTAGTTGATGAGCTTGTAACGGCGGCCCCATCTGTGGCAATAGTCGATGAGCTTGAACTTGAGTAGGAAACTCCAGATTCAACAGCGGCGAAAACACCACCTGGTACATAGGTTTCGCCCAAAGAAGCGACTGTGACATTATGGAGTTAATAATCGCCTATCAGAAAAAGAAATTGAGATAGGAGGAGTTGAAGCTGATTCGAAAGAACGAATACAAAAATTAAAAGTTTAAGAAAGTTGTTGAGATGGAAAGACAGAATTAGGTGTAAAAGACAGTGAGATTAGTAAGCTTACCAATGGTAGATCCGGCAGAGTGAGAAAGAGTTGGTACGATAGCAGATGGGCTAGTTGTTGTGAAAGCTGCGCTTGATCCTTTGGCAGATGAAGTTGAAGATGCCACGGCGGTGGGTTCACCGGGTGTATCACTAGAGGCTTGACCAGGTCCATATTGAACGGGGACATTTCCAGGAAGGGTTGCCATAGGACCATTGATCTCATCGTTTACCAAATCTGCTGGCATTTCAAAGCTGCAAGATCCATATACACTTGCATCTTGAATGTCAAAAAGTGGACAATCGCTAATTTCTCCGGAAAGGTTAGTACAGGTATCAACAGCATTTTGCAAAAATGACTCTTCCCAACCCATGATGAAATCTCCGTGATAGCCGTAGCCAGTTGGATCACCGTTAGAAATGATGAATTCTCCATCGATCCCTTTATAGGCAGCGGTGTTCCAGATGGTTTCATAGAAGAGCGAGACGAGACGAGTATCGAATCCTTCTGGGCAAGTACCAGTCATGACTTCGGAAGGATATGCCATGTGGGATTTCGAATCTGGTGCGGTTGGTCCTGCAGTGGAGTTCCAGCATGATGGGAACATGAGTTCGAATCTGACACCGTCCGCGCAGTTGGCATCAAGATAGTCCTTATCTGGCAAGAAATGACGGTAAAGGGATCCTTCGGCAGCAGCAGCATAGTTCAAGCAGTTGAAACCGAGAGCTGCTTGTCTGAGGAAAGCTTGGCTATTGTATGGAGCTTGGTTCCAGTTCGATTTGTCGACATCAGGAACGGGGTAACTGGAGAAGTTACGGAGTTCGTTGTTTCCTGCAATCATGGCAAAGCCTTCGGGGAAAGCTTTAATATTATCTCCATAGAGGAGGTAGTACCTATGGTGATGCATTAGGAACAATGTTTCTGGAACACTTTTCAAGAAGCAGAGGGTAAAAGATTAAACTTACGCAAGCATACCCCCAACCTGCTCAACAATCTCGAATTTTCCAGTAGCCGCATTCTTGAAGTGAAGGGAAGGAATCCAATAGGCGGATTTATCTTGACTGACTTCACAGGAAGTACAGTTTCCAGCCATTAAATCGTCATATCCTGAGGATTTTCCAAAACCTAGTCACCAAGCCAAATTAGCATCTCCCTTCCGAATCAATAAATAAATACCAACATACCGCTGGAACCATGAATAGCATGTGCATGCTGAGCGATTGCGCCAGGGTTAACCAATGGGTCAAGTCTTGCCAATCCACTTCTACTTCTACATGGCAAACGCCAGAAAGCATCAACGTTACTAGCTAAACCCGCCAAGATGGTCGCCTTCTCGAGGAAGGAGTTTCCGCGCATTTTGAAAGTTTGGATTGAAAATCGATAGCGAAATGTTCTTCTTTTTATGATGTATGTAAATGTTGACTTCTTGAAAGCAATGAAGACCCACAAACGAATGTGCAGAACGGAAAGATTTAAAAGTGAGGAACGTTCTTTGGAAGTGGTTGAATTTTTGGTTAAGGTGGTGGTTGTTGTTTGCCTGGTCGAAGGATCTGTTGGTTATGTTGATATTTCCGGTCGAAATTGGGCGAAGCGACCACAGGATTTCTCAAAGAAAATGGTTCGATGGTAAATGATTCACTCTAATGACAACAAACTTCCCTCTTCAATAAATGAATATTGTATGTTTTGCGTGAGGTCTGGAAGTCGAGATGCTTTCGTCTGATCTCACAATGCGACGATAACCTCCAAGATTCGAATAGAAGAGAATGATATTTGTATGCACACAAGAATCTCTTAACGTGTATCTTGCCACGAAAGAGAGTCGATAGATGTAAAAGTAAAAGAGCGTGAAATATGTTTCTTGAAAGGAATGAATGTAATTGTCAAAATGACGACAGTGAGCTGCTCTCGATGATGGGGAAAGAGGCAAGAAACAAAAAGTAGAGTGGTGCAATACCAAGAAGGCCGGGGAGTAGGCATGTAATAAGAAGAATGAAAGAAAGACTGGGAAAGAGTGAGAGTGAGACTATCAGGTAGGAGGGTAGGAAAGTAGGAAAGTAGGAAAGTAGGTACGTAGGTACGTAGGTACGTAGAAAGGTACCATGCAGAGGACGGACGAGGAGAGTGGAAGGATTGGATTGGATTGGATTGGATTGGATTGGAGTATTGCATGACCCACTTACCCACTACATACCCACCGAGAGATTTTACGAGCCTACGAACATCCCCACTCACGTTGCCAAGGATGTGGTGGGGGCAAGGCAGGGTACGGGCACTTGGAAGGGCTGGAGACTTGGAGGGGAAGGGGTTGAAACGGCGATAAAATACGAAATGAGGAAATGAGTGAGTGATGATGGATGATGAATGATGAATGATGAATGATGAATCGATGAAATGGATGAAATGGATGTGATGGATGTAATGGATGTAATGGATGCAATGGATGCATTCATGAATACCCACCTACCTAGCAGAGTAATGACACACCCATTCTGAGCATGGGATGAACAGATCAAAAGCCAAAGACGGCGAAACAATTCAAAATAGTCCCCTCTCCAACCAACATCCAGGATCAGGTATTTTTGGTTCAATACTGAGTAAGAATAAAATTGATCAATTGATCTCGTCTCATCTCATCTCATCTCATCTCATCTCATCTCATACCCAAGATAGAAAAGTACATGTGCATCTCTTTTTATTCATTCATTCCCTTAAATGGTCAATCCCCTCCGAGGAGGCTCAGATGTGATATGGGGGTTTAAATCATTGGTTATGCGCAGATGCGATGCATTGAAGTAGGGGTAGTCGTTGCAGCTTTTCCGGGTTTCCAAAACAAACACACACATGAATGGACCAATAATGAGCAATAATGAAGAGTTGGCCATAGGCATAGGCATAGGCAATCCGTGCCTCTGGGACACGACCTCCAATCATGGATGGTGGAAGTTTGGAATGAGGGATAGGAATGAATGAATGCATGCGCTTTCAACCTTCCAAGTGTGCAGGCACTAGTTGCCTAGCATGTAGTTTAATTGGGCTGAACGAGACGACGAGGGAATGGATGTGCATAATGAGATTGGTCAATCCTTAGCTTCGTCCTTAATCCTTACCCCTAATTAGCTAAATTAGCTCAATTTTTCATCCCTTTACTTTGAGACATCGCCTAAGGATGGATGATGGATGATGGATGATTTTCAGGGGTAAAATGCAAAGGCAAACGCCTTTCTTTGTTTCTACTGTTCTACTGTTCTACTGTTCTACTGTTCTACTGTTCTACTGTTCTACTGTTCTACTGCTTCTTCTACAAATCTACCGGCACTACCGTCCTGCATAAACCGCTTAGGCGTCGGTGTACCTTGAATGGATCTTCATCTCTATCCCCCGGTCTCGTAACTTATGAGGTAGATGTGGGTATTTTGGTATTCTTGTGCCGAGTATTTTATATTTCATCTGTATACGAATGCCATTCCCATTTTAGATTTCCCGATGACGATACCAATGCCAATACGGGAGCAAGTCTGTTTTACACGAGACAAACTTTAAAGAAATATACCCAAGGGGTACATATTTATCAATCCTTTTCGCTACAGGTCCGTCCGTTGAGAAGGGAACAATGCAACCATACTATCTAGTAAGTAGAGAGGGAGTGATGGAATGGAGAGTCATGAGAATGATGAAGATATAATTATCGATAAGGACAATTTTGTGGCGTTGTTCTTCATCCTTAGATACCCTTCCTTACCTGCCCAGCTAGGTATTCAACATGAAACGCTCCTTAGGGCCAATCAGACACTAAGTTAACCCAATTCATCCAAATGATCTCCACCATCTCCCGCACAGACTTCACCTCTTGAAGATTAGTGTGAGTTGAAAATTGAATACCGACCGACATCAATAATGTGTAGGTAAGGAAGGTGGCATGTAGGATTATATTTGATCACCGGAGATGAAAGAAAATTAAGGAAAATGGGAAAGTTAATTAGGAAAATAAAGGGTATAAATTCGGATAACTCATATATGAGAGATGAGTTATCTTTCTTTATATTGGTGTTGCATTTTATTACTAATATATATATGTACTCCGTATATATGAATCTCAGCCTCGCTGGCGGCTAGATAACTCTGCATTTCATACATTTCTCTGCATTTGAATTCTGCACGGAATGTGAATACATTCTTCCCTGTGGCGGATACATAGAAACTCCGTACTGTGCTGTGTTGTACCGACCGGGCCCATAGCGGCGGTTGGCATACCCCTAAATGAAGTTGAGGAGTTTCATTATGATGGATGGGATGATGTGTTTGTTGATGTTGGGTGAGTACTGTCTGTGTCTAGAGTATTGGGTGAGTACATCATATATATCATCAAATGCTGCATAGAGAACAATTAAATAGACACTACATTAAATACTAAATACTCAATCCTAAATCCTATTCAATACTAATTACAAAATATATATTCCACATCCAAAAACCAACAACAACAAAAAACATTCATCAAAAGTCTATAAACAATAATCTTATTCAAGCTCTTGATATATTTCCACAATACAGAGTAACTTAACATAATCTCTTACTCAAATAACCGTCACCTAAACAAGCTCTTCAGATCTTCATTTTCTCTCATTAATCAATCAAGCAAGCAAGCAAGCAATCAATCAATCAATCAATCAATCAACCAACCAACCAATCAATCAATCAGTCAACCAAATCAATCAACCAAATCAATCCATCTACCATTCCCAAGATTTATTAACCACGTTTTCCTACCCACCTAGACTACACAAAAAATACAGAATATACTCCTCCAAGCTAGCCTTACCTAGTATCCATCCCTCGCACATACACAAAAAGAATAAACCAATCTTTTCCTCTTTCTCTTTTCCTTTCCTTCTTTCCTTCAAATATCCAAGCATTCAAAAGTTCCAACTTCCACCATTTACTCACTCACTCACTCACTCACTCACTCACTCACTTCCAGTTTATACTTTAGGAAAATACAAAAATATAAACATATAAAAATATAAAAATATAAAAATATATACATTGTAAATAAATACATAGTAAATACATAGTAAATCTACTCATTATATATCATATATACATACTATACCTTACCCTTCCTTTCATCAAAAACCCCAACCAAAAATCCCAAAACCAAAAAAAGATAATCTTAGTTCTTGGAAATTACTCTTATGTTGTCTACCTACTGACATATTCCTTCCATTCCACATTCCACATTCCACATTCCACATTCCACATCCCACATCCCACATCCCATCCCTTACAAACCCCTCTACCCTGCCCTATGATCATGGATCAATCTCTCATAAAGTCCGAAATTGCCAAGACATTTCTAATTTCTATATATGCACGAAATCCATCCACATGTACAGAAACCACGAAAATCAGGTACCGACCTATTTATCTATCTATTTTGAGATTTTAAGGAGATGAAATTATAACTACTCTGTACATTCATTACCTACCTAGGTATCTAAGTGCCTAGGTACTTGACCTAGTTAATGATTATTTGCTCAAGACTAAATATGACTTTATTCCTACCACGTACGTCAACTGTTTTTAAATAATTTGACAACAGACCTACCCATACATAACCTTAAGCGAGTCAATTCAATGCGACCAGTCAATCGAACCTATTTCTATGTCCTGTTTATGTTTGAGCCTCTGCTTAGGTTACATGGGATAGAGGGGTTATCGTCACATAGAAGTCATACGTTTTGGGGAAAGCATGATGATGTGGTGAGAGTTTGTGCTGTGCTCCATTGGCTAGACTTTTCGTCGGCCAATGTTGGTGAACGATTCTTGTGGCGGTGCTCCTTTTTTTCTCAGCCAGCACTTACAGTGTCAGGTTAATCTAGGCGACAAACGAAACATGTCCATGGCGGCCATGGCGGCCATAGAGAACTATTTGTTGGATCTGATTTCACCCCAAATCTGCCTCACATTACCAACAATGCAAGTTTGATATTGTCCAGGTCAATCGCAAAGTCCGTGGCCGTTCCTTTCGATCTATTTGGATATGAACCAGCCAAAGAGGAGGCGGAGTATTTAGGAACCCATATTATCAGGTTTAGTTACACGGAAATTAATCCACATTTGACAGTATGTCTCATTTAATACCTTTTCTCTTGTAATTCCCGGTAAGAATTGCTTGTGAATTGATGTCAATCCGAATTCTATATTCAAAATGTTAGCTTGGTACAATACTATGATATACTGAAAATGCTCACTTTATTGGACATTGCCCGTTTCCTCCACGCAAGCTACTTTCTTGACGTGCTTATGAAGCATCGTCGTTTTCTTCATTTATACCTCCTCGACTACATTGGCCTAAGAAAAACTAAGTAAGAAGGTCCGCAACATTCATTGGCATCTCATCGATTTGAGTTGAGTAGTACACTGTTTCAAACAAATTAGCGATGCGCGATAGGACTCAACGTAGTGAAGACTTACACTCAATATCTCTCAAAATCCTAACGTCCTCACTAGTTACGAAATTAATCGCAACTCCCTTTCTTCCAAATCTACCACTGCGACCAATACGGTGAATATAATTCTCACGGTTGACTGGTAAATCGTAATTGATGACCAATGAAACTTGTTGAACATCAATACCACGAGCCCAGACATCAGTAGAGATCAAAACTCTAGAATTTCCTTGACGGAAATCTTGCATAATGCTATCTCTTTCCTTTTGAGGCATCTCTCCATGCATTGACGAAACGGTAAAATTAGCTTCACGCATCTTATCCGTCAGCCAATCCACCTTTCTTCTTGTGTTGCAGAATATAACAGCTTGAGTAATGGTAAGGGTGTCATATAAATCGCAAAGGGTATCGAACTTCCATTCTTCCTTCTCCACAGCGATAAAGTATTGTTTTAAACCTTCCAATGTCAACTCATCACGCTTGACAAGAATGCGGACCGGGTCGGTCATGAATTTCGTAGTCATGTCGAGGACATCGTAGGGGAGGGTGGCAGAAACGACGACAACTTGTGTCGCAGGTGGAAGATAACGGTAAACATCGTAGATCTGCTCTCTAAAACCACGGTTCAACAACTCATCAGCTTCATCAAGAACCAACATCTTAATATGACGAGTGCGAAGGTTTCGACGACGAATCATATCAGCGACACGACCTGGAGTTCCAGAAACAATATGTTGTCCATAATCCAGCTTGCGAATGTCTTCTCCAACATTCGTACCTCCGATACAAGCATGACATTGTACATTCATATAGTCGCCCAACGCCATGACAACCGACTGAATTTGAGTGGCAAGTTCTCGAGTAGGTGATAGAACCAGAGCTTGAGTTTCGCGGACAGCGGTATCGATAACTTGAAGCATACTGATAGAGAAGGTTGCTGTTTTACCAGTACCAGATTGAGCTTGAGCAATAGTATCGCGACCTTTGCAGATTTGAACAATCGCGCGAGATTGTACAGCTGAAGGAGATTCGTAACCGTATGCGTAAATACCACGGAGTAGATTTTCTATATAATCATGAGCCTAATAACCAGATACAGATATACACACAAGTTAACATACCCTTGAGATGCATATCTTGAAAAGTTGGCGCGACAGTAACATCTGCAGAAGTTGTAAACTCCATACGATCATCCATCTTCCTATCAATTCCTTCTGCCATGATTGCGGTTTTTGTATTTATGTTTTCGATATTGAGATTAAGATTGAGATGGAGGTCGAGGTTGAAGCTTCAAGAATAGAGGGGATCCTTAAGGTTTTGTTTGACTTTGCCATAAAATGCGATGATGAAGCTCTGAAATTTTAGCGTCAAAATTTGGATGTTTAGCAGCCTTTGATGGGCATTCACGTGAAATGATTGGTTGGCGCAAAAAGTTTCAAGGGCCAGGACCAGAACCACCAAAACATTCGCGTGTTGTTGATATCAATCAATATTTTGCCGCAGACACAGTCTTACCTCGAAAGTCGTCCCGCTATAATTATCATCAATCTCCAATTTGATATCAGAGCCAGAAGATGATATTAGAGGAGCAGAGATTCCTCCATGAGGATCTTGAAAGGCTTGAACAAGGCATCGCTGATAGAGTAGTTGAGGACCCAAAACAGGTAAGAATTGAAGCTATTTGAATATTCGTCAATCAACCATCCTAACATATTATTAAGGTTCGAGAACGATTGAATAGAGATCATCAAATCGCAAACTTCCTCGATCGGATTCACGATCAGTCTAAACGATTACTAGACATATATCAAGATGTAGATGGGGCACGAAGTAAAGAGATTCAATCAATATCGACAGGTGAACCGCTGGAAGAATTCTACAAGCAGCTTGGGGAAATTAAGAGTTTTCACCAGAGATATCCCAATGAACCAGTCGAGAATCTCGAAAAAGCCTACAAGAAAAAGGCACTTACAGAGGGGGAGACTACCACTTCAGAAATCGACAACATGTTCACTGGAGAGGAAGCTTTTGGACGATTCCTAGACCTTACTACCATACACGAATTATTTCTGAACCTCCCCAACATCAAACGCCTATCCTATTTACAATACCTGGACAATTTCGATTCGTTCGCGCCTCCAACATGTCCCGTCAAGCGTCCAGATAAGATGACCGACCAATACTTCACATATGTTGGAGAATTAGCAAATTATTTGGAGAGTTTCATGCGTCGAACAAGGCCATTGGAGAATCTGAATAAATTATTTTTGAGCATTGAGGAAGATTTCGACGCGGCATGGAAAGATAATGATGTTCCTGGATGGAAACTAGAGATTACAGCACCTGTAAATGGATCGAGTACGTCTGGAATATGGTGCGCAGATTGTGAGAAGGAATTCAAGAATGAGAATGTCTACAAAGGCCATTTACCAGGAAAGAAGCACGTCCGAGCTGCGGAAGCACGGGCAGCACGAATGGCGGAAACAGGAGAAGACAGCTATGGTGCTACGCAGCCAACAACATCTGTGTCCCGCCTAAAGGAACGTGCCATAGCAGAGCGAGAATATAGAATAAGACGTCTCGCTGCTGCTATGACACAAGAAAGAAGTGATACCCGAGTCAACATCGAACGAAAGCAAGGTATGACCGAACGTGAACGGCAAATGGAGCTTGATTCATTATTCGCTGAGTCATCATCTGCGGCACCTCGAGATGGAGATTCCGACAGCGAGTCAGATGGGGATGATAAGATTTATAACCCGCTTAAGCTGCCATTAGCTTGGGATGGAAAGCCTATTCCTTTCTGGCTTTACAAACTCCATGGTCTCGGAGTTGAATTCAAATGTGAGATTTGTGGAAATTATGTTTACATGGGCAGAAGAGCCTTTGACAAACATTTCAATGAGGCTCGTCATATTTATGGTCTGAAGTGCCTAGGTATCACAAATACGACACTATTCCGTGAGATCACGGGAATTGAAGATGCGCTGAAGCTCTGGGATAAATTGCAAAGAGAAAAGAAGAAGGGGAAAACCGAAGAAACCGGTGTTGTTCAAATGGAGGATGCGGAAGGAAATGTTATGCCAGAGAAGGTTTACTACGATTTACAAAAGCAAGGCTTGCTATAGGTGGATGGTTTAATGGCGTCAGTAATGGGTTGTATAATGAGAATGCATGTATCATACCCATCACAAAGAGATCATGAAGTAGTTTACTTCACAATGGACAATAATGTCTGTTTCAATCCTGTCAGAGAGCGTAATGTGAGATGCTTGTGCAATTGACTTATCAATCTTCTACTTGGCATAATCCCTTTTCATTTGAGTCTGGATATTGTGAGTGGGATACATCGGGCACCCGGAGCATTTTATAGAGTGATTACCTACCCTACAGACCTTCAGCAGGGTGGCTTTTCGGCCTGGTTTACCCCGGGTTACCCCGGATATACCCCACCCTTTGCCCAGCCCTGATATTAGCTGTAGCATCAAGTGAGTCTTTCATCTCACCGTTCCTCAGAGCGCGTTTACCACAACATCGCCACAAAATTTTCTAGAATTCCACAAACACAGTCCTCCTTTGATGGTGACCAAACATGAATGGATGGCATATGGCAGCTTACGCGTCCCTATTCTTTAAATCTATGAATCTTCGATTGGAAGTATGTTGCGAATTTTTTGAAAGGACAAATACGCATAGCAGAAATTCAGCGCGGGCCAGTTATCGCCGTGCTAATCTCGTCAATACTTGGTGGAGTCAAAGCATTTTATCCATATAAGAACTCGCGAATGGTAGTAGCTAAGGACATATTGACTCAAGTTATCTACTATATGTGTATTTTCACGCAATATGCTATTTGCGGGATATGTACTTTGCCTCGTCGAACTTTGCGAGAAGTAAGTTTGGGGCGGATTGCCATCTGGAAATGAGGAGAGATTTGGCCCTGGAACAAAAGAAGATTATGTTTTATCATAGAGCTCTGAAACCGTATTAGTGTCTTTCTTCAATATTCTGAAATGCCGTTCAACAATAAGAGTTTTTCGAAATTGGAATCGCTAAGAGACCAAAATAATTCTTACGTTCCGGCATGAAAATATGTCGCAATACCAATCTAAAATGCGGAAATGTCTGCAGTAATGGGTGATGAAGAGTGCACAGTATACTTAGATCAGTGGCAGGTAGTTCCCACAAAGTAGTCAGATTTGGATTCCGAAATTTATGCGCGAATGAGTTCTTGCCATCTAAATAAACCCCGATTTGTTCGCAGAGAAATGTGACCTTGAACCACCTCACTTCATAGATTTGGTTGCTACAGCTATCCAAGCAACCATACGAAACCCAATCTTCCCGCCAAGTCTTCACTACCAACCCATCTTTGTTCTCTGTCAAGAGAGTTTCTGTGACACCGAGGAGTTGTTCCTTCTCTGATTCTGCCCACTGATCTCCAACCATATTGACGAAACTATCCTTAAACCCTTTTGCTGCTTCCTGAATACCTTCATTCCACCACATAACCTCTTTTTCAAAAGTTTCCACATCTTCGAAGCCTCCAGACTTAAGCGTCGATTCTATTGTTTCTCTCCGAGTCCAGTGCTCAAGTGTGGATAAAGCGATAAGTTTCGAGCCTAGTTTAATCACTTCTTGGGCGACATGGAGGACGGGATAGAATGGTACTTCCCTCCAATATGTCACAACTGCTTTTCCGCCCGGTTTTAAGGTGCGGTATAACTCCTTTGCACCGGTAATAGGATCAGAATAGAAGAAAATTCCAAAATTCACAATGGAAGCATCGAAAGTTTCGCTTGCATAGCTCAGACTCACGCCATCCATAACTTCCGTCTCTACTCGATCATTCCAACCGTTTAAATCGATGAGATTATCAAGCAAAGCTATCATGCCTGGTGCATGATCTGAGGCGCAGACACGGGCATTAGGATACGCCTTTAGAATTGCTTCAGTTACCATGCTAGGACCACAAGCACTGTCAAGTATCTTTGGTCCCTCGGGTAAGCCAGAGAGTAGAGGAATGATGTGTTCAATGACTCTACGAGTACTGCCTCCAAGCCGACGCTCATAATTTGATGCTTGCGAATTGAAAGAATCACAAAGAGGAGAAACATCGATTGTTTTAGCCATGTTTGCTAATAAAATATCGTTTTTTGTCCTGAGAAAAGAGAAGTGTTCCAAAGGGTAGAAAGTGAATGGAATAACATCTGTGGTTTTTGAAGTCGAAGTGATGGTCACATCTTAAATCATGGTTTCATCCAACAAGAAGTTCGTTGCAACTGTTGGTAAGACTCGAGTCTCCATCAAGACATATCAATTAAATACACAGTTATCCGCATTTGAGCAGGTCCAACAGTTGGTTTTAATTTAATAGTAAGAAGATACTAGCAGGGATCTGCTTGGGGAAGATAAATTGCTAGACGGTTCAAAATTGATGTTAAGATACACAAATGGAATACATATGGTGTAAATCAATATTTTAAATAATCACAGAACTATGTGAAAAGGTTGACTAAAAATGTGCCACTAGATGCCCACTCCAGCGAAAATGAGACTATCGCCACTTCGATTCTGCTGTCTTAGATCATTTAATCGATTGATGATTAATGCAACTTGCTCATGACTTATAGTCAGCATTTAAATTAAGAATCAAGTAGGTTCTAGGGTAATGTCGGATGGCATTAAAATTGATTTGCACGAGAACAAAATCGATATTGAGACTTATGAATCTCAGAGATCTATGACCATCAAATGTTTCCCCTTTTTTTTAGGGACGAAATACACAGGATCAACATCCGTGTCAGCTAATTTAATGCTTTAGATAGTGTAAAAATTGCCAATCTACTGAATAATGCAAGAAACAGACAGCAGCTATAGGTACGAGAATGGTCAATGTTACGTTTGCGCAATGTTGGCCTTTTATGAATACTCGTTCGAGAGGGTTTAGAGGTTGATACATGACTTCATGTTATTTCAACAATACTTAACAAAAGATAGTCACGGCTTGATCGGGCTCCAACGCCATTGATTGCACCTTCCAGTTTGGCAAGATTTGGAAGTCGAACCTTGAAGTAGGTACAAATTACATTGAATATATTCACTTGCTGTTGTGAAAGGGTGAATCAAGAAGTCAGTCATTTGCAATCTTTCATTCGATGGGATGGTAGCGCTGAACATTTTCAATCACCCGGTATCCAGCTCCATCCTCATCAGGGTCTTGTATAATGAACCGCATGCGACTCTATGACGGTCAGCAGAACTCAAAGAGCTATCAACATATAAATGCGATTAAGTGCTGGCTGAGGTAGCGTGGGAATCGTAGATGTATTCACGGAGCTGCAGCCTTGATTGTTGAATTATCGTCTGGTATTTTTCTTATAAAGGTGACGGAACCTTTCTTGCAAACATAATAAAAAAATCAATTATTGTTGTCACATCATGCATTCTAGCATCTATTATATGTTTTGCGAGATATGGTTATACTATTCTCTGAAACATTAAGGGCTTATTTGGACGATGGACATGCGTGAACTGGGTCAAGAACATGGTCTATTAGCCTGCCACGAATTTTGCAGCTTTCATCTCGATTAAGTGAACTCGTTATTTCTTTGATGTAATTTATGGTTCGAAAGCTAGGAAGGACCTCCCCAGTGAATTTGTCACAGTCCTCCCAGTTTAACCGGTGACTGTTTTCTATCTCATCATGATCCACAAAACTCAGGTATTGTGAGCCATATCCATATTTCCCCAATAGGGTACAAAATATAAGTTTGAATCTCCATTATATCACATCACCAGTAAACGGTTTAAGTTGAATCGAAATAAGTTGTAATGAGCTCGAAGCACCGATTTCGTACAATTCTAACAACAAGGGCCTGGTGCCGTGGATTGTAGAGAGTACAGTTAGATGTAACAGTTTTGAGGAGTGCTCATTATAAAAAGATTCGACAGCGATAATGATAGTGAGAATGAACATAGAGAATCTCAGCAAGTTCTTATCAGCGACGCCAATATCTTGATCAAACTTTTGTAACCACCAAAAAGAATTTCGGCACAGAGTCCCTTCCCATTAAACGTATCACACATATCAATAAATCCCCGATAGGGAATCGAATATTCATTTGGCACTATTATATAAGTCCCCTACCCCTCATTCCGACCACCCTTTTACACCAAAAACCCTGATTTTCATCTATTAATAACTTTACAATAAATAAATAAAATGGATTGAATTTTAATTCTGAATAATTTGAATAGATATAAATAGATTTTGAAAATTTTAGATTTTTTACAATTTTATTAATTGAAATACTAAAAGTTGAAAATTGAAAATTTATTTATATATAAATTATATACAAATTAAAAATCATAATTTCAATCTTTAATATCTCAATTAATAAAATTGTAAAAAATCTAAAATTTTCAGAATTTATTGTTGTATAAATAATAATTATATAATTCAGATTTTATCAAATTATATTTATATATAAGAAAGTTATAAATATCAATTTTTGTTATTTTTGATGAGAAAAGTATTCGGAATGTGGGGTAGGGGACTTACTTTTCGATTTAACTTGCCTACAAATCAGCCCATGACCACATTATGAATTTGGCTAAATTCACTTCAACAGCTACAGAAATAAAAAAGATCGGGCAAGAAATTCCTTCAGAGTGGAAGAAAGTTATAAAATGGCTAGGAAATCCTTTCCGGTTGAAGGATAGCGAAACTATTGAGGATTTTTATTCCGGCCTTGAGGCTAGGAGTTCTGATAAGTCTATCCGAAGAATATCATAATATTTATATCAAAATGAAAGAATGTGCGGCGTAGAAAGATTACATTGCATTAGCTCGCACATTCCAACTGTTCGGCTTCACCGACGACAAGTACGTGATTTACCCAACTATGCAGATTTCCCTGTGATTGAGCCAATCGGAGAATGGTAAAAGATATAAGTATCTTGTGTATTTACGAGTGATAAGTTGGTCCTCGCCGGTAGATCATGCAGCACCAGCGGCCGAATTGCTACACGGGTTCCCTCGAGCTCTTCCACTACCATCAGACATTGCACTGTGAAACAGACGACAGTAATATGATTGTCGGACTACGAAGCAGGCTCAATTCCCGGCCACAGAATGATTATGCATACATACTATGTGCTAAAGGAATGGGCATATATTGTACCGCAAAGTGCTACTCTGACAGCTGAACTCCAAGCTACGACTCAATAGGACGCTCCTGCTACAAACTGCACCGATATACAAGGGATGTCTATAACGATAGTGTTCAGCACCAATAAAGAAGGCTATTTATAAATGGTTGATCTAAGGTGAAGAGCCAAAACTGAGTTCGGCTGGGAAATCCCATTGAGTGATAAAGCAAGATGGAAATCCTAGTAAAAGAACACGAGTTCCATTTAAGAGTAGTTATTGCGACTGAAATTCTGATCATCGTGTACTAAGCAGATTCTCCTTCATCACTTTAAAATCCTGCCATTGGTGTCTTTAGCATTCATAATGTGTGCGCGAAGAGTAAGGTGAATGGAGTCACTAGACCCCAGCTACCCTTAGAACGTCCCTCAAGCTGACTAACAGACTCGAGGTATCGCTTTTTGTATGCTGTGCGACGGAATGTCGAAATACTCTCCAAGTCTATTGATTATAAGTGATAACACTTGACAGAAGGCCCCAGTATTTCCGATGGGGCAGGTTTGCTATAAGCTAAAAAAGTAAAAGCTACTCGCCATCAAAGTGAAAATGTGGATTTTATATTAATTTGATTGTTCGTGATTACATCTTGAAGCGCGCCGTACCGCCGTATACGTGTCCAGTTGCATTGAAAGCGAAGACTGTTCTATTGAAGAACCTTGATTGAGCAAAACCGCTGTTGATCAAGCTTCACTAGAACAAACCCTGCACTGGTTTCCATCTCTTATGAGAAGTTTCGCACGAGTAGCAGGGTGTATTGCAAAGTTTCAGTCTTATGGTTATATTAGAGACGGTGCTGACAAGATTCTTGGCACACTGAATCTAAAGAAGGCCTTCCATGGAATGTGTGGTTTGATTAGGCGCAATAGCAACGGGGTCCAGTATCTTGACTTTGAACGACCTGATAATGGTAGATTCTAGTCGATGAAAAAATTGGATCTCATCTTTATTGCTTCGTCGCGAACTTCGGGAGTCGCCTCTGCCCGCTCCAACCATTTCAAAGCCTTTTTGGTTTGACCCTGAGATTTACATATTGAAGCCATGTTCAACATACTCAAGCCAAAGCCAGCTTCAGCTGCTACCTGAAACCATTCTTTGGCATACCCGTAACTCCGCTCTAAAGGTTTTTTGTCGGCCTGCTCACCATTCTTAGATAACTCAATGGCTCCAAGATTATGACATGCTTCAGGAATACCTGAACCAGCCGCTTTAAGTAGATAAATCATCCTATTATCCTCCTCGTCTGGACCTACATGTTTGGAAAGGTAAAAGAATGCTGAGGGATAATCGAGGTCTAATGCTGCTTTGCTGAAGACCTTTTTCGCAGCTTCTCTATCACTCTTCTCGAGAATCAAACCAAGGACGACGAGCGCCTCTGCCGCCCCTGGAAAATTCGGTAATTCTGTTCCGGAAACAGCCTTTTGTAACCAATTCAGAGCTTCCTTCTCCTTTCCTCGACTGTACAGAATTTGGCCAAGTAGTCCCATGGCTTGGACGTTGCCCTGCTTCTTGGCTAAAATACCCAAGCGTTCAAGGAAAGCTACAGACCTTGCCGTGTAAAGCTTGTTGTTTCGGAAAGCATCGGAGACAACCTCTAACGTGGCTGTTGGATCTCCCATTACTGAAGCCGAGTCTAATAATACTCTTGCAAGACGTTTTTGTGATTGTTCCTTGCATCTTCCCAATGAGATAGACAATTGTGTCACATCAGATGTTGTGATACCATGCTCTAAAGGATATGAGCATGTTAGGTAATGTATGGAAAGGATCAACTTACTGTTGCAAATACCAGTCTCCCAGCCTGGATTCGAATTTCCATATAAATTCTGGTAGTTCTTTAGGAATTCCATGGCTTTATTAGGATCAACTTTTAGGACTCCAGCTTTATGATCCGTCTCTAGGATAAAGAGTGGTGGGAGAGCATCAGGAGTGTCAATTGATACCCTCTTCCGTATCATCACAGGTTCAGCAGCATTTCTCTTTGCCAATGTTTGCTTCCTTGATGGTTTGATACTGACAGCTAGCAGTCTGGGAGTAGTGTGAATTGACCTTTTGTTTAATACTCTGAGGCCATTCCGAAGGTAAGGAACTACCCCAAAAGCTGACATGATAATATATTTTGTGTGTAGAATGCCAAATAAGTATCAAATTCCAATCTATGAAGGATTTGAGAATCACAAATCAATCACAAGCTTGGAGAGGTGGAGCTAAGATCTTAGCCATTCTAGGATTAGAAAAGGCGGTGAACCAGAAAATGAGTAATGTCATAGCGTTTTCCCGGCACTAAAAGAAATCTCTCAGAATTTTTTGAAGCCTGTTCTACATCCAAGGCCCACACCTCGACACATATTTAAAGTATAATTCAACACAGGTTTTCTGCATGTTCGCCAAACTCTTCAGATCGTCCTCGAAAGATTGTCTTCAATCGGACGACCCATTAACTCCTAGCCAGCAATTGCGCGAAGAAAGTAGGAGAACTAGAAGCATGGTTACTACGCGGGGTAGAGCTCGAGAATTAGCAGATACTCCTTCGGTGAATGGAGATTCTATAATCATCGATGAGGGTACTCCGGTTCCAAAAAGGAGAGGACGGCCGCGCAAGTCTCTTCCTGTTGAAGTTGATGAGGTTTTAGTCACACCGCGACCTACGAGGAGCTCACAGAAATTGTCAGTACAGGCAAGCGATGGAGAGGCAGTACAGGCAAGCGCTGGAGAAGATACGCCAAAGCAATCGCCACAAGCGACTGAAGACATACCTGCTTCTACTGAGGAATCTGAAATACCGCAAATTATTGAGGCAGAGGAGGAGGTAATAAAGACAACAACAGCCAGTGGAGATATATCGACCTTATCGACAACGACTGCTGCAGTGATAACGCCAGTCGCAAAGAAGCACAAGCGATTCGAAAGTGCGGAGCCTGAGCCAGTACCAGAGGAGAAATTAGAAATAATTGAAATTAAGGATGATGAGGACGAGAGTAGCGATGACGATGCACCAGAGGAGGTCACAAAAAATCAGGCTGCGGAATCTGCCAAAGAAAAGGAAAGAGAAGCTGCAAAGGCAATTGAGGAGTATGTTCATTTTATTTTCGCTCAAATATATTACTGACAAGGATTTTAGACAAGAAGCTGCTGCAAAAAGGAAGCGCCAGGAGAAAAACGCCAATCTTCAACGACAATCAGAAATCTCGAGCAAGAAGCGCAAGCTCGATGACCAATCCGGACAAGATGAAATGTTACCTCCTGCTCAAAAATGGAAGGCTGAGGTCACATCATCAGCACCAGCCACAATTGAGAGAGGGGATATTGAGATGGACGAGGAGTCAAACACTCTAGAGGGGGATGGAACGGCAGATGGACGATTAGACTCTGAGGACATTGAAGATATCAATAGGGCCTTCGCTCCTCCCGGACATTTACCTCTTCCAGATCTTTTGCCAGCCGAATATCTAGAAGACAATGATGATGATACCCCGGAATCTGGCAATCTCCATTCGAGTCTGCCCACACGATTTGTCAAAACGAACAAATTACGCCACCTCTTAGAAAAACGACCGAAAGATAAGCGGGTTGGCTCAACCACATTCAGAGTCGCGGAAACTCGAAACTCACATTTACCTCCTAAAGCATCAAATCAAGCGCGCTCGCTAAAGGAGTCGTGGTTACAAGGAAGGGCAGGAACTAAGATCAAGCCAAACCGGAAGCCTTTCAATCAAGGTTTTATCAAGCCTAAGAAATAAAGCCGAAGTTATGCTTGCAAATTGTGGAATGGGAACCAAGGGTATCAATTCTTTGCTTGGTACAATTCATCTTATTTGTGATCAAAGTCGCATTTTCAGGAGAGACACATGATGATTGGATAAGAGACATGAAAGGAAGAGGATCAAAGAGGGCAAATGAAAGAGCGGAAGGGGCACTTCAAGGAAGAATGAGCACTCTGGAGACTTCAGGATAAGAGACATAAGACGGGTGTTTGGTTGAGTTTGGTGTAATGGAAAGCAGGAGTAATGAATGATTCCCAGCTTAATTGTTGATCAAAAATGGATCTTGAATAGAAGTGTTTGGTAGATTTGAATCAATTGAAATTAACCATACAATCTATCATAGATCGAAGATTATTATGATACTTCCAGCTCTAACTTTTCTTACTATAAAATCCAAGTGGGTCTCGATGCAACCCCATCGCTCCTCTTGATGCCAAGCTTTGAAAATCCCAAATATACCATATGGAATCTATGAACTTATCACTGCCTCTCACACTATAAACAGTTAGATCAAGCTAAACTAGCGAACAAAAAATGTCTCTCCGTCCCAAACTTTCCATCCCAAGGAGGTCGCCTGTAGCCCCTTAAACTTCCTTTGCGTTTGCATAGATGCACCCAGTATTACCTTTTCAGAATTCGCAAACCATCAGTATATAAGAAGAAGAAGAAATCATATGAAACAACAGCGAGGTTTACCAGATGGCTGCCTGCATATATCAAAGTTCCTCCCCGGCTGTGCCTCCGGCAAGGCGTTCATGGCTCCACCACGACCTACGTATCTAGGCATGAAATAGCAAAGTTTTCTTAATCATGAAGGTTATGCCGCGGTCAATAACGATGCAACGCTGACTTGTGGGAGCAGTTAGTACCGGCTAGGCTTGTATGGTTTGGTGGGGTCACTTGTGGGTGGATAGCTGCATAGTTGTGGATTAGATCGGAGTATTTAGACCGCGTTGTTCGATTGGTCTGGAGGATTTGAGTAGTGTTTAGTGTTATTTGATCATGATTTCATCATTATCTCTCTATAGTTTGTGTTATGATTCGAGGAGAGTTTGATGTTTTGTAAGATGTGTGTGGTTTTTGAGCAAGTTGATCAGATTTGTATTATTTCATGTAATATTATTTCAAACGCTGTTCAACATGTGAATATGCCTAGATAATGAATTGCTAATAATGATCTAATCGAAGAGAATGAATTCTGCATTGGCTGCTGACCATGCATGCATCGAATATAAGTATTTTGATAACAAGATCAAAATCCCAACGAGAATCGAAAAGCTATTTCCCCAACAGCGCTATGCATATACAACCAACGCTTTCACACCTAATTTAGCCGACCTCCTCTGTTTCTAAGTGCTACCGCCTGCCTACGCAGCAGCCGATGTCTCTGCATCATCAATTCATCTTGTTGCATGGAAATGAGCTATCTTAGTATCATCCTTCAATAACAGGTCTGTAGTAGTAGCTTGGAATATAATATTGACCATATGTGTAATGCAAATGTGTAGAACTGAATATGGAAATATATCCTTCTCCTTCAGGCCTCGTGTATTCCGTACATGGCAAGATGCAACGTTACTGCATATTTGTGTTTACTTCAATGCATGCGAATACTATCTAGCCATATATTAGGCTATTTTCCATTGGAAACTGAGCGATTCTCCGTCCATAACTGAATGCAGGTGAGAAAGATGGGTAAAGTAGAATGCAGAGTTGGAAGATCAAATCATGTAGTTAATTCCCACATGTAAAACCCAATACTTTCCTGACTATCTTCTGTTTTTATTGTATTCTGTCTTTATGAGTCACTATTCAAACAAGAATTTAGAAAGTCTAAGTTTGGTGAATGCCTTCTAGGATAGTTTTACAACATCTCAAACTCCAGGAAAATACACCAAGTAAATAGTTAAACGAAATGGTAGTATTACATTAACAGGGTTGCCTGGAAAAAGCATCTGCGTGATAATTTGGTCCGGTTATTGTGTAACGGATGAAGTGACAATGCGTGTACCTTCAGCCATTCAGATGAGTTCATGGTCTTATAGGAAATTCCTAGTATGTTTGTTCCTCGTTTGCGGGCCGTTTATGAACCATTTCGTTTCCCTTCGTTGACTTCTGCTGGACTCTTTTAAGGTTGCCGATCAACATATGCCTCAACTTTGCCAGAGTGAATTGTCAAATTCACAGAGCATTCAAGACTAGCAATGTGAACTATTGCTTGAAGTATTTTTGATAAGGATGTAGATCAGTGGCTAATTAAGCAACAGAGCTTCTCCAAACGGAGTGACGCCCATCCAGAGTCGTGTCGACTAATTTTTGACAGACCATCTCGCATTATTTTGCTGACAATGTCACAACACTCTTCCAGTTCCGGCGAGACCTCCTATTGAAAGCGGCCGGAATTAATTATGCATAGGGACTTCTCAACAGAAATGAAAGCAAACTGATAACGATACAAACATACTACATGGCTAGTGAGGAAAAGAATTAATGTATGGGTAGATGCTATCACCGCCATGGCACTAACACTACTAAAGTATTGAGAGTCTAAGGTCTGGTTATTTCAAAACAACGAAGGTCCGAAGGAGGCATGCGTCAAGCTTCATCCTGCTCTACCCCAGCCTCTATCGAACGACACTATTTCATCAACCGCCAACAAACACTTTCAAATTCGATGTCCTAGGACTGGAATGAGCCTCTCTCGTCAATCTCACCGCGGTCTCTTTAAAGTCAAAGGTTTTGCCGTCCATTTTCCTTTTAACAAGGGCCAAAGATTGCAATGGATCAGTACACAAATTAGTGGTCTGGTTCACTGGCTGGTACGTTAAGGGAGCCTTGCCCACGCTTTTGACAAGAATTATGAAGAGAAGGCTATATTGGATAGGATTGAGCAAGAAAACATTCAAAATCTAGACTTCTTATGCAAAGATGTAAACCACTCTGGTTTTCTACACTATATCTGCGTGTGTCCATGCAACTAACCTGTCATAGTTCACTTGAAAAATCATAATTTGATCTCATATGGCATAATGGCGCATTCTCCGCGAAGAGCAACTCTTTACGGATCTTGTCTCTGTTGAGTTGTGCGGCTATACTTCGGATTGCTGGAGAAAGAGGCCTTCACGCAGCTCTCTGCCTTAGCGATGCATTCAAGACACTCAATAACTCACAGCATAGTCTCGATCATGGGTAAGGGTACCGGGAAAGATGAGACAAAGAAGAGCCATAAAGAATATTTTAAGATATCACTTGATTAAATGATTCTCTGGCACATTCATTTCAAGGATGATATCCCGGTATTCATGTCTTAACGGACTCAACCAAATTCAGGTTCTGAGAATGAATCAACTTTCATCAGAAACCCACCGACACGAAGTTTAGTGCTTCCGAACTAAGGAACATTGCGTTCTGAACTCCAAAGGGAAAAGGCTCTTGGTATGCAGAGATACCAGGTGAACGAATATGAGGAGTCAAAAGTGACATGGAACTACCGATCCATCAACAATCTTTCCACAAAAGACAAGTTTATAAACTCGATGGTAGCTTCAAATGATACTATGGAAGGATTTTGGACAACTCTGTGTCTTCATGACCCGTCCCAAGAATATAGTGTGGAAGAGAATGAGCTCTTCGCCGGTCCGTCGTCTTGATGGTAACGACATCATTCGCTCTGGACCCGAGTCTTGAAGGGCTCCCTCAGTCTCGAGAAGCAGCACTTATATCACTCAGAAACGGAAAAGTCACTCGAAGCACACCACTAGTCTCGAAGATGCAAAACAGAAAATCTGGCCGATTTTTTCATGCAAGTGTGGCCACAACGTACAACGACATTTTGGGATAATTTAAAACATTAATTGTTCAAGATCGAATAGCAGAAATTCGGATTATAAGATCTGAGTTTTGGGCCAAATCTTAGGAAGCGCTATAAAAAATCGTCGCAAATCCAAATACATTACTGGAAGGAGCTAGAGCAAGGCGGAGCAAGGCAAAGACACTAACTTCGGCAGTGGTCCATGATCTTCAGCCACACTTTCTAGGCATCGGATTTATGCGAATCTTTGCCGGTATCTTTGACTCATACTCAATGGTTTGCGTATCTTTGCATCTGATAGGTAGCAGTAAACACTATTTTACCTGCAAGAAACCCCCGTTTGATCACCTGCCCACGTGCATGCTTCGCGATTCGCCTATCAGGAAGCCACGCTACGCGTGTCTGCAACCCTCATCACGCACCTGATGACGACCTAAAGTGGGACTTCTGCTGTGTAAATTCACCAATTATTGAGGGAAATAGAAAGATTCATAGCTGGAGGCAAATATTTAGACAAGATGGATGGAGCGCTCATTGAAAAAGGGCGCCAATATCCTTGCAAAACTAATTTAGTTTTATATGCTGGGGAACTCGATCGTAGAGAACGTAACATCCTGACTGTAAATGAATATCGGAGAGACTTCTTACTAGACAATCGCAAGTGCGAAGGCACAAATGATGACCATCATTGCATACCTAAGGATATTTTGATGGTTAAATGGTTTTGAAGTGCAGGACGTCTAGTCCATTGTAGAACATACACCTTTTAAGGATGTCCAGACCTTTTAAGCTTTTATCGAAAACTTAGGATGATCCTTTATTGTTATAGACTTCCAAATCATGATAATACTTCGATAATCACCAATTAGACATGCAAGTGCTTTAATACTGTTTAAAATATTCGCTAAACTAGTAGTCTAGATCTTGGAAAAAGCAAATGAGCAAGCATTTATGCGCATAAGCACTTGCAAATTTTGGACTTTAGGTATTAGTTTATACGTAGTTTTCCAAGAAGCAAAAATCTTTAACCTCTGCACAATAAGAACACTTATTTTATATTAGTTTCGACGGAAGCAAAGCTATCATAGATTTCTATTAAGTTCAATGAGACAAGAGCTGTAGTTATCCGCACGATCTCGAAGAAATATCCACAAGATCCATCCGGTTACTGAAAACTTCGCTTAGATAAACTTACTACGGCCATACTACAACCACGGCTCAGAAGACCAACCGGGACATTGATTAGTCTGACCATACCAAGCCAAGTATCAAGACGGGCGTTTGGTTTTCTGCAGCTGAGAACTCTACTCAACCATGGGAAGAATATACTGATATGTTCTGTCCATTTCTTCTGAACTAAGCATTGTCATTATTTTCTTTCGAACTCATGGGGCTTCATCCTAATTTACGTTCTCTGACAACAGAAAATTAGCCAAAGTAGTAGAAGGACCATTGACATTCAGTATGTCTTGCATCCCATGTCCAAACGCGAAAGTCTTATCCATCCTCTTCTACGTTCTTTCTTATTCCTAATGAAGGTCATGAGATTCTTGCTTTTTTTGTCAACAGCCTCGAGAGCCAGGTCGCTGGCGCGTATCGAACTCAACCAAATGCTTCTCCTCGATGCAGAGCGAGAATAATAGACATAACGACAAGCGGTATGGAAGATGGTGGACTCTTAAAGCTGGCAGACTCAAGCAAAGTTATTCAGTTGAACTTTGGTCGGCCAAGATTCCTGTTGCGTGAACACGATAAAATAAGTTCTCGATCTGGCATGTCATTCGCAGCTGCAATACTCTGAGATATATACAATCGTACACTCCGGAACTTTTTGAGACTACCGATATCATCACAATGAATTGTTGTAGAAAGTTCTCAAGTTACTTATTATAATGCATAGAAGATTGAATGAATTCAAATGTTTGAAGGTCGAGCAAACGAAAAGGGAATTCCATGAGCCTGTAATTCTAATTTTGTCCCCTTCATCTTAATGCAATCTTACGTAGCTTGGCCTGTGTAACCTTGTGTAATGCTTGATTCCCATTACCACTCCCAGCCATTTCTGTCTAGGATACAATCAGCGCAGACTCAGACTGAGAGCTACTTAGATACTCCATTTTAGGAGAAATAGACACGTTCCAAGGGCGGTGTTACGGTCACGTAGCGAACTCGTGTTTAGCATAAAATCTACCCTAACTTTATAGTGTCATTTAGCACCGTATAGTTAATTCTGACGAGAATCGATAAATTCAATTTAACTTTCGACTCATACTTAAGAACCTCTATTTTCTATTTTCTATTGTATATTCACTTTTAAATAGCGAATACATCATATATCAAAATTTTAGTAGATTCTTGAAGCTGTTGATATGTTTAGGTTAATGTGGTTTCATGCCCCAATGAAGGAGTCGGCACATCCACTACCGGCATTATAACAATCCGATAAACTGACAAGTGGCTATTTTAATCCTTCAAGCCCTGTCACTCACTCAAACTTCGCCAAAAACATCATATGTATATTTCCTTGTGGCCACATCTTAAAGGATAGGCACAGCAAAGTTGCTTTCAATTTATGCGCATCGCTTGTTCGAGGTCAACAGCGATGATGAAGCGACGTTGAATGGTCCAATAGATTTTACCAGGGCAATCAGGGCATCTAACCAGTTGAGAGCCTTGAATCATATGGAATTATTTAACTCGAAGCGTGCAAATCCAAAAAAGAAAACCTCAACTGCATTAGACACTAAACCACTTGGAAACCATTCTTTGGCATCCTCGGAGAATAGACATAAGACACCCACCCTTTGCGCCTCTTCAACTAGGTCCTAAAATGCAAATCGAAAGCCAGAATTCGTATCGATATGGCTAGGATCCCTTTTCTCCTGAGATGAAGACTCAATATAAGTACTTGATTTGTAAGGTAACATTTTCGCAAATTGTGGCGCCTCAAACATCAGACGGCAAGGATATGGTCCACTAATAACCTCTAGATCTACACCTAAATCTATGTATCGTCGAGAACCGTATGACAGGCAAACGACCATTTTCATGGCTGCACTGCATCAATCCGATCTATGCCGTATTCATCCGATAAAAAATATGGTAGTAAAGGACACAGCAGCATTCAGGTTTTCGCTGACTGCACTCAACTATCGGTTCCTATTATGCACAGCTAATCAAACCGCCGAATGACTTTTGATGAGTAAGTATGAAGGTAAATCCGACCAGTATCTGGATTCTATATATGTTTCTCGTGTGGGTCATTTCGTACAAGTCGTCCAACGTAACAACGTCCAAGTAGATCATGCACCAGGGAACATTCATCAGCAACTTGAGGGTCTCCGGTATCCATAATCTCAAACGGACCCTTCTTCAAACTTCCCAATGTTTTAACGGGGTGTGCTGAGCTTATCAAGTAAGGAACACGACGATCGCAACCTCAATAACATGGGGCTCCCTGAATATACCGCATATCACAACATATCGTTTTTCCAGGCACAGTAGCAAACACGAGCAAAATCAATGCTACGATTTAGGATGTTACGTACTCACGAGCACATCGCCATCCCTCATTGGTTTGGACGTTAAGCAACCAATTGCGATTTTACAAAGGCCTGTAGAGTCAACCTAAAAGCATGAACCTGCAGATGACAAGAATTCTCATGTTAAAATGCATGTCCTTGCTTCCGTTATGTAGACGCCGGTATCCAAAGTGAACTACTAGGCGCTCTTTTACATAAGATATCGAACAAACAAACTTCCTACCACATTTTTCACCACATTTTGGATAATAGAAAGTAGTTTTGCTTCTGTCGTCTTGGAACGGGTTCTTTTCGTCACTTAAAAGCTCTACTACACGTTATTGGTTCACCTCGCACAACAGATTTGTAGGCACCCACACAATGCAGTTTCTGATTCCCCATTCCTCGCCCGACGTGTGGAATCTATTTCACTAACGCCACATATGGACGCTCAATATCGCTACAAACAACGTTAATTTGCTATGCATGTTAATAATGTGCGAACTAAAGATGCCATTACAACCCAGGCCTGTCCATAGACGCTTTGAGAAATCTAATCATTAGCCTTCCTTCTTTTCCAATCTATCTCCAATCCTATTTCCATAGTATGGCGATCTGCTGCCCTCCACTTGTAATCAGAAAAAGCGAAAGAGCCGTCGCATAGCTGCTGGGTCTCTTTGAAAGTCTTGACTTGTCATACATACTTAACAAGGGGAATCCATGGCAAATCTTCGTTTGTAAGAATTATATTTTTCGAAGGCATTCTTTCTTTCCCTTGTTCTTCTCGAGTGCGTCTGTGTGTAGATACGGACCTGCAATGGTTTACGATTCGGTGCGGCTACAGACGTTAGCCATGAATCAATGAGAAGCATAGTTGATCCAAGGATATAGTCCTTGCTAGACCAATGATGTGTTACGTGACCATGTAGTAATTTCAGAGATAGCATTAGCCGCTTCTCGCGAGCATAAAATCTTCCCTTACTCTTGCTGATATTGCATGGGCACTACCACACCACACCTGACCCAAAAGTCTCGGCACGCTTATTTACTCACATCTTCGAGCTGCCCTCATCGCTATGCCAGGATGAATTTGTTTGTTCTTTCCGTATCCCCTCAAGCAAACAAATCTTTCTACCGTCATCGCTCTCTTTAGATCAGAAAAGCAAGCAAGTGGGATGATTTCGACTTCTTCCTCGAGCATGCTTCTCCCCGTCAGGCTGCAGGAATGATTTACCATTCGAATTTGGTTTTGGACTTGTCGGAAGCCATGGAAGTTCCAAACTGCGAGATGGAAAGGTGCAGTAAATGAACTTGGGAATTTGAGCAGTGTTTGCTGCTTCGGTTCTCACTGTTTCTGAGATGGCACATGATGGGTTTATTTAAATGGTGAGTAATGACTTCTTGGATTACACGTATTTTGAATCTCTACCTTTAAACCACAAACTCTTATTGTATTCCGACGTCATAACCCCTTTAACCAGATTATATCTTCAGACAGCTCATCAACAACGAATATGGAAACTTCACTCTATACAGCAACCTGCACTGAGTGCTCCAAGACTTTCCACGGGGCACGGCGACTTGATTCGCATATACGTACTGTGCATAAGGATGAAGAGGAATGTTCTATCTGCCACGCAATGGTAAAGGATTTAGTCCAGCATAAACGCAGAGTGCATTGCAAAGGTTCTCGCACTACCAAACGACCATCACTTTGTCAATACTGCGGCAATTCGTTTTTAAAAATCGAGAGGCACAAGTGCAAGAATAAGATCAACAAAACTCCTATTCAGCCAATACTTCCCGCGCCAGCTCCTGCTTTCGCTGACAATGAAAGCTCCCATCATTCCTCCTTCACGCGTTGCCTAAGTATGTAATTACATAACCTGAGCAACACGCATACTGACAACGAAGCAGCTAATGTCCCCTTACCAGCATTCTATCCACTCCCACACTCCGTCGATGACAGTGCCATTTCTCCCCTCTCCTTATGCTCGGCAGCTCAAATGCACCAGTTGTCATTCTATGATCCATGGGCTGAGAATGAATCCGCATTCCGACTCACCAAAGACCTACAAACGACGCCCTCGCAAATGCCGTCACAAGTACGCTCTGTAGAAATGGACACTATGAGCTCCGCAATCAATCAAAGCACACCTTTTGACCCGACAAGCGTGCCCCCGGAGATTGCATCGGCTTATTCTTACAGACTCAGCAGCACACTTTCGCTTCCTCTCGACGCCATATCATACAATCAAGGCGCAGGTACTACTTCAAATACCGGAGCTATTCGTAATGCTACAACACTAGATCACGATATTCTGTTACCAACTATTGAAACTCCCGATGCAGATCATCCATTTGTCGAGGAGTTTGATATGGTTGGTTCTGGTGTGAGTGCTATGGAATTCGAGAATCTAATGAATTGGGGGATTTTTGGGGAGCATGGGCGTCCAGGGTTCCTGTAAGAACTTTACATAGTGAAATTGGCACTTTGCCGTGATTGTTTAAGGTCAATTTTTTTGGGTTATTGCTGGTTTCGAATGAATTTCACTTGCTCCTGGGAATATGTAATGTCATGATTTCATAGGTTAGTAAGTTGATTGAATAACTATCATGTATCGCTAGTGGGCATAATTTCTTTAGATTCTATAATCTATCCGCTCAGGTTTCAATATAATATTTTCAATTTCCAAATCGTGAAACAAACCAAACCCAGATCGCAGTTGATCATCTTCGGGACCAAAAGCCTATCTTCGAATAAGGTTGTAAGAAAAAATATTGGATTGGTGTCTGCTTTCCTGTCTCTGATAATCAGTTCTTTGTTTAGCGTTTTTGAGGAGACACGTTACAGCGGGAGGAGAATGAGTCACGAACAAATGACCATGACCTCTTATAAAAGGCAGAAATCATCCAATACAAGGTTAATTATAGCTAGGCAATGATTGTGCTATAGAAAAGAAACGGGAAGCATACTTGGGCTTTGCATCTGAGCAGTTAGTGACGAGCCGGACGAGGGGACCTCGCTTAATTTTCATTTCCATATATATCGTTGTAGTAAGAACGACTAACTTCAATTGAGAATATAGGGGATGTATAGCTAGAATAATAGCTATGGACTAATGATTATTTATAAAGCGCTTTGATGTCGCTCGTTTAATCAGCCTTAGGAATCTCTCTCATGCCACAGTTCTTCAGAATCTCGTCACCTCACGGTCTCGCGACAACTGAAAATCTGATGAAAACTCGTCTTTCCAACATTGAAATCCCTCGACCGACCCATTCAAGCGGAATTCGTGTAAACTCAAACATCTCCGTTCAGCACAAAAAATCCAGGGAACAGTTTCAAAGCCGCAAAATTCTAAAGCAGTGCCATCTCTCTGCATCAAAAACGAAAACACTAAGAACCTGGCCCTGAACAGCAGTTCTCAAAGAATATCTCAATCATTCGACCACAACTCACGAAAACGATCAAAGTACAGCGGAGAAAAGCCAGTCGTATTATGCTCAATCTACACCTTAAAATATCTTCCCTTAAAATATCTTCCCTTAAAATTAAGTACACCCTCTTCGCCGAATTCCTGATGATTCCATTCCCCGAGCTTTCATGGGCAATTGAAAAGCGAATTTTGTGATTGGTTCTGATCCTTTTTCTCAAAAGAATTAGTGTCTCTCGATGATATTAAAGAAAAAATAAGTGATTTGCAGAATGATCTTGGTCCTTCTGATAAGGTGCAGGCATGGTATGAGTTAGTGAATGGTGTGAGAGAAGATAATAAGCGTGTTTAGCCTAAAGTGGATGGTGATGGATCGATCGAGTGTATGATGGATGTACCGCTTTTCAAAAGGAGCTGTCACATGTGTAATTTCTTTTGGCGAGGGATTCTTAAAAGGGAGCGATCATTATTGTAGGAAGGGACCTAATATAAGTGAAAGCTATGAATAGTGGTCTGAAAAGGAGAGTGTATATTGAATTATAGACTGTGATAATAAAGGGCCAAAGCTCGCCACTGGTGCTGATATATACATTGCGCATCACTAAACAGTTGATTTTCCACTTCTACCTATACTCGCCCCTGAATCTCAACTACTAAGAAAAAGTAACCGAAACAACCGTCTCTCCATCCTTCAAATCAACACCCCATCCACCCCTCAAAGCATTCAACCCTGACACAGCCGCCTTACCTACCGAGCCTACCTGCGCGGTTTTCGTAACCCTCAAAATCGTCGAAGCAGCACTTGCCATAGTCGAAACCGTAGCGACACTTGGTGCGATAGTAAGTTTCACAGCTCCATTTGTGTACGCCACACTTGCTATAGCACCAGCATCGACTTCGAATCTGAATCCCAACTGTGCAATGAAGACCTTTCTTCTCACGGCATCTTTTGGCACTACGTTCCATGAAGTGCTAGAGCCGGTGAGTGTGCCACCAAAAGCAACTAGGCCCAGTGTTGTGTCATCAACGACGTAAGTTCCAGAGCCAAGGGCTAGACCAACGAAATTTGGACCGTAGTCTCCGCTGTATGCGTCCCAAGCCATGGTATCTGGCCATGTGTGGAATGCTGCTGATGCAAAGCCCCCGCTGTCGATATTGGATAATGGCCCATTTGTTCCACCATAACCGACTCGAAGTAGATATGTTTCAGTGGGGTTTTGTTCGAAGTATGATAGTAAGGGAAGTGCGTTTAAGCCGGATCCATAGTGATGGCCCATGCGCTCAAATCGCATCAGTTTGCCACCATAACTAATGGTCGTTAGTACGCATCTAGCTTTCGCTGCAATTTGTGTAAACTGCCGAGTACTGTTGACTTACATGAAATCCCAATATCTTCTGGCGTTACCATTCCAGGCCCAATGGCTTACTGCAGGCATATATCCCAAGATCGAGTTAATTGTTTTCGTCACCGTGGTCGTAAGACCGAAGTAGCTGAGAGCGAAGATATATTAGTAATCTCCAGAAACAAATCATAGCTGACTTACTTGGACCAATAGTAAACTCCTTCCTGCCCAGTAGAATCCCAAGCCATCTCACTTCCAAAAGGAACAGCCTCACTGTTCCACAAATTTGCTCTTGTCTTCATTGCAGCGATCACAGCATTCGCAGCAGTCTTGTTGCCTTCGTTCTGCAAATCTTGCAAAACGTACCCCCAAACTGTTTCACCCATTAGCCCTACATCGACGTACCCAGTATCTGGGCCTGTCGCATAGATGATGGTTTCATAGGCCTGACTTAAATACCATTGCCAGCTCTGTTTCGTCACTAATTTTGGGTAGAATCTAGCAACACGATAGAGAGCCCAATAAGCAGCCGTCACATGAACATAATCGTAGGTTCTTCCAGTACCGTAAGCTGAGTCCCTGTTCCAGCTCCACCAATTCCCCCAATCTATTGATGATGAATAACTGTATGAAACTGCACCTGGCTGGTAGTAAAAGACGCTCATTTTGACGGTATAATTGGAGTTCTGAATGTTGCCCCATAAAGTTTTTGTAGCAAATTCCTCCAATTTGGTTACTTCTGCGGCGCTGGGTGAGATTGCTTGTTTCATTGTCGCTGTAAGCCAGGAACCAGCTCCTGCTTCATCACTCAATCCAGCAATCCAGACTCTGGGGTCCTGCAGAACTTGAGCATTAACTGAGCGATCATAAGATATAACTGATGGTCCTCTACCAAAAGGATCACTGCTACTTTCAAGCCACTGATTTGTTGTCAAAAATTTGCCCAACGAAGACACAGCTCCAGGTGCAGACTGGGTAATAACATAATTGACCGTTTGTACAACGCCATCAGCATATATAATTGTTACTCTAACTCTTCCCCAGGCGGATGAGCTAGGTGTGAGAGTATACTTATTTGTGGCGGCCGTTGAAAACTTGAAAGCCCCAGCAGGAGTTGATGTGATGGAAGAGACGGCTGAAGTGTGTTGCAGGAACAATTGAGCTGCAAGATCCTATCAGGAGTCAGTAAACTGTTTGGCCAAGGCTTCACTCCAGGTCAATGAATTGTACTAGGGTGAAAAAAAATGCACAGAATGAAACACCCGAGTAGATTGGGGTATTCAAGAACAGATCTTGGCTTCGGAAAATGCGAAACAAAAGAACCTGTCGTTTACCTGTGGAATAATGTATCCCGGAACACCAATAGCAACGGGTGTTCCTGTATTGGCCACAGTCGATTCAATATTGCTGATGCTGCTTGCAGCTGAAAATCTCAACCCTTTCGTGATTGATTGACCTGCAGCAAGGACTACCGATGTACCTGGATTCCATGGACTCGTTCCCTTCCACTCATTTTGAGTATATGCCAAAGTATAGGTTTCCCAAGAATAGAACCCTTCGAATGTTTGGCTTTGATAGTACAGTGCCGTATTGGAGTCTTCTGCTAAGAATCGCCAACCTTCAAGGGGTGTATGCCCTAACGGTGTCACTACCAGTGCTGGCCCTGTTCCTGACAACGGAGTCACACGCAGATAGCCACCGTCGAGACCAATATTTGGATCCACTAGAGAACACATTTTCTGCGTATCCACTGCTGTTCTGTCCGTAAAAATGCTATTGAACTCAATGGGAAATCCAAGTGCTCCGATTTCAATGCTGCTAGTGGCATGATTGGTTATAGTGAAATTGAGATTGATGTCCGCTCCACTTGTGGACCAGGCTCGTGTGATGCTTAAAGGAATTCCTGATGGTAGCGTTGGTGCAAGATTTGCGGAAGTAGCGCCTGTGGAAGCCACCGCAGCCCTCTCGGCGGCGGAATCGACACTGGTCCACGAACTATTTCCAACAGCTCGATATCTGAGTGTGATGTCGCCAACATGATAGTTGCCATTTTGGCTTCTTTGAGAAAGAACATCAAAAGGCGAGAAATCGAAAGTTGTTAACGCTTGTGGAATCAAGGACGCAAGTGTTTGGCTGGAAGAATTAAGCCTGGCGTTCAAAGCACTGGAGCTAAAAGAAATATATTGACTGGAAACTACGGTGAATATGAGAGTAGACACTCCAACAACCTTGTGAAGAACGAACATAATTCCAGTTGCACCAAAGGCAAGAAAGATGAGTCGAGGTCTCCAAGAGAGAATGAGTTGGAATGGAATACATGGAAATAGGGCAGGGCTTTTATCTCAAACAATAACCATGGTGACAAGGTACAGTAGAGCATTATGTAAATCTTTCAATCGTAGTTGGAGCGCGAATAAGATACACGCCAACGGAATTTACCCGGTGCAGATGCAATTGAACGAAACATAAAAGTGGAAACTTATTGCTGCCGACATCGTGCGGGGTGGTGCGGGGTGGTGTGGAGCGGTATTAACGTCGCAATTGAGTTCTGACAATCATCGGCGGCCTTAATTGACCCCTCATTATCAACCGTATACCTCCTGGTTCTAAAAATGAGTTTATTTCCTTGATTCACTCTCATAAAGTTATTATTGAAAATCTTGAAAACTTCGAAGATATGAAAAAACTCCGAATGTGACGAGGAAAAGTCTAATTTCTCCTAAACTTTGTAAAGCTGTGTAAAAATTCAGAAAAGGAAATGTAGGTCAACTTTTCTTACATTACTTACTCCTCCAATCTCCGTAGATGAAGATCGATAATTAATACGAGAAGAACGAGCGTTTATCCAAGAAAATTCACGCATGCAGAAGTTAGGAAAGAGTCTCGTAGAAGCCGCTTAGCTTAGCATGTGCTCGCTGAACAAGGGAGGTTGTCGAGATACCCCCTCACTTTATCATGGTTTGAACTGTAAAAACTCAAGTAATTCCGCAATCGATCTCATATATTTGCTCTTTGGTAGGTCTGGGAGAGATCCCCGTCAGATTAGAGTTTCGAGACATATCACACCTTATCAATCAACTAGAAGTATTTTGTTGTGAACGAACAATAACGATGAATATCAAAGTACTCACCTGGAATCTCCAATGAAAAATGCCAGAACTCGTTTGTAACACCTCAAGCATACTCTCTGACTATAATAATACCATAGTCATCCAGATCATAGAGACGACCTAGTATTGGCCCGTAGTCTAGCAGGATTATACGTTATCTGTATGTATTTCAGTTAATTCTTCGATTTTGAGTTCTATTTCATGCTACTTTGGGTCCCGAAGAATGCACTTGCGACTCTTCTGGATTTATTACTCCCATTGCACTCCTACAGAATCTTAATCCACGTAAAATGAACCCAACTGAAAGAATAAGCTGGTCGCTCTGATCACAATTTTCACTTGCGGAAAAATGTGAGGGGATGCAAATTGCGTTGGTCGTCTAGGTAAGAAAGAAGAGTGATGGCTTACGTAAGGTTAATATCCTTATCCAATGCTCCGCTTCCGATAAGTTGCAAAAATAATTTCGTCTCTTGAGCAAATTGCAAATTGAACTTCAGTAAACAAAACAAACAACCTCTTTCTATCGTCTTTATTTTCACAACGTCAATTTCAACGATGAAGCGCAAACTTGATGCCAATGATGTTCCTGTACCAACAGAAGAATCAGAGACTTCAAATGGCAAAGCTACTTTCGCTAGCCTAGGATTGGATGCGCGTTTGCTTCAAGGAATCGCGAAGCAGAACTTTCAATCACCAACGCTGGTACAGAGCAAAGCAATCCCGCTCACATTGGAAGGACGCGACATACTGGCTAGAGCTAAGACTGGATCTGGAAAGACTGCCGCGTACTTACTACCAATTCTTCATTCGATATTGAAGCGAAAGGAGGTGAGCTGGAAAGGCCTCATAAGAAGGAGTCAAACTGACAGTTGTAGCTTTCCCCCGCCCAATGCACATCCGCCCTCATTCTTGTACCTACCAGAGAACTCGCAGATCAAGTCTACAAAACAGTTGAATCTTTTACGGCATTCTGCGCGAAAGATGTCCGAGCAGTCAACCTGACACAGCGAGTTTCCGATGCAGTTCAGCGATCACTTCTCGCAGATTCCCCAGATATCGTTATTGCGACACCGGCCAGAGCTTCTCTGAATGCCAACACCTCAGCGCTCTCACTCACAAATCTTACACACATAGTGATTGATGAGGCCGATTTAGTATTATCCTATGGTTATGATGAGGATTTGCAAAATGTTGCCAAAATCATGCCCAAGGGAGTCCAGACTGTTTTGATGAGTGCCACGTTGACAAGTGAGGTCGAAACTTTGAAAGGACTTTTTTGTAGGAACCCAGAGGTATTGAAATTAGAAGAAGCAGAGGATGAAGGAAAGGGTGTTAGTCAATTCGTTGTGAAGTAAGTTTATGCGGACTTTTTGTGCTATCCATGTTAACAGGTAACAGATGCGCCGAAGACGAGAAGTTCCTCCTGGTATACGTTATATTCAAATTGAAACTTATAAAAGGCAAATGCATCATATTTGTTGGCGACATTGACAGGTGTTATCGATTAAAATTATTTTTGGAGCAATTCGGAACAAGGAGCTGTATCCTCAACTCGCAATTACCTGTCAACTCACGTATCCACGTCGTCGAAGAATTCAACAAGAACGTTTATGATATTATCATTGCTTCGGATGAGCATGAAGTTTTGGGAGACGAGGATGAGCCCAAACCCGAGGAAACTGAAGAGGTTGAGGCGGATGACGCTGGTGGAGAGAAAGAAGATGCCAAGGATGTGAAGAAGGAAAGCAAGCAACCATCGAAGAAGAAGCAAAAGACTGGAAAGAAAGACAAAGAGTACGGAGTATCGCGAGGAATTGATTTCAAGAATGTTGCCTGCGTACTTAACTTTGATCTCCCAACATCATCCAAGTCATACACCCACAGAATTGGCCGAACTGCCCGAGCAGGCCAGACTGGTATGGCACTATCCTTCGTCATACCATCTGAACTATACCGAAAGCACAAACCGACCAGCATCGAATCAGCGAAAGACGACGAGAAAGTACTAGCGAAGATTATTAAGCACCAAGCAAAGAAGGGCAAGGAAGTTAAACCATATAATTTTGATATGAAGCAAGTGGATGCTTTTCGGTACAGAATGGGCGATGCGCTACGAGCTGTTACTAGTATCGCGGTGCAGGAGGCCAAGACTCGGGAGATCAGACAGGAACTGATGAAGAGCGAGAAGCTTAAACGCCATTTTGAAGAGAACCCAGGTGATTTATACCATCTTCGTCACGATGGTGAACTACGACCTGCTCGCGTACAAGCACATTTGAAACATGTGCCAGATTATCTCCTCCCGAAAGAAGGCAAGAAAGGAATAACAGGTGGAGATATTGGATTCGTAGGAATGCACAAAACGACGGAAAATAGAATTAGGAAGGCTAGGGCGGCGAACAAGGCGAAGGGACGTGGGAAGGGAAGGAAACCAGATCCATTGAAAACTTTCAAGGCGAAGTCGAAAAAATAATTAGCTAGTACTGTATTGAATAAGGTACCATTTTGTCAGGCTCACGGTAAAGATGTTGTGATGCGAGTTTGTTTTCAAGGCAGCAACCGGTGTTTGTGACGCAGGAGCCATTTGCTCTGATTGAGGGAAGACCTTCAAGCATGATGCAACTCTCATGATACATGGAACTAAAGGTGCGCGGAGTTCGAACTACGCAGAACTCAAAAATGATATTCATTAGGATATTTTATTTCCATCCAGACCCCATGGCTTATTCAAGTACAATATGCGAGTGATCATATATAAGTTCTTGGATATTGAGCAGTGGTGGTAGAAGATTTACCAATGTAGAGTTGCACGTGTCTCGGTCCAACCATATCCCTCAGCGGGGCTTTTTTTCACGTGATTGATTATTCTGTTGCATTTCTGAAAAATGATAACGTCTTTTTAGGAAAATCTAAAAAACCAAAACTTCGGAGGATTGAGAAAATGATCAATCATGTGATCGATCATTTTGTTGCATGTCTGAGAAATGATAACGTCCTTTTAGGAAAATCTAAAAAACCAAAAATTCAAAATTGAGAAAATGGTCGATCACGTGTTGGTCTATTGAGTGGGGGTATTCTCCTTCAGCTCGTCAATCAATGTGAGTGAGATCTTACATTGAAGTTCAAGTTGAAATTTCAATCATTGAGGGTGCAGTGCACACATGACAAAGTTTTGGTCAAAGAAAAGCCAAACGGATATTTAAAGAAAGATCTACAAGAGGCTTGGACTTGCAGCTATTCTTGTCTAATTTGATCTTAACAAGGTTGCTGGCATAGGTTAGCTTGCTTGAGATGATGATGTGCCATTGACGGTTTTGTGTAGATATGAAGCGGGACTGTCTTAAGGCTGTTAAATACCTACCCTTGACTTTTTGAGTCCATGATGGGTGGATTTCCCGCGCTCGTATCTGCGCCTATCAGTGCGACTAGACTAGCATCTCTAGCTAGCAGGTCGACTCCGAGACGTTATACAACAAAATCGAGCTACCACCACTCCTTACTTGTACCTCCATTTGTTTCAACACTGTATATTTGAGGTGTATTCGTTGTGCTTCTTTTCATATGAGATGCGTGCGTTTTCAAGCTCATACTTGTCAATGATTTGGTTGATGTTTAAGTTCAGTACAGCGATCGACGTTCTAGTGGGAGTCAGCCAATGAGCAATGCTTTGGTAGATACGAGTATATGTTGCTCCGATAGCACAAGTAGTTCCGTGCTTTTGGGGTTAAAACGAGAGTGTTGGGGTAAGATAATCCGTGTTTCAATAAGTGTTGAACATAACACCGTCCTCCTTCCAGGTCGTTTTACTTCGAACACATCTCCTTTGAAATCAGAAAGTATAAAATGATAATTATAGGGTCTATGTCGGCCTGTAATGGCCCGGTGAGGTGGTTTGAGAAGGGAGATGGCTGTAAATATGCTGTGAATCAAAGCCCGGTGAGGTTTAACATAAGGAATAGTACCCTATAATGTACTTACAAATATTTATTTGAAAACCATTCACTGTTCGGTTTCTTACAAAAAAAGCTTTTTCTTATTCTATAGAAGTCATGGGACAAGCAAGGATGGTACAATCAATCCCTCGGCCATGAAATGAGACTCGAGTCTGGACAATCAGACTTCCAGCTTTAAATTCAGATGATAGTCTAAGGATAGGATACATTAGGTCAGGTGAGGATTGGACGTAAAAGAAATTATTTTCTCACATCTCCTTAAGGAAATGTCAAATTGTGAATTATAGTTTTCTGAAATCAAGAAGCATATATTGTACTCTCAAGTTGACTTTACATTGCACTTTTCAACGCTGACATTTATCCTCTGCATCAAAGCTTATGCATCTTGACACACGATTTCCGCCATTTGGCATCGAACTTACTTGTTCGGAGGTTTTTCCTTTCTTAAAAATTCTATTTTAGGGTTAACTGGTGTGTTGAGACATGTGTTACGGATACACCGAAGATCGTTTAATTCATCTGTGTACTAATTTAATGAATCTGCGGTGCCTTCCTTCACGTTTCAGGGGAGAATAGAGGGACGGCAGTGTATTCTATGGGCATTTATGATGTTGCCAATGATTTAGGTTCATGCTCATGCTCCGATGAAGCGTAGACATACATACCTCAATGATAACTCATGATCGATAAAAACATCCTTTCTCCATTCACCAAATGAAGTCTGATGAAGATTATCAACTCTGGTACAGTCATGATTCCTACTTCTATTCCCGCATTTCAACCTTGTAAACTTTGGACGAAGGCATGTTTATGATCAGGAGCAGAGTAAATAACTGTTAGAAATTTATCTAGGTCATCTACAAAGGTATGAATTCACTCAACAAAATCTCGTTTAATTCACTCAAATGAACTGTGGGGCGGGATCGAGGTCTATTCATCTAAAGATTTCCCCTCCTTAGCTTTCACCTTTTCCTTAGACTTGGAGCTAACCTATTCAAACTACATTATTCTCTGTCCACCTGTTGTTTTTCAAAGCTAGTCTATCTTTTCGGAGGCGCTGGACGCCGCATCAACTAACTTTACTAGCTTCCTTCCTACAATCTTAACCTTATGAGTATGCTTCCCGGCTTTCATACTACTACCACACAACAAAAACAACAACGATCAAGCAAGTGCCTCTCTTTTTCCAAGTCAAATCAACACTCTTCGTCTTCCAATCTGTTTCTCTATCAGCATTTACTGACGTTGCCTGATATAGCATTCGTCATCTTGGGCTCGGTGTCGTTATTGCTCTCAATTCGCTATCCTGACATCTTCTTCTCCCACATATTGATCATTACCCCGCACTTGAAGAGCACAATCCCCTCCAAAATTTATTCCAATTATACTGGCAGGCCGTCAGGTACGACGAACCCAAGCCACAGTCTTTTAAGTTCTACCAACATTTAACATCCGCATATTTTATCATTATCAGATCCCCGCTCTTATCACTTTCACCTTTCAAGAACCTTCCGGAGATCATTTATGTCAAAAATGGAGCTGGACGATAGTTGGGATCCTGATCCTTTGCCAAACAGCAGGGTAAGGAACCATTCTCAGCCTCGTTTCAAAGGGCAAGCGGCGCGCGACTCTAAGATGAAATCTCAATACTATCAACACTCGCAAACTTCTTACCCACAGCACAGCGATCGCAATGCGCTAATTAACCTTGATGATGAGTCGTCCGATGATGAAAGCTCATCTAATGGATACCCCTTCCTCGTGCAACAACCACAAGTTACTCGTAAGAGAATGAAAAGTCCCATTCAGCATGTGCCAGATAGACGGAAACGGCATCAGAGCGAACACGCGAGTGGGACTGGTCGCGATCGCAAAACAAACACAGAAGCCATGCATGATCACTATCCACAGGTCTCGCAGCCTCGTAAAAAATCGGTACTCCGCAATGACACTCGATATAAAACTCCTGTTAACAATAATCATAATGGATATCTCGATGTCGAAAACACCTTCCCAAAAAGTAGAAAGTCAGATCCGCGTAGACATTCACGTGCAGAGGATGCACATCAAGATCAATTCTATATGGAAAAGGAAGATTTCGGTGAGCAATTCGTTAGGGAATCTAGTTTTATTGCTTATCGAGGCAATTCCTTCGCGAAGAGACGGATGAAAGAAGAGCGAGTTTACAATTCTGTGCCACCTAGCACTTTCTCTCATGAACCGACTAGCCAATATCATCAAAAATCTACAAGGGCAAACCACGAGCCAGTGGTCACACCAAAGACAAAGCAGCGTCTTGATTATTCTCGTGCGCAAAGTGTTGGCCCGAGGAGTCCATATGACGATGGTCTAAATTTGTACCCAGGCACCGAAAATGGTATGCCTAGTGCTAGCAATCGGAGAAAAAGACAGGAGCTCCAGCTTGCCTCACCAATTTGGCAAGGCCGTGAATGTGCTTTGCAGGAACCTTCATCTTTGCACAGAAAGCAAGGGAACAATGAAAAGCTTACCTTTGCGAACTCGATTTCACCTGCCCCAAGGAACCCATCAGTGAGAAGCAGGTCCGTTGCTCTTAGTGGAACGCAAGCCGTTACAAACCAGCCCAAAAAATACAATTATGGTTTTATTGATGATGACGATATCAATGAAACACCGCTGGAGGAAGCACTTCAGGGCAGGCCAAACTTCCAGACGAAAATTCAGAACACCCCGATGAACCTTATGAAAGCTTTACCAAAGTCCAGTGCATTTCGAAGGAGCGATTCTGAAGCAGCAAAACAAATCTATCAAAGTCCTTCTAGAGGTTTGAATGGAGCAGTCGCTTCAAGTATCACCATTGATCTCGTGACGCCTGAAAAAGCTGTCAATTTACGTGCTTCGATGCCTTTCATACCTCAACATTGGACTCCGGCAAGAAGAGGTCCTATCAAAGTCTCTAACGCTCGAGAAAACTTTATGCAGGATGGCCCTGGTGCTAATGAGGTTGAAAATTTAACGGAGGATGTTCAGGAACGACAAGCAGTTACCTTTAGCACTAGTAAAGTACAATGCCCTGAAGAAATTGCTCGACAGAGACAAGCAGCGGAGAAAATTGTCCAGAAAGAGCTCAACGCCGATCTTGAGGCTCTACAAAGAGATCTTTTCGGGGAAGTTGTTAGTGAGACCGAGGAGGAAAAGCGAGAACGCGATGAGGCAAAACGTCTTCAAGCTAAGAGATCGCGAGAAGCCAAGAAGAAACAAGATGCCATTGATGCCAATAATGCCAAGGCCAAACGACAGGAGAATGAATTGAAGGCTCAAAAAGAGCGTGATAAGAAGGGTGCTGAGCAGCGTGAGAAAAACAAAGACGTTGCCTTAAAAAAAGCTAACCGCGACGCTGATCGCAATCATCAGTCTTTGAGGGAAGCACAGGACGCAGAAAAGAGACGCAAAGATGTCATCAACAAGTTACAGACGAAAAAAGAAGAAATGGCTGCGCTGAAAGTCCTCGAGGAACAAAAGCAGATTTCGGATAGGGAAAACAGAGAGCGCGCTGATCAAATGAATAAAATAGAACGCAACCTTCAAAAGCTTGCTGCTCAGATGACAGCACAAGTAGCTGCCTCGTTAAAACCTGCGAGGAAGTCTGCGAATGAGAATGGCACTACGATCGCAGACACTTCAGCTCCGCAAGCCACGATTCCAACAAGCATGGACGTCGATAACGAAGATTCATTGTTCCTTCCAGAGACGCAAATAACACCTGCTGAAGCTTCTTTAGATGTACCGCTCACAAGCCAACCTCAGATCCCGGAAGCCGTTCATAGCGACTCAAATATGGTCCCATCTGTAGAGGAAGATCAAGCCCCCGCTAGTATTGCCGAGATCTTTGCCAAGACCATACCAGATACTAGTGGTGGCAACGTTCTTGAAGACAGAGAAGCGGAACGTGAAGCTGCTCGCAAAAAGAGATTAGATGAACATGCAGCTGCAAAACGAAAGCGTGAGAAATCTGTAGCCGCTGATCCAAGTACAAACACCGCTACTAAAGCTGCTCCTAGGACGATTTCAAAACCACCATCAAAGGCTGCAGCTAAGGAAAATGAGAAAAAATGTACCGAGTCTTTGGTGAAGTCGCTAGGCAGTTCGGTGTTCAATATGCAACTGAAACCTCTACATGGACTAGATGCTTTTGTACCTCGCGAACAGCCAAAAAATATTAATACTGTCAGTGAGAAGGACAATACAGAAACCCCAGTCCTGAAATCATGCCCGCTTCCATTACCTCCACCTCCTCCGAAACCTACTGCCGCTTCAATTAGACCAGAAACCAAGCTTATTTCACAAGCAGAACAAGATGAAATTGAAGCTAGTCGGAAGAAAACCCAATCCGAAGCAAGAGCTCGGAAAGATGCTTTGAAAAAGCAAAAATCAGATGCAAGAAAGGACGAAATTTATCAGAAGAAGACAGTTGAATATCGCAGAAAGAAAGAAAAAGAGTTTAGGGATAAGGCTCGCCAAGATGGTAAGGAGCTTGGTGAGTTTGAGCTGCAAACCATGCTTGACAAGCTCATGGAGAAGCGAGAAGTGTGATTCCTCACTGAAATTTTGATATACTCATGCTAATCAGGATTCCAGCGAGACAAAAACAGAAGAAATATACGTCGTTCGGGAGGAAAACCTCCAGGTGAGCATGAGAATGACGCCGTTTCAAATTCTAGTCTGCCCAATGGACTCGGTACGGCCGCGCAAGTTTCGTCTTCAGATACTGCCAGCGAATACAATCACGTGGAAGAATATGACGATCCTGAGGCGCAGGCTCTAAAAGAGCATGAAGTCAGAACAGCCGAAAGCTTGAAGGCATTGGCTGAATCGCATGCCGCTCGACGTTCCCAAATATCACCAGTGAAGGAATTAGGACCACTCTTTAGCGACTCATCATCCTCTGAGTCCGAGGAGGATCCTGATGATGAAGAAACGACACAGCGTTACATCGAAAATGTCCGGAAAAACGCTGCTGTTACCAAAGCTACCAACACCTGTAACGAAGTAGAAACTCCGACTGTGGAAGAGGTCGATCTCGAGAAAGATTTCGAAGCAGCCTTCGAAGAAGAGCTGCTTATTGAAAGAGGAACCGAGACAACAGCCGCTGCACTAAACCCCGATGGTCATAGTGCGCAGTTTGTCGAACCAATGCCTGATATGACTTCATACTTTGAAGAATCATTATCTCAACGGTCCTCTTTCACTTTAGCAGAGCAACTGACACAGCTCACAATACCTAGCCAAATATCCCAGCCAGAGCGTGACGAGCCTCAAAAGCCCTCATCATATTCCATGGTCAACGTATATATGGTAATGACGCAAGTAATTTTTCACGAACATGAAGACGAAGCCGCCCTCAAGAAGAAGTTTTTTGATGTCGATAAGGCGAACAGATATGCTCAGTCTCTCGTCAACGAATACAGGACCAAAAAGTACATGCAGCAAGAGATTGTGGAGAAGTGGGACAAGGAGTACAAATATTCCTGTCAAATCATTCACAATGACCACAAAATCACCAAGGTCTTCGTCCAAGCTATCCCAATGAATCCCAAAGATATCGATAAATTTGATCCACGACAGATTAATCCTAGATTTGCCAATCAATACTACACGGTTGGATATGAGAAGATAATCGAGAAACTTGACCCTGAGACCCAGAAGGTCTGTAGGATAGAGCGGACCACTGGAGTTATTGATGACAACAAACTTTACACAGCGTTGGAGATGGCTAATCATGCCGCCGCCGAGTACCTCCTCGAGAACATCAAACCTGAGGGGGAAGTGGAAGAACATAATACCTTGTATTACGAACAAGTCCTTCCACAAGTAAGGACAGGGAGAGACGATTGCACGAATGGAGACGAAATGTTTCATTGCGATTTGGATAACGAAATGATTCCTTGGGCGGACTTCAAATCCTTTGAGGTTAAAGTGCAATCCTCTAAGACTGAGGGGCCTATTAATTAAACGCCAATATCACGATCTCGGTGGTGGGTCAATATACGTTAACGTCAATGGCACCTGGCTTTTTGAGAAATAATCCCTAGTTTGATTTTTCACCACCACGCCACTTTTTACTTTCACCAAATTACACTTTACAAGAATTAATAACCAACATCTTCGAACATGTCATTTCCATTACAAAATTTCACATTTCATACGTTTATCGCAGACAATATCAATCATTTCAGGAATATCTCACAAACTTCAACCCTTCGAATCCCGAGAAAACAGCAATTTCAACCTACGCTTTACGCACCAAAGTTTCCTATCTTATATTATTATTATTGTTACTCCAATGCATCAAAATCAAAATCAAAATCAACAACAAATCACGCACAAACCAAATCGCAATAGCCTGATCTTAGAGATCACTACTAAATAACCCAAAATAAAACCAAAATACAGTCAGAAAAGAAGTGCAGAAGTTAGTTCAACCATTAGACGTTCAAGGGTAGTAATGACACGAACGACTCTTGGGGGACTTATCTATGAGTTTATTTCTTGCTGTTTATAAATAGGGAGGGCGTGAGATTGTGGTATTTTATTTTAGCTTGCTTATACCTTTTTGGTTCTAGGGGGGGCGGGGGGAGTTCCCGTAGCTTTTATAAAGGGGGTGGGTGGATAATGGGACGGGAGAACGGTAAGGGCTTGCGGGAAGAAAGCACATGGATTGAGGGAAGCTACGTGTGGGTGAGAGCTCCATCAAAGAGGATGGAGGAACATGAGGGCGATCTTTTCTTTATCTAGGAACTCTTTTCTCATCGTTCTTTTTCATAGCAAAAAAAAATGTTAACTGCTGCCTCTTTCACTACTTAGGTTGTTATCGTCGAATTCTTTAACTTTCGTGATATTAGTTGATTACGTGACAAGCTAAAGGGAATCTTTTGATTCTGAGATGACATTTATCGAGAATCCAAAGATGCAAGTCCTCAGTTGGGTAATAATTTCAGAGAATTTGCGTTTCCAGATCATTTCCAACCGATTACTCTAAGTTATGGAGTAAAGGTTAGGAAGTAAAAAATGCTATTCACCCATTCAACACATTCACTTTCTCGGTATACAGATTTCCAGTAAAAAGACCATTGTGACAATGGCAACGAAGGATGATAGTAATAACCGCTTTTATATAGATTTTGGACAGATTCAACTTCTGAAGAGGATAGGAAACAGCTTAAGTTTTTATGACGAATTCAATGTTAAAACAAAATCTGGAGGGATTTGTGGACTAAATACTGTGATGTATTCATGCATATTGCAAGAATAGGATGGATAAATTGGCAGGTGAGCTGGATTATATAGAAAGAGCCGAGGTATTAGAGGTGGAGGAGTATTGGTGAATTATATGCTTATATTAGATGAGGAGCCAAACGATGGAATAACATATTCAATGCGGAGGTTAAAGAAGAGAGGGATCTTGGGGATATTCCCTATGTTGCTTCCACCTGAATCCTCATATCTTTCTATTACTTTACCTGCTCAAATCACCCTTGTCCATAACCCAATATATGAAATTAGCTTTTGCGACAGCAAGAAGTTTTGCACACAAGTGATAATACAAATTCTAACAATAATCCCCCAACATCCCACCACCGCAAGACAAAGCGATAGATAAGCTAAGATCGAGCCCTACCTTAAATACTAAAAATTAAGCACAAGACGAGCTCGACTTTACAAAATTAATACCACAGACTTCCCTACATCACTTTTCGAGCCTTTGACTTGTATTGTCTGGCAAGTCTTTCAAATTTCTTTGATACATTCATTTCTTTTATAGCCAGTTACCCGTAAGAAAAACCAGCAGCTTGCTCACCCCGCCTCCCCCCCTCTTTCACCCAAAGGAGTGAATCCTCAAATATCTTATCTCTAAAATTGAAATTACGAATGCGATTTGTTAATTAGACCAAAGTTTGTTGATCTAGAATACTCTTGGCCAGCCAGAGAACATATAAAGCTACACAATAGTATCTTCTTGGCGTGATAATCCTAGACTGTGATGCATTTCATTGATTTCTAGAATTAACCAAGGCGGAACTATGCATCTTTCCCGAAACTGCAGGTAGAACATCTTCATACATTCCCGTGAGGTAGATTTATGCCACGTTAGCCCTGTCCATGAGTTGTAATTTGAAGATGACAATAATTATTGTATTCCATCAACAGCAATGAACGGAAATACCGATGATAAAATTATCGAGACGGGAAGTGCGGGTTGATTAAAGGTCGAGGAAATCAAGCTGGTGCAGTGCAAAATAGAGATGGCGATGGGATATAACACGGCCTTGGCAATTACTACCAGGACCACAGCTAGAGGTATTCTACCCAAAGACACTGCACGAGATTTAGCCCCTATATACAGCATCCTCTCTTCCAGGCACAGCTGCCGTGTCTAACGAAATGACGTTGGAGGCAGATATCATGGATGAATTGAATCTTTTAAGTTTTACTGGGAGTTGAGCATTACAATATAAGCAAATGTGAAAAATTCCTTTATGAAAATTCAAAATACATGACTTCGTCTCAGTACTAGCAAGACGTTAAGTATTTCCTAACGCGAAATCTCCGCTCGCCACAAGGTATCCACGCCCTCTCCCAATAAAGCGAGTTAAACAAGAGCTAAAGACAATAAATTACACGTTTGGGGAAGCTATCACGGACAAAGCGACGCCGTGGCATAACGTCCCATTACACACATCAGAAACAATAGTTCTCCTCTGAACACACCTACTTTGGAGCCTCTCCATCAACGAAGCTTAACGCATCCTCCTTCCCGACAACACCAATATTACTCGTCTTATTATGGAAAGTGACACCATAACATTTATTAGCCACCAATACCATCTCCGGTCTGAAAGTTGTGCAAATAAATTGTCCACCCATGACTTTTTGTTTCTTGGAACCACCCTCAGCATCTTCATCGTTGTCGGATTCCTCATCTGAATTGTCCTGCGATTGAGAAACTTGTGACTGCTTGGCAGAAATTTCCTTGAGCATTTGGGCAACAGCAGTACGATATTGAGCATCAAGATTGGCATCAATTTCATCGAAGAGGTAAAAAGGAGCCGGGTCACACTGCTGGATCGCAAAAACGAGGGCAAGGGCGCAAAGACCTGCAGAGGCATATTAGTATACTGGACGAAGAGCTTTTAGAGGTCGAAATGACTTACTCTTTTGTCCACCAGATAATTGTTGGATACGTTGCTGATCATCATGTTTACTATTGAAGCTGACACTGATTCCAACTCCAACATAATTCTCAACACTATCACGTGCTTCCTCGTCCGAATCTTCTTCCTCTCTGGCACGTCGATCCGCTTTACGTTGAATGACGAGCCGACCACGACCAGCTGGGACAAGACGTTCGAAAATCTGGGCAAATTCCTTGGAGACTTGCTTGAACGTTCGCTCGATGGCTTCATCCTTACGCTGATCGAGGACTTCAACGAGTTCTTGAATCGATGCCTGGGAATCATCCAGTTCCTTCCTACGCTTGGTCAAGCTATCTCGCTGAGTTGTGAATTGATTGTACTGTTCAAAAGCCTTCTTATTTACATGCTTATATTTCTTGAGAGCTTCCTGAACTTTCTTGAGGCGCGATTGAATCTAACAATGTCAGTATATATGGTATAAGTAGGACCAGGCCATTTGCTTACAGCTTTTGGGTCATAATCCTTGTACTTTTCAAATGCTTCATCGGGCAAAACACCCAAATCACGAATATTTTTGGCGCAATCTGAAGCACTGGTAGTAAGTATGGCCTTTCGAGCAATGCTCCTTTCCATCTTCTTCTGGTGCTTCTCAATCAATACGGCAATCTTCTGTTGTTCGTCCTCTTTTTGACTCTTCTCTTGCTGAAGATTGATGATCTTTGATTCAGCTTCTTCCTGCGAGTTTTCGTTTTCCTGAAGCTTTGTCTCCACAACAGCCGATGCCTTGATGATACGCTTTAATTCTCGTTGAGATTCCTTCAAGTTACCAGTACCACTTCCAGAAGCAAGATCCATTTCTTGATTGTTCAATTGATCAAGCTTAAGTCTAAGATTTTCACGGAGGTCAACCTCGATCAACTGTTTGCGACTCTCAAGTTCTCTTCGATTTCTGCTATGTTCATTCCACTGTTTTTGTAGATCCTGGACGGAAGCATTGAGTTGCTCGAGTTGTCGTTCCTCATTAGCCGTCAAGGCTTTTTTGAAGTCGGACGCGATTTCTGCCTCATAATCGGATATTTTTCGATTATGTTCCTGCAACAATTTGATAACATCTGCTTGATTTTGGAGAAGTTTTTCAAGTTGTGCCTTTTGCCTTTCGAGATGCGACTGTCTTGATCTCAATCCTGATTTCAGTGGATCTAGGCTGTCAACAAATTGGTTCATCTTCTGACTAGCCTTTTGTTCCTCCGTAAATGCGGCTGTAATTTCTTGATCTTTTTGCTCTAATTCCTTTCTAATCTCGTCCTGGCGCACCCTTAAAGTTTCGTACTCATCCCTCCATTTGTTCAGCGCACGGACTGCTTGAAGTCTTGATTCCTTTGGATTAAGATAGCCACCAGTTAAAGCTCCTTTCTTGTTAGTCGTATCACCATCTGGAGTAATGGCATTACACCCATGACTTCTTGCATACTGAGCAGCAATTGTGAGGTTAGGGCAAACAATGGTTTTACCAAAAACTTGCTCGAAGGCTGGCTGATACTTTTTGTCGTACCGAATCTTGCTTAACATCGGTATAGCGTCGGATGCATTTGGTAAGGTGGCTGGTTTCGTTCTGAGTTGACTCAGAGGTACAAATGTAACCCTTCCGCCCTTATCAGCATTCAAGGCATTAATAAGCTGCGTTGCAGTTTCTTCGTTATCGACCACATAGTTAAAAAGACTACTGCCTGCTGTTTGTTCCACTGCTACTCGATAAAGTTCTTCAACTTCGAGGAGTTCTGCTAGAGTGCCGTATGCTCCTTGGATCTTATGCTGTTGCTTGAGACGTCTGACAGTGGCTAAACCACGAGATGTAGCACTATCCATAGTTCTAGACAACTCCGACTCAGCTATACTAACCTCCTTACGAGCATCTTCTATGACCGAGTGAAGCTTTTCATCCTCTCTTCTCAGCAATTTTCTCTCGTCCTGCAACTTTTCCAAGGCATCTTTTGCGGTCGAGACCTCTTCAGCCAAGGCTATCCTATTGCCACTCCATCCATCTAATCGCTCCTGGAGGCCGGATATTTCTGTTTCCAAATTTCGAATTTCAGATTGCACATGCTTTACCTCTTCATCGCCATCAATTCGATTTGCCTTCTGAGATCCGATCGAAGAGTTGAGATCTTCAATTTCCTTTCTCAAAAACTGGTCACGCTCAGCCTTGGTCTTGTATTGGTTGCTGCGAGCTTGCTTAGCGTACAGCCTGCTTCTGCCAGCTTCTGCTTCATCGAGACTCCGTCTAATTTCTCCTTCGCTAGCTTTACGACTTTCGAATTCCGGAAGTAATTGTGCAAGTTCCGCTTCTTTTGAAGCTATCTCCTTCTTAACAGAACTTAATTCTTGCTGATGCCTCACCCGTGCTTGTTCTGTGGACGATTGATTGACAGTTAAAGTTTTGACGTGTAATTCAATCTTGGCTCTCGCCTTTGCGGTGTCTCGTCTGTCCTCCTCCAATTGTCGTCTGTCTACACCAAGAAGCTCTATTTGTCGATTCAATTGTTTTATCTGGGCATCAAGTTGGGCGATGGCTTTTTCTCCCTTCAAGAAAGCATCCCGGTTCTCGTCACCATCGCCACCACCTTGTCTGAACTCATCAATTTCCTCCAACTTTTCGGCAATTGCAACCTGCTCCTGGTGGAAGAAGGCGTATTGTAAACATCGGCGATCTTTGTCTTTTTCTTGGTAGCCTCTCAATTCTTCCTTCTCCTCCTCTAGTTCCGCCAACCGTTCCTTAATGTAGTCTAACAACTCATCAATCTTGGCTCGTTTATTGTTAGTATCTGTCATGATCTTTAAGGACTCGGTACGGCGTTGCTCATAGACTTGCGTTCCAGCTACTTCCTTTAACAAGTTTAATCTTTCGCCATCTTTCATATTTGTAAGTGCTGTAACACGTCCTTGAGGCACAATGTAATACGGATTTGACCGAGAAAATCCTGCGGTCTCTAGAAGATTTAGAACATCGGTTTTCGTAGCATTTTTCTTGTCCAAAGAATATTCATCTTTCTTCAGTCCAATCGTTCGTCGAAGGTAGAGCTCGTTTTTGCCGGTAGGAAATCGTCCATCAGAATTGTCGAAGATAATTTCAACATATGCAGACATAACCGCTGATCCTGAGCCCTCATGAAGTAAAGCCTGTCGCTCTTCCCGGCCCATTTGAGTATATGCATCGCTGAGGACGAATCGAATGGCCGCGAAAAAGTTACTCTTCCCAGAACCATTGCGACCGACGATTACATTTGTTCCTGGTGAGAATTCGTCGATGAGGGTTTGATCCTTGTAGCTACATGAATGTTAACATGTTTCATCCTCTGGAATAGTTGTAAACAAACCTTTTAAAGCCTTGGATATTTATCTGCTTAATGTAAACCATTGCGACCACTTGTCGCCAGCGGGGCAACGTCAATTCCTAGTGGTTATAAAGAGCGCACCAAGTAAGAAGAACTGCTCTCTGGCTGATTCAAATAAGTAAGTAGAATTCCGCCGGAACTGACTGTACAACAGTATTCAATCGAGTTATAATGGGCTAGCTTGTCGCGTCAATAAACTGAAGTTTAGCAAACGCGATAGAGTTCGCGATTCTTAGCGTGGAAAAGTGAGGTCCCACCGCCCGGCAGAAATTCTCCATGACAATTTCAGTCACTTCATTCTTTACCACCACTTTCAAAACACCAAAAGTTGATACCCAAGACGATTTCATTCTGTGTCTTTGAAATATGGCAGATAGCGCTGAGACATCTACATCTATCTCTGGTGTAGCAGCAGGACAAGACCCAACTCACACATATATTCCAAATCAAGGATATGTCCGCCCCGCCACATCAGATGCCCCTCCAATGACGCCGACTTCTGGTGAAAATACAGAATATGCCGCAGATAACGAAGACGATGCATACGATGATTTGTTCGATGAAGAAGATGATGGATACGTTGATGATGTCGATTATGATCCATCCTCTGGTGATCTCACCAAATCGTATAACCGTCAACGCAAGCTCAACGATTCTAACGCCACCAGCGCTCCTCGAATAAATCCTCAGAGACCGGCTGCGAATACCAAGGCAAGTGTCGATGATCAGATCAGCAGTTTGTCAAAACATGCTGCGAAGATTAGATTAGATGGTGGATTCGATGGAGGTCACAAAACACATGGGAAGGATAAATCAGATCGTGCTACGAGTGAACAAGTTTTGGATCCTCGTACACGTATGATTTTACTTCAAATGATCAATAGAGGTATTGTTTCCGAAGTCAATGGATGTTTAAGTACGGGTAAGGAAGCCAACGTATATGGAGCCTTGTCAATCCCTTCAGCGGATGCAGATTCACAACCAATTCACCGGGCTATCAAAGTCTACAAGACTAGTATTTTAGTCTTTAAGGATCGTGATCGTTATGTTACCGGCGAACACAGATTCAGGTCTGGATACAATAAAGGAAATAACAGAGCTATGGTCAAAGTCTGGGCCGAGAAAGAGTTCCGAAATTTAAAACGTCTACACTTGGCTGGAATTCCTTGCCCAGAGCCAGTTCATCTTCGATTACATGTCCTTGTAATGGGTTTCCTAGGTGACAAAAAGGGATGGGCAGCGCCAAGACTTCGAGATGTCGAGCTTTCTGGTGAAGATATCGATGAGCAATGGCGATTACTCTACTTACAACTCATTGGACTCATGCGAAGAATGTACCAATCATGTAAACTTGTTCACGCAGATTTGAGTGAGTATAACGTGTTATACCATCTGAAAAAGCTTTTCATTATCGACGTATCTCAAAGTGTTGAGCACGACCATCCTCGTTCGTTGGAGTTTCTCCGAATGGATATTAAGAACGTCTCAGATTTCTTCAAGCGCAAGAATGTCGAAGTTCTTTCCGAACAAACTATTTACCAATTCATAACTTTCCACGATGGACCAACTCAGGAGCCAGGACTTAGTGAAGCGCTCGAAAAACTACTTATCGAAAGGCCAGAAGAAGCTGTAACTGAAGAGGCCGTCGCCGAGCAAGAAGTCGAAAACGAAGTGTTTCGTCAACAATACATACCACAAACTCTAGAACAAGTCTACGATTTCGAGCGCGACGCCGAGAAAGTAGGTAAAGGCGAAAGAGGTGACCTTGTGTACAGGAACTTGTTGGCTGCAGATAAGATGCCAATGTCTTCAGGCAACGAGGCGGATGCAGAAGATACCGTGGGCGACAGCCAGGCTAGTGATGAGGAGGATGAGGAGGATGAGGAGGGTGATGAGGATGGAGAAGATGGAGATGAAGATGATGACGAGAAGAGATTTGAAAAGGGTACGCCAAGGGGCAAGAGATTTGAGGATAAGGATGCTAAGAAGGTATGTATTGGCATTTTTCCTTCCGCTTTTCGACCTACCACACTCCGTACCACTTATTACGGAATGATGACCCAATTTCCATCCACAAAACATGACGTCCCTTCTGGGACCAGATTACAAATAACGAGAACTTTTTGTCTGACCATACTCAACTATTTCAACTCTCAAACATGGGTTTATAACTTCCGATCACTAATTCATCTTCCCAACAATAGGAACACAAAAAAGCAGTCAAAGAAGAAAAACGCGAAAAGAGGAAAGATAAAATTCCCAAACATCTCAAAAAGAAACTCGTGAGCTCGACGGCAAAACATAAGCACTAGTTTAACGTCGAAAATCAAAGCATAAATTCTCGAACAGAGTCATTAACTCACTACTTTCTTCGCGTGATTTTCATTCCATAACAAATCAAGCTAGTGGGAAGTATCATAAACATTTTTCCTTCCCCCTTTCCCCCTTCCCCTCTCAAGTGTCTAAACGCACCTAGACTTTCAACCCCAAACTGCCACCCCTCACCCTAACCTCCCAAACAAACAAACGAACAAAACACCCGGATGAAGAAAACAAAATCACTTCTCCCTCCCAACCCAATACAACACAACACAATACAATTATATCAAAGTAGTGTTCTACTCCCGCAAAACCTCTTTGATGTAGTGTATAGTTTGTGGTGTATACTTGGGTTAACTACCCTGGAGAAGCTGAGTAGCTTTTACTTTTCACATTCTGGGACTTGCATTCTTGGATTTTGCATCTTGGATCTTATATTTGGGTATAGATTACTTGGGTATAGATTTGAGATTTGATATTTGAGAATTGAGATAGGTTTCCTTAAAAATATGAAAAGTAGGAGATATGCTGATTAAAGAGAGCACTGACGGGTTTGTTGCTTTGTTTGGGGATTCGTTTTTTCTTTTTCCTTTTTTGGGGCGGGGGTTAACTTCGCGGAGGGTAGGAGGGGGTTTGTGGTGAGTGGGGATTGAATTCTATTATTTTTGTTTAACTGGGACTTTGGTTTGGGGGGAAGGGGTGGGGTGTGTTGAGAGATAGACGTAAAGAGGCAGAGAGAGGAGGGAGGAATATGAATGTTGAGTTCCGCGATTCGTGAAATGAAGAGGAATGAGCTTGCTGGTATACACACACAGATGGATTAGATTAGATTAAATTAGATCGAACTACGTTTCAAAATACAAATGAGATATACCATATCATACATATAAATGCATATATAAAATCAACCCTATTTATTCACTATACCCATATAATTGCTTGCGATCTAACTTATAATTTTTATACATTTATAAATCCTAAATTGGCCGTAGCCATATGATATAAACTCCTTATAGTAAAGAAAAAGAAAACCATGTCTCATTATGAAATCGTTCATCTCCATTATATCCACAGTTCCGACCCGTTCATCCACCATCCGTCTATCCACTCATCCGTGCTCCGACCACCACATACATAACATCGTATGGTATTTCATGCCAGTATCTGCTGACCAGTTTTCGTTTCCGTTTCCCTTCGTCCATCCTAAACTCAATCATACAGCATATCCATCCATCCCATCATCATTTTCCCAGATTTATTACTCCCTCCTATACCCACCATTTCTCTTCTTCCTCCTATCCTCTGTGTAATCCGTTTCATTTCCTCTTTCACTACTCAACCCCGGGATAAAACAAGGATAACTCTTATGACCAGTATCGCCATTAACTTCACTATCCTCTCGTACACTAGTCAATTCACTTCCACCCACACTTGATTCCGCGGCCGAATAAGCAGGTGGAGCCAAATGTGCTTGACTTCTACTTTGTTTTCTAGCTTCACGTCTAGCGCGTCTCGCTTCTCGTTCATGGCGCTCCTGTTCTCTCACCGCGGCTGCGTCACGAGCTGATATGAGAGAAGATCCAGCCGCGGAGCTATTATCGTCTCCAACGCGGAAACTGAAATCTCTACGTTGAGCAGCTCTTCCCTTATCCTGGAGTTTCTTGGCTTCGGCTTTGATTCTTTCGTCGTCCGTTATGCTTGAATCAGCTTCGCTCTGTCTTGAACTCTTCTTGGTGGTGTTTTGTCTATTCCAGAAAGTCGAATTTCCGCCATTATCCTTTGTCGAAGGGCGTGGGCCTTGAACTGTACCGACAACCTTTCGAATCTTGTAGTGGTCTTTGTTGTTGCTCTTGTTACTCTTCCTTGGCCTTTCGGGGGGGTTCTCTGGTGTTCTCTCCTGGTTTTGTATAAGTCCGTCGGAGACAGTCGAGCCTTCAGCATTGGTAGATCCTTCCCAGATACTAGACTCGCTCTCCCTGTTCATGCCACCAACTCGTGCTGGTTTCTCATGTCGGTATGCTCGAAGGTCTGCAACATCATCGCCATATTCGGATTCCGGTACATCTCCCAAATCACCTCCACGGAGTCTACTCTTCTTGTTTTTCTTCTCCCTTCTCGGATAATTGACCTCGCTCATTTCGCTGTAAGTAAGCTCACTTTGTGTGCCAAGCGAACTTTCTTCCTCATCGTAGTCCTTATATCTTGACCTCTCCATACCACTTCCCCCCTTCTTACTCTTCTTATTCTTCCTTCCCCATGTACTCCTCTTCTTTTCTCCATGCACTATACTGCCACCTCCAAGATCCGTGGCTTCTGATCCTCCAGAAAGTGTAGTACCATTAGGACCTTTACGTCTCAAGACGGTAGACTTATAATCATCCCAATCATTTTCATGAAAGACAAATCCACCATTCTTGGCGATGAAGAAGAACCATATACCAGTAATAACGAAGCCAGCACCAATTAATCCAAGGACTATGAAGACGAATTTGTTGGGAACATTCTCGAAAGGCGTAACACCACTAGAGGGATCTACCGTGCCGACTCCATCGCGTGCTGTGAGGGTTCTGGTGATGATACTAGGCACAGAGGGTGCATCGTCGGAAGAAAGAGACGCAATTGCGGCGCGTTTGAGATGAGAGGAGACATAAGAGGCGATGACAGGCATGATTGATACGTTTTCGTAGTAATTGTCGTGAATTGCGTTGGTTTTTGCGATGCTGCGAGTTGTATTAACTCCAACCAAGTGCAGCTTCGCACCATCCACAGATAATAAAAGGTTATTGTGAATTGAATATTCGTCAACTGGGCTTGTTGTATTGTGAAATTATCGAATGTCGAGTGAAAATAGTTGTAAGACTACAAAGCCTTCATCAAGAAATGGAATTTCTGTGTTGTGTGAAAGTGCCAACTCATGGCTCCATAGTAGAAAAGACGAGGCTGGGAAAAAGCGGGAGGTTGGTTTATCATTTGTTTACACAGCAACCAGCCCCGCAACCAATTTATTTTTGGCCATGATTCTCGCTTCCAAGCCCAAGCTAAGGACAGTAAGTGTCTCCAGCGTTTAACATTCTCAGAGCCTCAGCATTTCCAAGGCAATATGAAATCCAGACATCACGACCAATCCATGTTAAAGAATGGGCCTTGCGCATATGCACGAAATAGATGAATGGTTCCGATGCATGAAGCATTGAGGATATGATATTGTTTTAAGGCTGAGAGTGGGCTACTTTCACTTTTCTCAATATTGGGTCCAGAAAGTTCAACAGCGATTATCAAATTGATGCATATCTACGAGCAGGTATTGGCTTCCAAAGGATACACGTTGCACTCGGCTCGATACATGAAATCTGAATCATCCATAGAAAGACTTTTGCATTGCCATTGCTTGCTTCTTTCTTCCTCTCTGAAAATTAACATAGGTTATCCTATCATTCATGTTATCAAAACTTCATTTCTATGACCAAGTACGCCATATTAGCCTCCTCACTGCAAACCCGCTCAAAGGACTCAATTCAGAGACGGACAAACTCCCAACTTCCAAATTTCATATCCAGAAAGGGCGCATTACATATCTTGGGGGGCAGCTTTTTTATTATCATAAGGTGGCTTGCTGCCCAATCATTCAAATCTGGTCGTCATTGGGTTAGACAGACACCCTCAAGTCCCGAAATTCAAGCACCATCTTTTTCCCTCTATCACTATCTCCAACGCATTTCTTCTCATTAGTATCCGCTTCACCATGCATGCCATTGTACATTTGATTCGTCATGAAAAGGTTAGTCACTCTCCCTATCCCAAAGTCCATGTCGGAACAGGAGAATGATCAGAGTTAAGCAAGCTCTTTTAGTCTGTGCATAAGGCACCCGGTGTCTACGAAAGACTGGCCTGTTTCATGTGCGATCCAGATCTGACTATAGAGGGCCGTGAAAATTGCCGGATATTTGCAAAGAACTTTTCTTCGGATACTAACTACATCACTCATATATGGTGTTCACCCATGAAAAGAACCATTAATACTGCACTTTTATCCTTCAAAGATGTCATCGCTAGAGGTGTGAAGGTTCAAGCTATGGATTTGCTTCAAAATCGGGATGCTTCTGCAAACGGTATAGGAATGGACAAAGAAGACCTACAGAAACACTTCGGCGAACAAGTAGATTTTGATAAAGTAGAGAAAGGATGGAATGAGAAATTTGTTGGTAAATGGGCTCCGGGAAATCAGGATTGGAAAATGCCGGCCTTGAAGATGGCGCTTAAAGATTTACGGTCCACTACCAATGTGGCCGAAGTTGTGATTGTCAGTCATGGAAGTCTTCTTGATGATTTGACTCATCTGAGAGGTGACTACAGTAGGTTAAGTGTCAAATAACACCAGGGATAGAAGGGCTGATACATCTGAGGACATAGGACGTAGTTGGCGTGGTGAAGTCCGCAGCTATCTGATCAATGATCTCGGGGAACCTTGTCAGTTACTAAATAGGAATGCCCTCAAACAGTACAGATCGCATGCTACAGACGATCAGACAATACCAAAAGCAGATCAAGATCTGCCCAACACCAACGATCCTGACCAGTCGAGACTAGCGGTTGCATTAAATCCTTCAGCATCCAAGGACTCTGGAGAAGCCCTGGTGGAAATCAACCTGGTTAATGAAGCCATTCCACGAACCATCCCCACAACGGTAAAGATTCTAGAAACCGCAAAACAACCAGAAAACAATCCAACTACATCGGCACAGCCTCTCCAACAAGATACAACAGCAATCACACTAAAACGAGTTTGCCCACAAGAGTTCAAAGCAGAACCAATACACACCTCGAAAAAGATATCTAGAGCGGTCGAAGGAACTAACAAATTAATGGGAATTTGGAGCATGAGCGACCATGATATCGCTAGGAAGGTAATGAAAAATGAATGGATGTGGATCAAGGAACAAGTGTCGGTACAATTAACGATGAACAAGGCAAAGCTCGAGAACACCCACTCATCAGATGGTAATGAAATAAAAGAAAGTGAGAGTGAGATTGTAGTCGCTGTGTAGGTTAATGAACTAGATAGCTATATTCTATTCTATCCAATTCAATCCAATTCAAAGTTTGAATACAATACAAATCTCAATGCTCTAGAACAGATAGGAATACAAAAGACATCCCTCCATCACGCCCAGAAAATCAACATATCCATGTTTTCGACGTACGTATAGTATAGTATAGTATAGTATAGTATAGTATAGTATAGTATAGTATAGTATAGTAAGTACTTGAGGCAAAGGAATTTGGTTTTATCAGGTACCTATATATTTCTATCTTTATCTTTATCTCTATCTCTATCTTTATTTTTATTTACTATCTACCCGGATAATAATAAGAATGATTTTATTAATATATATATATATATATAAATAAAGATAATTTTTTTTATTTTTTTATATTAACATGCGTCGGCTTTTATTTGACAATAAAAAGAGATAATGTTAATTCACTTTAGATAGGTATCCGGAATAGAAAATATAAGGGGGTATCATATTTTAAAACTATGCTAAAGCTATCCTAAAGTTATCATGTCACTATAAATATCAATCAATCAATCCAATCAATCCAATCCAATAATCCTACCAATCGCAATCCTAAAAGCATCTGATCCCCATTTGAATAGATAAAACTTTGACCTGAACCCCCAGCTCAAATCAAAGGTATCCCTATCCATCCGCCCGTCCGCCCGTCGCCCATCCATCCATCCATCCATCCATCCACCCATACATCCATTTGTCCATTTATCCATTTCCCCTTCCCATCCTTCACAATATCATACCATTCCAGATCATGTACCAGCCATGTACGCCCAAACCCAATTCTTAAAACAGATCTCTCCAAATTCCTATCTTACATGCTGCCATTGCTAGCAAATATGCATGCATCTGTCTTTCATCCCAATCCTAATCCCAACACTCAAACCAGAATCAAAAGAATCGCTAAAAGTGAAGATAAAAGAAATTTAAAACATTCATAACCATAACTCATACAGTCGTATATTCATCATATTGAAACATTTCCATTTCCACCATAAGGAAAATAAAACAGCATAAAATAGAATAGAAAATTGCTCTCAAAGTGCTTTTGGGGTATAAACTTTTTCCGCTTTTCTGAAAACCCAAAGAAGAGGAGAAAGTAAAAACCACAGGACAATATGCACAGAGAAAAAGTAAAGAAGATAATTCAAAGAAATGATATGAAATCGCCAACAAAATATCGCTAAAAACGAATTCCAAGAAATAAATCGCTCATTGAAGTGAATTATGGTTTTGTAAAGATTAAATCCAGGTTGAGGTAGTTGTTGTCTCCCAATTGGCAGCCCGAGCTTCATAATCCTCACGACGTTCACGTGGGGCTCGATCCCTATCGCTAGGTCTAGGTGACTCACGACGCTCACGAGGTACTCGATCCCTATCGTGAGGTCTAGGTGAGACTCGGGTGTAAGAATGTTGTGATCTCATGCGAGGTCGAGTTGTTTGACTATCACTTCGGTCAAGTCGGCTTCGGCGATCACGGTCATCAAGTAATTTAGGTCCGTAACCGTGTCCTTGTCCTTGTCCATATTCCGATGTAGTTGCTTGACTTCCATCGCGAATCTTTTCTGAACGGTGGATTTGGATTTTTCCTCCGTCCTCGCAATGAATCTCTGCTCCACCAACTGTGACCGTAGCTTGACCCTTGACCTCAATAGTAACATTATCATCACCACCGCTTCGGGTAGTACGAGTAGTTTGGGTGCCTCGGTAATCACTTAGATCACGACTGTCACTGCTCTTTGTGCTCCTGCTGCTACCTGCAGCCTGTCGTCGCTGTTCTTTTCTCAAAGCCTCGGCGGTCAGTGGTATAGATGGACCACTAACTTCCTCGAGATAATTAGTTGCCGCAGAAAGTTTTGCGTTATAGCCACTTGATCCTGAAGTAGATGCTTGAGTGGACGAAGCAGATGTTGATTGTCCATAGTAACTTTGACGGCGCTTGTTCTTGCTGGCTGTCTCAACTTTGAATCTCTCTGCTTCTCTTGGTAGGTCGCTCACATCATAGGAAATTGAGTTCCGATGAGGACTTGGTCGACGAGGACGTTGTACTGGGCGAGGAGTTTCTTCATGGTACTCTTCAACGCTATATTGAGAAAGGTTATCATCGTAGACTGGCATTTCGACAGTTGGTCGTCGTAGAGCAGGTTTGGCAGAAGGTAGCGGTGGTGGTGGCATAGCTTCAGAGTCCCTTCTGGCTCTGCTCTTCTTAGTCTTGTTCTTGTTGTAACTGGTTTCCACTTCGCTATAATGACTTTCGCGACTGTGTGTACTATCTGCCTTGCTAAAGTTACTCTCGGAGACGGTTGAGCTGTTTGTCCTTGAAGGAAGCCCAGATGGTACGCGAATACTGCTCATAATAGTTCTGCTTATTGGATCTTCAACAGAGGATCCGTAGCTATCGTCATAATCATCTTCACTGTAATGATACTCCCGCTCATATCCTCCTGTGATCATTCTAGGTGTTTGCGCCGGCTCATCTCGAATGCCATATGCGGAGAGCCTTTGTTGTTGAGGTTCAAATCGAGCGGAAAGAGAGCGCGATGAAGGTTGAGCATCATGTGGCTGGAAATATCCAGTAGCTTGGGGAGCATTGACAACAGCATAGTTGTTACTGAAAGCTGGTGAAGGAGGTGGTGCTTGAAATTGCGACTGTTGATGAGAGGGTTTAAAGTATGCAGAACCAGACAGTGGGGGATAAGCAGAAGATAGTGATCCGGAGGCAGCGTGGTAACTGGAAGGTCGGGCGCCAGCATGGTATGTTTGAGCATGGGTTAATGCGCGAGGTCTTACAGGGACCGTTGTAGCAAGTGGCTGTGTAATGACGGGAGTTTGAGGATGTCTGGAAGTAACTGGTGTTGGAGCTCCATAGTGTTCTGGCTTCGCATCAGTCTTAACGCTGAGAGATCTGCGATGCTCCTTAGTCTCCTTATTCTTCATCGTTTGTGGTGGTCGGGATGATTCGGCTGTCATGGAAGGGCGTTTTTGGCTGATGGACTGTCTACGTGATTTCTTGCTTTCCTTGGCGAATTCGACGTCTTGTACCATATCGGGTGATGATATCTCGGAACCTGTAGGAACTGCTCCTGTCGAGTATCCCGAGTCGCTGTTTGTCCTCGAAGCTTTACTTGATGTGCGATCGCGAGTCGTAGAAATCTTGGGACGCTCCTTGTGCTCCTTGTTCTTTTCCTTGGAGGAGGCCTTAACGCTTGCACTTCGTCTGGTACTTTTCAAAACTCTGCCAGTCTCTTCGTCTTCCTCTTCACAATACATGGCACGTGGACCACCCATTGTTTAAATTGATGCGACGATACTGCAAGTTGTCAACAACAAGATATGTACTGATGGCAACTTGGGTAGGGTGCGCGGAAGGGTTGTTGAATGTAAGCGGAAACGTACTTGACGTCTCTACTTAAATAATAACAATTGATGTCGCACAAAGGTAGTGCTGTAGTGGAAAGTGGTGTGGTGTGGTGTGCGATGTGTGTGTTATATGTGTGTGAGTGAGTGAGCGAGTGAGTGTGTGTGTGTGTGTGGTGTGGGTGAGAATGTGGTGAAGTTTTGGTTGACGGGGTGGTGCGGGAAGTTGAGTGGGTTGATGGGAATGAGCTGGGTTGAGGATTAAAAATAAAAATAAAAATAAAAAAGGTTAAGGAAGTCGTAAATAAAAATATGGGGAGTCTGAGCTCTTTTTAGTGTCTAATTCGCACCCTTACCAGGAAAATGGGCGGAGACACCAATGATTGATTGATTGGGTGAGCGACGCAATTCCGCAGTAGTGTCAGTAAGGTAGTACTTTCAAAACAATAGCTGAGACTTGGGGTAACGGCTAGAGCTTTTTTGTTTGTTTATTTATTTTATTTTTTCTGGGGTTCTCCTCCTTCGCTGATGGTCCGTTGGTCACGGTGATTTGATAGATGATAAATTGTGGTTGGTGGTGATGGTGATTAGGTCCATAAGGCGAGTAGTTGAATAGTAGTTGAATAGTTGAATAGTTGAATAGTTGAATAGTTGAATAGTTGAATAGTTGAATAGTTGAATAGTTGAGGATAAAACGTCGATGCGATATGATACAGAAAAGAGCCACGGGGAGGGGAGAAGTAGATGTGGATGTGGATATGTGTGGGTAAAAAGGGATGTTATCAACGAGAAATCCGTGATAGAATATGATATGACGGAATCTTGTGCTATAGCAACGAGGATACGTTGGTAAAACCTTTCTCATAAACTTTCTGATGAAAGAGGACGAAGACAAATCCAAATGGAGAATAAGATGATACACGGTACAGGGTAGGGTGTACACTCTCTTCAGACCTGGTTCAAGCTGTGGTAATATGTAATGGGAGCAGAAAAATAAGTACACTTTGAACTAATTGTACTTGATTTTTCTGTTTTCGACTTTTCCTTACAGAGAAATAATCCTAATCCTTTGGGTAATGCGAATATCCAAATGGGAATAAAAAGGGAAATATTTTGAAATAAAATCCTTGTCCGGTTTATGGGCTTGTGTTATTGTGTCTGTCCTTGGATATATTGTAGAGGAGAAGATAGTATTGAAGATTCGTTATGCGGAGTATATGGGCCTGGATCCGTATGGGTATCTCAAACTCTTGGGGTTTCCGAGCTATTCCTGTGAATGGGCTTTTGGTGGGTATCTAGTCTTTTGAGGTCTCAAAACTGTTGACTTGGTTAATAAATTGGTCTTGCTTTCGTAGCTTTGTAGTTTTGGAAAAATCCACAACATACGAGGATGTTCTTGTTTCCCGTAGGTTAAATTCTCCGTAAATTCGTAGCAGGAGAAAATCAAGGAGAAAAAATTAGTTTCTCAGTCATTCGTTGTGTTGTTCGTCAGTCCTTCAGCCTAATGCTTGTCGTAGTACAGAATTCAGGAGCTCATTGGGTATCAATATATATATATGTGATGGATGGAGTTGGGATTTGAATCCAAAAAATGCCCCGTCGCCTAGTAGCTAGAAAAGACTAGCGGGGTTGGAAACAATTGATAGTAGCTGCGGTAAGTTGTATGTAGGTAAGATTTCTTATTAATCCAGATGTCTGAAAAAAGATTTGAATGCAGCGTCAAAATGGTAAAGCATGTAAGATGGATGGGACTGAGAAGTGCATGTACGGGTGATGAATGGTAATGTTCTTCAATTTTTGATGATGTTGGCAAGAATGATGGGAACTAAAAGGGAAAGGAAGGGATAACAATAAATGGGACTAATTTCAAATTTTGGGACAGAAGGGGGGATAAAAGTGTGAGAACAATCTGTGACTGGTTGTCAGAATTCCGGCCGAGTAGAAAATTTGCGAAGGATGAAGGGATTTGCGGATAGAGAATGGGAATTCTAGAAGTTTATTTGCGGGGATGATTTAATTTTTGTCGCGCCTCCTTCATCCGCTTCGCTTCATCTTTTTTGCTTGCTTCCCTCCCTTTTCCAATAGCCCAGATAAGTTATTTTAACAAGGCGGCAAATGCTACTTCTCTACCCAATAATACGTTACAGATACGGAATATTTTTAGTGAGTAACATAACCCACATAAAACCGTACATGATTTCGATGTCACAATGACGACGATGGTGCTTCAAGGAATTTGGTTGTCTGGTTATCTGATACACAAAGTTGCCTACGGTGTTCTGCCTACTTTCACCAACCTGTAACCATGATTTGCATACGAAAAAACCGTTGGTTGCAGCTTTTTAAATCGATCCCCTAGACGATAAAATGGAAAAATTGATGCACTGCATCAAATGCACGATGTACCGTAGCTACCCAAGCCCACAACGTCAGACCCATCTACAGTGTACTCCGTCCTTTCCCGTGCACAACACCAACCGATTATTTGCTCACGCCGGACTACTTGCATATACCCTAAAGTAGTATATGCACATCGACACGATACCTAGATACTAGCTTGGACTTTAACACACAGGCATACCCAATAGGTCAATGACTTAGATATCGAAGATGTCAAAAGATTATGATTACCTGCGGTATTCTTGAAAGTAGCAGCAATCAAAGCAAGAATGTGGAGACAGGCTAGCCACTTTACAACAGACGCCATCTGAAGCCATATTTCATGCATTGAGAGAAATCGAATTCAACATTAGCAATAGCCAAATTTTCACTGTCAACCATTCGCTCATTTATCATTTATCCTGCTGTGCAATCAAGCCATTTCTTTCGGCTCTCTTCTATGACTATTTTCCAGCAACTCAATCCGTCGGTAACCACATTTCCCATCCAATCCGATTTACTAAGGTTACAACCTAACATTCTTCTTTCAGAAATCCGCCTTGCGGATCGCCCAGCAATGTATATGCATTCATTTCTTGAGAAACTCAAAAATAAAATAAAAATAAACAAAATTCGATTGATAAACACCAGTTAAGGTGTTTCATATCAAAACATTACCATTGTTACATTAAGATTTCAGAATTGTCGGGTCTCATCATCACCATTGGTAACCAACGACCCCTAGGCAACGCGTCGCAGCGCAGCGCATATATCCTGCAAGTCATATATACTCAACCAACAATTGGTAGTCCTCTTTTTTTCTCTCTTTAACCAATCTCTTCAGGACTCTTTACGAGCTTTTTATGACGCGGCTTCTTTTCTCGCTCCTGCCGATTCGAAGTGTTTTGATGACTGACTCTTCAAATATTTTTCGAAGGATTCTCATTCTCAGAGCCGGAGTGGAAATTCACCAATCACAGTATTGAACTCACGGCGCACTACTATGCATTACATGCAATGGTATCTACTCCGTAAGAAATCTCCATAGACATCACTCGAATTTCGGCACTACTGTAGTCTATTGTAAGATCTTAAAAGAAAAGGGATGCCTCCCCCCTAACCTCGCCTAGTTCTAATTCTTTTCCCTCGTCTTTTCCGACCGAAGGAATAGGGACACAAACGAAGTCGGGGCACATGTATTTCCCATCACCTTGTATTCCATATACGTACAAAACCGAAAAATCTGACAGGTAACACCCGCTGTCGTACTTCACGCATGTATTGTCCCAAGTACGAACCTAAAGTACCGATTCGAGTCAGAGGCATAAGTCGCTTAGGATAATGTTTTTCTGCTACTGCACCGGCGGACGAGGGTGAGTTTGAAAGAGAGACAGAATCAAAGTTGCCATCTAGTGGTGGCATTTCTGAACCTTGATTTACCAAGAATCTTTATCTATACAGAAGTACAGCAGACCCTTTTTCTCCCATCTATCGTATCGTGTTATCTACTTCAAAGCCTTTTGGCCATTCTTTTTTGCGCTACCTATGCACAAGGCTGAGACTTACCCCTCCTCCACTATCATCACCATTATCACAAGACAATGTTATGCTTCCGGCCTCCACATAAACGAATCATGATACAGCAATTAAGCATCAGAGTACATATTTTAAAGCAGAACATTTACGTCAAATTGTCTTTGAGCCAGATGGATGATAGACATTTTGACATTCACATTTCATCAAATTCCAAATTAATATAAAAATTCAAGCCGCAACATTTCTTTTCCTCTCTCTGTTTATACTCTTATACTCTGTACAGATGAATGATACTCCGCCCCACCACACCCTCAATTAAAACCCTACCTCACCGCTTCTTTACACAGCCGTTCGTCTCGCATCAAGATCACTTGCCATAGTTTACTTTAAGCCACGATTACCTTTTTATTCCTGCGAATTCCTCGAATTCCTTTATCTTTTACTTTCTCCATATCATGTGCTCATCTCTTTGTAAGGGAGGACGTCAACGCCATGGCCCTGCATCCAACCATACTACCCGTGCTTAGCTGTGCTTAGCTGTGCTTAGCTGCCTTCGTCTGTACATATGTACTGTCCCTCCGAGTCACTTCATATATCAATTTATCGAAATCCTGAATTACCTATTCGGGAAAGGAATACATACATATCAGTCCTTTCTCCCTACAAAATGAGCAGATAAGCATCTCCCCACAATTTTGACTCAAAAAAAGTCACTCGTCCCAAGAAATATCCATCTCTTGTTACACTGAGACTTTTTACCCATTCAAAGTTTCTAATTTCATCCTTCTGACCATTTTCACAACCATTCGAGTGTGTAATAAGTATATGGTCGCATGCTCACAGGCCCCTTTTTCCTAAATCCTTTCTTCGTTGTTCCGTCTACCTTGCAGTTTATCAAGAATTATTTTATTTGCGTGTACGAGTATTGGCAATCTATTCCAAGATTTTTGTTTCATTCTCTATTCCCCCGCGTCGCTTCCCATTCCTCATCGTTTCTTCCCGTCTTAGAAGGCTGCAAGGGTTTAAATGTGTAATATGTACCGAAAAGAGTCGTTTGCATGGTGGCGCACTGCATCCATTCACCTTTTGGGGGCTGAAGGACTTGATCCATACATACATTTAATGCAGTGCAGGAAGCAGGTGATGGGGTGCATCACATGATTGATAATGACGATCGATCTGCACTTTCTCCTCCGTTGTCTGTCTGACACGTGCAGTTCACGTGCATTTATCTTATCTCGGGGTTAGACAATGTCTTTTCTTTGACTTATTATACGTTAACTTTCATGTATCGCCGTTTAATATCCTTTAGCTACACATGATATACAACAAAATTCCTAATTAGTAATTTTGAAACACCTATCTTCCAACATAGC